GGTACAAAAGTATCTATATCCACAGTAAAACAAGTCCTATATTGACATAACCTGAAAGACCGCTCAGCAAGGAAGAAGCCACTGCTCCAAAACCACCATTAAAAAAAGCTAGACTATGGTTTGCAACTGCACATGGGACAAAGATCGTACTTTGTGGAGAAATGTCCTCTGGTCTGATGAAACTAAAATAGAACTGTTTGGCCATAATGACCATCGTTATGTTTGGAGGAAAAAGGGGAACGCTTGCAAGCCGAAGAACACCATCCCAACCGTGAAGCACGGGGGTGGCAGCATCATGCTGTGGGGGTGCTTTGCTGCAAGAGGGACTGGTACACTTCACAAAATAGATGGCATCATGAGGAAGGAAAATTATGTAGATATATTGAAGCAACAGCTCAAGACATCAGTCAGGAAGTTAAAGCTTGGTCGCAAATGGGTTTTCCAAATGGACAATGACCCCAAGCATACTTCCAAAGTTGTGGCAAAATGGCTTAAGGACAACAAAGTCAAGATATTGGAGTGGCCATCACAAAGCCCTGACCTCAATCCTATAGAACATTTGTGGGCAGAACTGAAAAAGCGTGTGCGAGCAAGGAGGCCTACAAATCTGACTCAGTTACAACAGCTCTGTCATGAGGAATGGGCCAAAATTCACCCAACTTATTGTAGGAGGCTTGTGGAAGGCTACATGAAATGTTTGCCCCAAGTTAAACAATTTAAAGGCAATTCTACCAAATACTAATTGAGTGTATTTAAACTTCTGACCTACTGGGAATGTGATGAAATAAATAAAAGCTGAAATTAATCATTCTCTCTACTATAATTCTGACATTTCACATTCTTAAAATAAAGTGGTAACCCTAACTGACCTAAGACAGGGAATTGTTACTAGGATTAAATGTCAGGAATTGTGAAAAACTGAGTTTAAATGTATTTGGCTAAGGTGTATGTACATTTCCGACTTCAACTGTAATTGCAAAAGGGTTTTCTAATGATCAATTAGTCTTTTAAAATGATAAATTTGGATTAGCAAACACAACGTGCCATTGGAACACAGGATTGATGGTTGCTGATAATGGGCCTCTGTACGCCTATGTAGATATGCCATTAAAAATCAGCCGTTTCCTGCTACAATAAACATTTACATGTCAGACTCCGGAGTGTGTGTGTGTGTGTGTGTGTGTGTGTGTGTGTGTGTGTGTGTGTGTGTATGTATATATATGCACACTACCGTTCAAAAGTTTGAAGTCACTTAGAAATGTCCTTGTTTTCAAAAGAAAAGCAATTTTTTTGTCCATTAAAATAACATCAAATTCATCAGAAATACAGTGTATGTATATATACACACACACACACACACACACACACACACACACACACACACACACACACAAAAGTATGTGAACACACACATAAAACTATGTGGACACCTGTTCAAATTAGTGGATTCGGCTATTTCAGCCACACCTGTTGCTGACAGGTGTATAACATCTAGCACACAGCCATGCAATCTCCATTAGGGCTGACCCCATTTAGTTGACTGGTCTATTGTTTGGTCGATAGGCTGTTGGTCGACCGAAATTTATTTTTATTTCAATTATTTTATTTTTGCACAAGACACCTGTCTGACTCGCGTCTGACTCAATGGACTAATCCATTGTGGCGGCCATGAGGATGGCACAGTCCATCACTCTAAGACGTGTGATACTGAAATTGTAACACTAATAAATCTAATATTATTTTATAACAAAATGGTTCTGAAACATAATCTTCAGGGCGCCGTAGAATTGGCGCCTTTCCCTTTATGTTGCTATGTGCATAATAGCAAAGTTAACCAGCATACAGATCTTGCGTCTGTTGCCTGTTAAAGTGTTTTTTTAATAGCCTACTGATTCCGTGAGCACCAAGCCTCATGCAACGGCAAAATGTCAGGTAAAGCAATTTCACAGATTTGGCTGTTTTTTAATCTTTGCTATGCTGTAATAAAGACTTTACAATTTTTTCCCCTTAGGACAGACTGGGATTACTTATGTATTTAGTGTTGTTTACACTGTTCCAAACGGGCAGAAAAATAATATTGTAATCTAACAGCACCTGTTGTCACACATAAAATTCACGCAGCTCTCGCTCCTATACCCTCCTTTTTCTTGGGCTCCTTCTTATTGTTATTATTACAATTATTATTATGATCATCATTATAATAATAATGAATTTCGTTATCATTATTAGGTTTTGTATAGTAGCCTTGTATAACCACCATTGAGCTGTAGGCCTAAGAGCGCATCCTGTTTAGTCTTAATACCGTAACTTACTTAGGCCTATATTTCAATATATAGGCTACTGTATCAATCAATCATTCAATCATTCATTCATTAGAACAGACTCTCTGGTACACATATTTATTTAGTGTTGTTTACACTTTTCCAAATGGTCAGAAAAAAGAATAATATTGTAATCGAACAGCAACTGTTTGGCACACATTATACTCACCCAACGCTTGCTCCTATACTCTCCTGTTTCTTGATCTCCAGTAGTTTCCACAACTAAGTCAAATGTCTTCCACAGATCTGACTTCCCTTTTCCCTCCTGAGCAGCCAGTAAACATTCGCCTGTTTTCAAGTTTCTTCTACACGTCCTCCTCATCCATTTTGCTGTCACATCCTGTGTTCTGAGTTTGTTATAACCTATTTATTGATGTGATTATGATAGGCTATAGGTTAGGCCCTATTGGTCACATGCATGCGATGCTGACATGTTTCACGTAAAGAGAGAAAGGGTTGAGGGAATAGGGAATGTTTTTCCTAAACAAATTAGAGATTTCGGTAACAGAACTTTTCAGTCAGAAACAAGTAAGAAACTAAATGGCTGAAATGATGTTGCAGCTTCAGCACGGACAGCACAATAAACACTTGCTGTGCTGTGTTGCCTTTTCACTGCTGTAGGGAGGAGAGCGTGACAACGTTTTTTTAACCCCCTTTTTCTCCCCAATTGGTAGTTACGATCTTGTCTCATCGCTGCAACTCCCCAACGGACTTGGGAGAGGCAAAGGTCGAGAGTCATGCATCCTCCGAAACATGACCTGCAAGCCACGCTGCTTCTTAACACACTGCTCGCTTAAACTGGAAGCCAGCCGCACCAATGTGTCGGAGGAAACACTGTCCTACTGACAACCGAGTCATCTTGCAGGCGCCCGGCCCGCCACAAGGAGTCGCTAGAGCACAATAAGCCAAGGAAACCTCCCCGGCCAAACCCTCCCCTAACCCAGACGACACTGGGCCAATTGTGCACCGCCCCATGGGGCTCCCGGTCACGGCCGGCTGTGACACAGCCTGGGATCGAACCCGAGGCTGTAGTGGCGCCTCAGCACTGCGATGCAGTGCCTTAGACCGCTACGCCACTCGGGAGGCGTCGCTGTCATTTTTTGTAACACAGTGTGACCATAGGGCTCTTTCTTGAGTAATTTGTGTGTCTTAATTATTTAATCAAACACTGTGCTTAAAGCATCAGACAAGCTCAGTGCATATGTAGTTGATTTTATTTTATTTAAACACATAGGTTGTGTCTGTCTATATATGGAAAAATAGTTTAAACATTTAGACCAATTGATTGGTCGAAAGAACAGGACGACTCTCGGTCTACCAAGATTTGTTTTAGTTGGGGACAGCCCTAATCTCCATAGACAAACATTGTCAGTAGAATGGCCTTAGAATGGCCTACTGAAGAGCGCAGTGACTTTCAACGTGGCACCGTCATAGGATGCCACCTTTCCAATAAGGCAGTTCGTCAAATTTCTGCCCTGCTAGAGATGCCCCGGTCAACTGTAAGTGCTGTTATTGTGAAGTGGAAACGTCTAGGAGTAACAACAGCTCAGCCGTGAAGTGGTAGGCCACACAAGCTCAGAGAACGGGACCGTTGAGTGCATAGCAGCCGGCCGCGACCGGGAGACTCATGGGCGGCGCACAATTGGCCCAGCGTCGTCCAGAGTAGGGGAGGGAATGGCCGGCAGGGATGTAGCTCAGTTGATAGAGCATGGCGTTTGCAACGCCAGGGTTGTGGGTTCGATTCCCACGGGGGGCCAGTATATATATTTTTTATATATATCTATATATATATATATATATGTATTCACTAACTGTAAGTCGCTCTGGATAAGAGCGTCTGCTAAATGACCTAAAATGTTAAATATTAAAAATCTTGCCGCCATTGGACTCTGGAGTAGTGGAAACACGTTCTCTGGAGTGATGAATCACGCTTCACCATCTGGCAGTCAGACGAATGAATCTGGGTTTGGCGGATGCCAGGAGAACGCTACCTGCCCCAATGCGTAGTGCCAACTGTAAAGTTTGGTGGAGGAGGAATAATGGTCTGGGGCTGTTTTTCTTGGTTCGGGCTAGGCGCCTTAGTTCCAGTGAAGGGAAATCTAACGCTACTACAGCATACAATGACATTCTAGATGATTCTGTGCCTGTAACTTTGTGGCAATAGTTTGGGGAAGGCCCTTTCCTATTTCAGCATGAGGTGTGCTAAGGAGTATTTCTGTCTGTAATAAAGCTCTTTTGTGGGGAAAAACTCATTCTGATTGGCTGCGCCTGGCTCTCCAGTGGGTGGGCCTGGCTCCCAAGTGGGTGGGCCTGGCTCCCAAGTGGGTGGCCCCTGCATAGTCATGTGAAATCCATAGATTAGGGCCTAATGAATTTATTTCAATTGACTGGCTCCCAAGTGGGTGGGCCTATGCCCAGTCGTGTGAAATCCATAGATTAGGGCCTTTTCATGCATGACAGTGTCTAGGGTTTACCGAGAATGGTGCGACAAACCAAAAACATCTGTGTGTCCTGTCTGTTTGTCTTTGTCTGTGCTGCAGATGAGAGGAGTGTGAGCCAGGGAAAGCGTGTCGCAGAGCTGCCTCAGATAATGCTCTTTATCCACATGGCCTGGAGCTGCTGAGGTAGGAACAGTCCAGTCAGAAAGCCACGGAGAGGGGAGCTACAGAGAGGGAAGCCATGTCCTACCACCATCACAGGAACCCCAGCCAGAGCAGCCACCGCACCATGAGCGCCGAGGAGAGGTGCTCCACGCCCGTCCACCACCACAAGACGTCCACGCCCACACACAAAAGCGCCTCGTCCTCCTCCTCGTACCAGCGCGACAGCCGCCAGGTAAGCAGCGCCCGCCACCAGACAGACAGAGCGAGACACAGTCCGCTGCTCTGGGAACAGTGGAGTGGAGTGATTCACTCAGTCTGGTCCCCTGAGACTGTCTCTGGAGCAGCAGACAGACAGAGTGGGACTGACTGACTGGAAGTAACAGCTCCCTGAGCACAGTCTGCAAGGGGCGATCACTGAGAGCTGTGCTATTATGATGATGTGAGGAGCTGATGACTATGCACTGTATGTCTCTAGCTATTATCATTCTAGTTGTTTCTTTATGTTGTGCACTATATTATGTTGTAGAGTAGTGGCTGCAATTTCAGGCACTGAGGCTTAGCTGTGTCCACTGTTCACCATGTCCTAAGTGGGAGGTATTGTAAACAGTGAATTAGCAACGTTCTTGTTTAGGGTCAGCTTACGGGGGCTTAAATATTAGCCCCTTTTGTCAGCGTGTGAAGAGGAAGCCTTTCTACTTCTATCTTGGTCTGTGTACTGAACTGCCATATCACCTTAGCCACAGAGAAACAGGACACTTAACTGGAATCTCTGACATCATGGCTTTTCCAGTGGGGGGTCATGAATAAATCATGAGGTAGAGTGAGAAAGCCAAGGCTCGATTGGTCCAGTGAACATGTGGCACGCTCTGGTATGCTGTGCTGTATGGGAGCTACTGCTGCATTCCCGTAACCATGGGAGATTGCTCTCTGAAGAGGAGTGCTTTGGGGAGTAGATGGGGGAATTGCGGCCTGTACAGAACACTTACAGTAGCAGTCAGGCTTGCTGCTAAATGAGAGATTTAACCCTTCCTATGCCTCCTACTCTATTCCCTGTCATGCTGTACATGGTGTACAAAGAGACCTTGCGAGCTCTGCAGTCTTCTAGCCTATTCCCTGAATTCACTCTAGTCTAAATACCATATTGATGTCCCATTCCTACTCCGCTGATTTAATGAGTTTAATTAAAGTAGCGAGCAAGGGAGGTAAGAGGCATACAATAAATTAGGCACTTGTCCAATTGATTCACCTTACTCATCCTTTGTGAGACTGCAATGCCTAGAAAGGTTATTGGCCATAGTGACTGCTGTTGTATTTCATTACTGTAGTCATTTACTGGGTAGATACTGTAGATCCAGTGAAGCACCAGTGGATTGTCTACTACAGTACACAGCTATTGTTGTGTTGAGGCTAGAGGCCTGGAGGCAGGGCCATGTGGTGTGATTTGTTAATACAGGCTTATCCTGTGTCCTCATTGGCTCCGAGTTGAACGGCACGACTAGCTACAACCCAGCTCGGTATCACCATCACCATGGTGATGCATTAACTCAAGCACCAAGAATAATCTTGATAACTCTATGTTGTCACATTGTCTATGTGGTTAGCGTGTGTAGAAATAGTATATGTTTCAGTGTCTGTATGTGTGTTTACTGCTGTATAAGGGTTACATCCTCCCTAGGGACTCCTGGGGATCAGTGTGTCTGTGGTGCAGACTACAGACCCAGGAAAATACCTTAGGAGGCTTGGCTGGCTGCAGTGTGCTCCAGTGTGTGAGGGAAAGTGAGTGCAGTGGCTATTTGTGAGGGAAGCCTTAATGAGATCCAGTCCCTCTGGGATCAGTACGTGTCACTTCCCCTTGTGCTGCTGACCATCATTAAGCACTCTGGACTGGATACCCTCACAAGTGCAATTAGAGACACCACCTGCAGTGTATAGTACAGACACACTGATTCAGCGCACATCATACACAGTGTATCTAGATAATCACACCAACCTTTTCTTTATGCTTTAACAACCGTCTGCCATCTCTTAGTGTGTAAGGCATCCTGTAGCTCAGTTGGTAGAGCATGGCGCTTGCAACGCCCGGGTTGTGGGTTCGATTTCCACGGGGGGCCAGTATGAAAATTGTATGCACTCACTAACTGTAAGTGGCTCTGGATAAGAGCGTCTGCTAAATGACTAAAATGTAAAATGATAAGATGGTTTTGAGGCATGGAGATGGGGAACATGATGAATCTGAAACGGTTGGTTCCCTGTATGTTTCTGTGGGGGACCAGGGAAAGTATTTTGATAGCAGATGACTAGTGGATTTATGGCTGTGGAGAAATCAATAACATGATTATGAACAGCAACAGCAGATAGAGGTAACCTACCATCTGTTGCCCTTGTCAGTGTGTAAAGTGGAGAGTACAGCAGACACAGTAGGTATTCCCACCTGCCCCCCCTCACTCTGAGAAATCCTCTCAGTAAATACACTGCTCCACTATAGGTCAGGCTTCTGCCTTCTGGCACCTAAAGGTTTAACTCTGTGCTTTCTTCCCCTCTCCCCTCCTGCAGCTCTGAATCAATCATGTTTACTACAGTGTACATGAGGCAGTGGAAAAGTCCCAAATGGCACCCAATTCCCTATACACGGAGTGTACAAAACATTAGGAACACATGCTCTTTCCATGACATAGACCGACCAGGTGAATCCAGGTGAAAGCTATGATCCCTTATTGATGTCACTTGTTAAATCCACTTCAATCAGTGTATATGAAGGGGAGGAGACAATTGAGACATGGATTGTGTATGTGTGCCATTCAGAGGGTGAATGGGCAAGACAAAAGATTGAAGTGCCTTTGAACGAGGTATGGTAGTAGGTGCCAGGCGCACAAGGTTTGTGTCAAGAACTGCAACGCTGCTGGGTTTTTCATGCTCAACAGTTTCCCGGGTGTATCAAGAATGGTCCACCACCCAAAGGACATCCAGCTAACTTGACACAGCAGTGGGAAGCATTGGAGTCAACATGCGCCAGCATCCCTGTGCAACGCTTTCGACACCTTTTAGTCCATGCCCCGACGAATTGAGACTGTTCTGAGGACAAAAGGGGGTGCAACTCAATATTAGGAAGGTGTTCCTAATGTTTTGGTCACTCAGTGTATAATTCCCTATATTTCCTATGGGCCCTGGTCAAAAGTAGTGCACTATTTAGGGAATAGGGTGCCATTTGGAATGCAGGCAGAGTTTATATTACCTCACACTGCGTTACATCTCATCAGTAGCGTAGCAACTGCCCAGCTTCTCTCACACTCAGATTTATTGCAAAGCAAAACCCAGGACTGCAGCAAATGACTCTCGTCTCATTACAATCACATTGGCAGTGATTACCAATGCCTGGCACTTAGGTTGTCTGCTGCTGATCAGCGCTGGGGCCCAATGGGTACTTGATGTGGTACTTGAATTAACATCCATCATGTTGGGGGAGTAGTTAATACGTTGTGGGTGTTCCGCTGCAAATCTCAGCCTGCTACTTGTTGTTGTTTAGGCTGCAGGTGAGTTGTCTTGATTAGTTGCGAAAGATTCACTACACAAAATCAACATTGTCTCAAGTGTGGTGGTGTTAGCATTACCTGATTTGAGTTTATTAGATATGCATCAGTACACAGAGAACACACCAAACAAGCCGGTATGTTGCCCAATGCTCAAGCAGTAGTAGGCCCTCAATGTGCTGTTGTGTGTCTGTTACTCTGTTCTCCCTCTGGCTCTCCACCCCTAAGTGTTCATTTTGAGCAGAGTCCCTGGGAAAACAGATGTGTCAGATGAAGCTGCCATAGGAATTTTGCTTCTGCCGTGCAGTGTAGGTCTAGATATTTATAGTCCAGATTCACCCTAAGTTGTCCCCAAGGACCGTTTGTCCTTTTCCCTGCTCCTAAAGACCTTACCTGTAGTAACGGTTTGATTCATTGCAGTATTATAGGTTAATGTAGCCTACTACACCACTGGGTACCAATGAAGAAAGGTTGGTCCCATGAGCTGGTAGTTAGTTAGGTTTATACTCTTTCCATGCTGGTGGATGTATAATGCATTGCAAGGTTTAAAGCAGTGGAATAATCGTCATGAGTTGGATCCAGTGGATATCATGGCTATTAAATCACAATCCCAGGTTGTAAAACAATTTAGACTACGTTAAAGCTGAACTGAAACGTTTTAGGAAGTAAGGGTTCTTTTTAATAATGCTTTATTAGGCCTAGGTATTCATAAGAGCCTACTTCAGAGATTTTTTTTTTTCATTTTGATCTTTGGGTTGTTCAAATCTTGAGAGGATGTTGAAGTAAATAAATCTGCTTTCCTCTGTTGCAGTATGAGCAAGCTTTTATTTAGTGTAGTGTTGATTTATTTCTTTAGAAGTGAGAGAATGACTTATGACCATATTTTAATAATAATAGACTACACAGGGAAGTTGTTTTAGTGAACTGAGGTTTGCTCTTGTTCTTTGTCTTTTAAGCAGAATCAGGGAGCTGGAAGCCTGCTTACTGTGTGTTGGGACAACATAGTTGTATATTATTGGAGCAACCTCAATCCATCTATTCTCAAGCCTTGTGAGGCCACAGATTTAGTGATTATTATGCATTTATTCCTCTTCAAGCGTAATGAGGGCAAGTATCCAAACCTTTTTTGAATTAATTTCTTTGGAAGCGTCTCGTTTTTGAATTAATTTCTTTGGAAGGTGAGTTGAACTTTTTAAATAGAGGGCTTGGAATGGCCTACTTCTCCTCCCAGGCTGCTATGGTGACTGAACTGGGGCAGACCAGAACAGAATACCAGCTGTAGTCTCTGGCTTTCTGCTCTGTGCTGGATAAAAAGGTCATGTCTACTTTGCTATATTTATTACGCTGTCCTATGTTGTTATCACACACACACAGAGAGAGAGAGAGGAGGTTGTTACAAAGTGAGAGGTGTATTTTTGTCCACAGCAGTGCAGCTGCCAACAGTTTGTTTTGCCCTGGGTGTTGTGTGTGGTTATAGCCACATGGCCCTTCATGGCCTATAGTAATCCCTGGGTGGTGGGTGATACCTCATCCTGTCATGCACACACACACACACACACACACACACACACACACACGAGAGAGGAGGATGTTACAAAGTGAGAGGTGTATTTTTGTCCGCAGCTGCCAACAGTTTGTTTTGCCCTGGGTGTTGTGTGTGGTTATAGCCACATGGCCCTTCATGGCCTATAGTAATCCCTGGGTTGTGAGTGATACCTCATCCTGTCATGCACACACACACACTGGGCTGTCAGCGCTAAAGGGGGCATCTTATTAGGCAGCTAACACTGTTCCGTATTCAGCTGTAACCTCACCTGACCATTGCCTGGCCAACACAGCCCAGTGGGGATTCTCCTGGGTCTCTGTCTCATAGTGGGACACTTCTGCCCTGTCATACCTATTCCCACCTGACTCCATCCCTCCCTCCCCTCCACTCCAGAGGAGGCCAGTGATTTGCAGAGCCAACAGAAACAGGAGAGCAGACTAAGGGAAAGCTAATGGAGTGGAAATGCTGAGAGGGCTGGAAGATACTCAGTCGGGCAGTATTTCTGTAAATAGGTAGAAGAAATGTCCAGTTCAATGTAATATACTGTAGTATACTAGTAGTATTTCTGTTATAGCTGGTAGTATCTATTATTCATACTGTTTACAGGCAGGATGCGATGCGGCCCAGGCCGGGCGTTTCTTTACTGTTGCTGTTTTCTCTGACCCTGGAGAAGTGAACAGATGAGTTCCGACACGGCTCTGTTTTTCTCTCCATCCCTAGGAGGCAGACAGCTGGGAAATCATTGAGGGGCTGAAAATCGGTCAGAGCAACGTCCAGAGGCCAGATAAGCACGAGGGCTTCATGCTGAAGAAGCGAAAATGGCCGCTGAAAGGCTGGCACAAGGTAGGGCTTGATGACCGAGTGGGACACAACACTGTTTACTTGTTTTCATCGATTTCCTTGTTGTGAAACCCTTCAGAAAAGTCAACAAACAATTCTCACAGTTCTCTTCAAATAGGGGACATATATTTCCAGAGACAAGTACTGTTGTCCCACCAACTCAATGTTTTGTTGTTGTTGTTTTTCCAAAGCGTTTTTTTGTCCTGGACAATGGGATGCTGAAGTACTCCAAGTCGCCCATTGATGTGAGTAACCCTGACTAGTAGCCACGGGGCAGAGACCGAGGGCAGGGATGGAGGGCAGCCTCACTTGGCATGGCTGTGGCACCATGGTGACTCAGCAGAAACACCCCCAGGGTCACTCTGCCCATTGTGTTTCAGCTGGCCCATGTCAGTCTGCAGGAAATCTCCAAATTACTTGCTAAACTGCTGCGTCCACACTAATCAGATGTGTACAAAGGGCCCTTCCTTTCACAGTGCTTCCTGGAAGCAGCCATGTTCTTGTCAGCCTTTACCTCTTTGAACCAAACTGTCAAACTAGCCTCAATGCATGATGTTGCGTAATGGTGCTGAATTTCATGATGATTACTTTTGAATAAGACTTTAGAGTCAAGTAGGCCTATAGCTTTCGATCATATGATGCTATTTTCTTTTTCTTCACCTTAAGAATTCTATTTATTTATACAGCAACAATGAGTTACCATACCTGCTTACATGACTTACGTTGACTTTTGTTAACTCTCTTTTCTAAGATTCAGAAGGCCAAACTGCATGGCTGCATTGATGTGGGTCTGTCAGTCATGTCCATTAAGAAGAAGGCCCGCCGCATTGACTTGGACACAGAGGAGCATATATACCACCTTAAAGTAAGCTTCATTGTGACGGAGATAGAAAGGATGGATGATAAAGGCGAAGTCAGGCCCTTGACTGAGGGATGGGACGAGGACAATTTCTATACTGAACAGAAATGCAACAATTTCTAAGATTTTGCTTAGTTACAGTTCATATAAGGAAATCAGTCAATTGAAATAAATTCATTAGGCCCTAATCTATGGATTTCACATGACTAGGCAGGGGCCACCTACTTGGGAGCCAAGCCCAGCCACTGGGGAGCCAGGCCCAACCAATCAGAATGAGTTTTTTATTATCTTGACAAAGGATAAAATGCTCACTAACAGGAATGCACAAAATTTGAGAAAAGCAAGCTTTTTGTGCGTATGGAAAATTTCTGGGATCTTTTATTTCAGCTCATGAAACATGGGACCAACACTTTACATGTTTATATTTTTGATCAGTATACACTATATATGCAAAAGTATGTGGACACCCCTACAAATTAGTGGATTCGGCTATTTCAGCCACACCCGTTGCTGGCAGGTGTATAAAATCTAGCACACAGCCATGCAATCTCCATAGACAGACATTGGCAGTAGAATGGCCTTACACAAACCTAAGATCACCATGCGCAATGCCAAGCGTCGGCTGGAGTGGTGTAAAGCTCGCCGCCATTGGACTCTGGAGCAGTGGAAATGTGTTCTCTGGAGTGATGAATCACGCTTCCCCATCTGGCAGTCAGACAGACAAATCTGGGTTTGGCGGATGCCAGGAGAACGCTACTTGCCCCAATGCATAGTTCCAACTGTAAAGTTTGGTGGAGGATAAATAATGGTCTGGGGTTGTTATTCATGGTTCGGGCTAGGCCCCTTAGATCCAGTGAAGGGAAATGTTAATGCTACAGCATACAATGACATTCTAGACGATTCTGTGCTTCCATCTTTGTGGCAACAGTTTGGGAAGGCCCTTTCCTGTTTCAGCATGACAATGCCCCCGTGCACAAAGAAAGGTCCATACAGAAATAGTTTGTCAAGATCGGTGTTGGAAGAACTTGACTGGCCTGCACAGAGCCCTGACCTCAACCCCATCGAACACCTTTGGGATGAATTGGAACGCCGACTGTGAGCCTGATCGCCCGACATCAGTGCCAGACCTCACTAATGCTCTTGTGGCTGAATGGAAGCAAGTCCCTGCAGCAATGTTCCAACATCTAGTGGAAAGCCTTCCCAGAAGAGCGGAGGCTGTTATAGCAGCAAAGGGGTGACCAACTCCATATTAATGCCCATGATTTTGGAGTGAGATGTACAGTAGCCTACATAAGCATTTCACTGTTAGTCTACACCTGTTGTTTATGAAGCATGTGACAAATAACATTTGATTGGATTTACTGTGGCATCACTCTACATTTGCGTTACTCAAAGCCTTTGCCCTTTCCTCTCCTTCTCACTTCTCTTCTATTCCTTTCCCCTCTTCTCTTCTCTCTTCTCAGGTCAAGTCTCCAGACATCTTTGACTCCTGGGTGGTCAAGCTGCGCCACCACCGTCTCTACCGGCAGAATGAGATTGTCCGCTCCCCCCGAGATGCCACCATAAGGACATTCCCTCCCCCTGCCACCACAGAGTCCCCCATCCCACACCCTCACCCCCACCCTCACCCTCAGCCAGCCCCCTCCCCCGCTGCAGGACAACATGACGTAAAGGTGGGCCTCTCTTCCCTGGCAGTTACTTCGGCACAGTTGTTCTCTGCTGTGGTAAGCTGAACTCTTATGTCTGTCTGACTCAGGTTGGGTTTACATAGTGGTAGTGGCCCTCAAATACAATGCTATTAACGTTTCAATATACAGCCACTCAACATTTTTATTTGCGACGGGTTCTAACAACCCTGTTCAGTTACTGAGCTAATTATAAGACTAATGGCTCTGAATCCCCCAGGAAGGGGAGAGTCTCTGGCAGACTCAGGTTATTAGGACTCCTCAAACAAGCCTGTATTCAGAGCAGCTGGGTCTGGGTCTGGCCCTGGGCCTGCACGCTACGGCCTCCTACTGATCAGCACTCTCACAGGACCTAAATCAATAAAGATCTGAGGCTTTGAAGTGGTGATGATGCAGAAAATCTTTACTGTTCTAAATAGGAAATCTTTGATGATTTGGACATACTATACAGTGAGGGAAAAAAGTATTTGATCCCCTGCTGATTTTGTACGTTTGCCCACTGACAAAGAAATGATCAGTCTATAATTTTAATGGTAGGTTTATTTGAACAGTGAGAGACAGAATAACAACAAAAAAATCCAGAAAAACGAATGTCAAAAAATGTTATAAAAAATGTTATAAATTGATTTGCATTTTAATGAGGGAAATAAGTATTTGCCCCTCTGCAAAACATTACTTAGTACTTGGTGGCAAAACCCTTGTTGGCAATCACAGAGGTCAGACGTTTCTTGTAGTTGGCCACCAGGTTTGCACACATCTCAGGAGGGATTTTGTTCTACTCCTCTTTGCAGATCTTCTCCAAGTCATTAAGGTTTCGAGGCTGACGTTTGGCAACTCGAACCTTCAGCTCCATCCACAGATTTTCTATGGGATTAAGGTCTGGAGACTGGCTACTCCAGGACCTTAATGTGCTTCTTCTTGAGCCACTCCTTTGTTGCCTTGGCCGTGTGTTTTGGGTCATTGTCATGCTGGAATACCCATCCACGACCCATTTTCAATGCCCTGGCTGAGGGAAGGAGGTTCTCACCCATGATTTGACGGTACATGGCCCCGTCCATCGTCCCTTTGATGTGGTGAAGTTGTCCTTTCCCCTTAGCAGAAAAACACCCCCAAAATATAATGTTTCCACCTCCATGTTTGACGGTGGGGATGGTGTTCTTGGGATCATAGGCAGCATTCCTCCTCCTCCAAACACGGCGAGTTGAGTTGATGCCAAAGAGCTCCATTTTGGTCTCATCTGACCACAACACTCACCCAGTTCTCCTCTGAATCATTCAGATGTTCATTGGCAAACTTCAGACGGGCATGTATATGTGCTTTCTTGAGCAGGGGGACCTTGCGGGCGCTGCAGGATTTCAGTCCTTCACGGCGTAGTGTGTTACCAATTGTTTTCTTGGCGACTATGGTCCCAGCTGCCTTGAGATCATTGACAAGATCCTCCCGTGTAGTTCTGGGCTGATTACTCACCGTTCTCATGATCATTGCAACTCCACGAGGTGAGATCTTGCATGGAGCCCCAGGCCGAGGGAGATTGACAGTTCTTTTGTGTTCCATTTGCAAATAATCGCACCAACTGTTGTCACCTTCTCACCAAGCTGCTTGGCAATGGTCTTGTAGCCCATTCCAGCCTTGTGTAGGTCTACAATCTTGTCCCTGACATCCTTGGAGAGCTCTTTGGTCTTGGCCATGGTGGAGAGTTTGGAATCTGATTGATTGATTGCTTCTGTGGACAGGTGTCTTTTATACAGGTAACAAACTGAGATTAGGAGCACTCCCTTTAAGAGTGTGCTCCTAATCTCAGCTCATTACCTGTATAAAAGACACCTGGGAGCCAGAAATCTTTCTGATTGAGAGGGGGTCAAATACTTATTTCCCTCATTAAAATGCAAATCAATTTATAACATTTTTGACATGCGTTTTTCTGGATTATGTTGTTGTTATTCTCTCTCACTGTTCAAATAAACCTACCATTAAAATTATAGACTGATCATTTCTTTGTCAGTGGGCAAACGTACAAAATCAGCAGGGGATCAAATACTTTTTTCCCTCACTGTATCTCCTGTCCTTTGCATCACAGTTATTATACTAATTTCTATTAGAAAGCATGAATTATCTTAGAATGTCTCTTAGAAAGTAGGAAATATACATGTTTCTCTCACATCTAGTGTGTGTTATACAGGAGGTATACATACTGTGTGTCTGAGGTGTGTTTACTAACCAACCCCCTGTGTTTCTAACCCTGTCCTCCAGCAGCCCAAACCCACCACCCTTCCATCATGGCAGTCCCCCCCAGTCCCCAGTAGCAGTAGCAACCTGCCTGCCTCCTACAGTAACGGACAGAGCAAGGTGGCCGCATGGCTCCAGGAGTCGGAGGAGATGGACAAGTGTACAGAGGGTAAGTACCCTCTTCCTCTCTTCCTTCCTCCCACCATTACTGCTGTGAAACATCCTTCTATTCTATCGGGATGATGAGAAGGATCCGCAATATATTTCCCTTTCCCTGCCAACATTGAAAGATTTACTGTATTATTCATATGATGGGCTATTCTCCTCATGCCCAGGTCTGGTGGATTTACAATAGCTCCTGATAGTAGCAACTAGGGTTGCAAAGGGAGGGTATATTACTGGAAACGTTCTAAGTTTACCAGTAAACTACCAGAATTTTTGAATCTTTCAAGGATTTTACAGTGGGGGAAAAAAGTATTTAGTCAGCCACCAATTGTGCAAGTTCTCCCACTTAAAAAGATGAGAGAGGCCTGTAATTGTTATCATAGGTACACGTCAACTATGACAGACAAATTGAGAAAATAAATTTCAGAAAATCACATTGTAGGATTTTTAATGAATTTATTTGCAAATTATGGTGGAAAATAAGTATTTGGTCACCTACAAACAAGCAAGATTTCTGGCTCTCACAGACCTGTAACTTCCTCTTTAAGAGGCTCCTCTGTCCTCCACTCGTTACCTGTATTAATGGCACCTGTTTGAACTTGTTATCAGTATAAAAGACACCTGTCCACAACCTCAAACAGTCACACTCCAAACTCCACTATGGCCAAGACCAAAGAGCTGTCAAAGGACACCAGAAACAAAATTGTAGACCTGCACCAGGCTGGGAAGACTGAATCTGCAATAGGTAAGCAGCTTGGTTTGAAGAAATCAACTGTGGGAGCAATTATTAGGAAATGGAAGACCTACAAGACCACTGATAATCTCCCTCGATCTGGGGCTCCACGCAAGATCTCACCCTGTGGGGTCAAAATGATCACAAGAACGGTGAGCAAAAATCCCAGAACCACACGGGGGGACCTAGTGAATGACCTGCAGAGAGCTGGGACCAAAGTAACAAAGCCTACCATCAGTAACACACTACGCCGCCAGGGACTCAAATCCTGCAGTGCCAGACGTGTCCCCCTGCTTAAGCCAGTACATGTCCAGGCCCGTCTGAAGTTTGCTAGAGTGCATTTGGATGATCCAGAAGAGGATTGGGAGAATGTCATATGGTCAGATGAAACCAAAATAGAACTTTTTGGTAAAAACTCAACTTGTCGTGTTTGGAGGACAAAGAATGCTGAGTTGCATCCAAAGAACACCATACCTACTGTGAAGCATGGGGGTGGAAACATCATGCTTTGGGGCTGTTTTTCTGCAAAAGGACCAGGACGACTGATCCGTGTAAAGGAAAGAATGAATGGGGCCATGTATCGTGAGATTTTGAGTGAAAACCTCCTTCCATCAGCAAGGGCATTGAAGATGAAACGTGGCTGGGTCTTTCAGCATGACAATGATCCCAAACACACCGCCCGGGCAACGAAGGAGTGGCTTCGTAAGAAGCATTTCAAGGTCCTGGAGTGGCCTAGCCAGTCTCCAGATCTCAACCCCATAGAAAATCTTTGGAGGGAGTTGAAAGTCTGTGTTGCCCAGCGACAGCCCCAAAACATCACTGCTCTAGAGGAGATCTGCATGGAGGAATGGGCCAAAATACCAGCAACAGTGTGTGAAAACCTTGTGAAGACTTACAGAAAAAGTTTGACCTGTGTCATTGCCAACAAAGGGTATATAACAAAGTATTGAGAAACTTTTGTTATTGACCAAATACTTATTTTCCACCATAATTTGCAAATAAATTCATTAAAAATTCTACAATGTGATTTTCTGGTTTTTCTTTGGTCATTTTGTCCGTCATAGTTGACGTGTACCTATGATGAAAATTACAGGCCTCTCTCATCTTTTTAAGTGGGAGAACTTGCACAATTGGTGGCTGACTAAATACTTTTTTTCCCCACTGTATGTAATCTATCACAAGACATCTAGTGGCCCTTTTGGGTACTTTAGATTATCACAGGTGTCTGTAATTATCTCTGGCCCTCTCTCTGGCTTTATCACATGTAAAATATATGAAATACTATAAATAAATAGAATGTCAAAGCTGTAAAACATTATCATAAATATAAACCATCAACTTAGTGAATACCATTTTTGTTTAATATAAGGGTTTCAGCATAAAATATCCCTTTTTATTTTTACACTTTTATTTATTTGACTATGTCAATATGTTTGTTGTCAATGTTTTGACGTCAAACTGGTGGCAGTTGTGTAAAAAGTCAATAATTGGACGAGTTGCAGAAGTAATTGAAAATAATGCCATTGTTGATTAGATGCTTTTTTCATGAATTGGGCTATTTTCTCTTTAACCATATGGTCTATCGACTAGAAACTCGTGGACAATACTAATACTGTATATTAATAAATAACTAAAAAGTTATTCAAGTATAAATGACCAAAGTTACGATAGATTGCCATAGATTTTCTGTTAATTACCAAACCAAAATGACTGAAGATTCCGCTAACTTTGGTAAATTACCAGTAGCTTTGCAACCCTAGTAGCATCTGCCTGTCATATTATTCCACTTTGTTACTTAAACTAATAAGGTTATTTGTTTTTCCATAATTGTTCTCTCATTTGTTAAACACCGCAGTGATGGAAAAACGATGAGTCACATTCACTTCATTGTGTCAGACGTGGCCTTCCAGTGTGTGACACATTACCTTGTGTTGCTTCTTCCCAGAGCTCGCCCGCTGCCAGTCCAGCCTGATCGAGCTGAGCAAGTTACTGCAGAGCCTGGAGATCTTACAGAGGACCCAGTCAGCGCCTAATTTCACTGACATGCAGGTAACACACACACACACACACACACACACACACACACACACACACACACACACACAGCAAGAGTAGGGAGAGTTTAATCTCAGTACAGCAGTGTCTGAGTGTGGTTAGTGTCACTCTGTCTCTCTCCAAAGGGAGGAGGGGGGGGGGGGGGGGGGTGTTACTCTAATGGATGGAGGTGTGTATCTCTGGGCCTCATGGTCAGGCCCAATCCGTTTCCAACACAGCCTTCATCTCTGCCACTGTACATCAACACAGTCTAATAGACTCATCATTCATTGTTGCGTTTGTTGCTTTCCAATCAATGTATAACAAATTGCATTTGATTAAGAGCATACATCAACATTTGAATGTTTGCCATTTGCTTTGAATCGTTTCATTTCATTAAGATAGTCATATTTCTTTAACTCAATTGTGTGGAGACAATCCCATCCTCCATTTCATAGCTAAAATGTGTGTGTGGGTTAACTGTCACTGCTGCTGTGTTATCTGGCATCATTGCTGCTTTCATAGTGATGATGCAACTTTTGCTTGTCTTATTAACCACCTCTCACATATTCTGATCCGTGTTTGTTATGCAGAGCAATTGTGTAGACATGTCAAAGAAAGACAAGCGCATGAACAGAAGATGGAGAACAAAAAGTGTCGGCAAAGATGCAAAATTGCAGCTTCAGGTACCTCTTATTTCTTAGATATCCAGTCTCTCTCTTTTTCTGTCTCACGCACACATAGTTCTCTGGAATTGTTTCTGGTTTAGTAGCCTCCATACAAAATGCCCCAGACATATTCAAGGCAGTTCTTCTGTGTCCGAACGCCCTCATTGTGCAGCTGTCTGCAGGAGGAAGCACAGGCACATCATTATGTTGAAGTTTTTTCTATGGTTGCGTCCCAAATGGCACCCTATACCCTATTTAGTGCACTACTACCCATAGGGCCCAAAAGTAGTGCACTATATAGGGAATAGGGTGCCATTTGGAATGTATCCATGTAGCCCCACTGCATTATCGCCTACCGACATGGGTCATGCAATTATAGGTCAGGACACAGAGAACATGTTAGGCTATCTGCTCAGGATTCAATGTCCTTTTGTACTTATCATAATACAAAGCCTGAACCACATACCCTGTTTTGGGCTGTACAATTACTTTTTTCTTATTGACTAAATTCCCCCATTTACTTTTAACACTCTCTACTGCTTCAGGAAAAGGCTAGTCATGCTTTGGATTCATATTACGCTCCGTTTTTAAACTGTTCCAATGGCCCATTACAACAACGGACAGTTTAAAAGCCTTTTCCTTCATGATACTGAGTTCTTATCACTACGGGTGTGCTGGTAGATTATGTAGCCCAGAACCAACCGTTTCCTCACTAGTGGTCCTCTGGGATACGTAGTGTAAATGAATGAGTGAGTCATCAGTCCAGGAGAAACAAGGGCAAGGGTTTTTTCCTTGTTTTATGGTTTATTTATAGCTGAGGGTCATGAAAAGAACATTGGTTGGAACAACAATGCTGGCTCCAATGACTTGGCAGACTTGGTATGATTTATATAGCGATGTAAACAAACACACAAGTGTGAGTATCTATCTATTATTTACTATCAGTCTGTATGCTCAAATATTTAGCTGAAGAGACAACAGAAGGGTGTTATATAAGGAGCCAGAACTTGAGCTTAATCTGGACCCATTCAGTCCTTTCTATGTGTAGACACATAACTTGGCCTACATTCCCACCACCTACAGTGCCTTCAGAAAGTATTCATATCCGTTGACTTATTCCACATTTTGTTGTGTTACAGCCTGAATTCAAAATGGATTAAATCAATTTCTTTCTCACCCATCTGGCCTTGTGTTTTAGGTTATTGTCCTGCTGAAAGGTGAATTCGTCTCACAGTGTATGTTGGAAAGCAGACTCAACCAGGTTTTCCTCTGTGATTTTGCCTGTGCTTGTAGCTGTATTCCGTTTCTTTTTATCCTAAAAAACTCACCACTACCATGCTTGAAAATATGAAGAGTGGTACTCAGTGATGTGATGTGTTGTTGGATTTGCCCCAAACATTCAGGACAAAAAATTTCTTTGCCACATTTTTTGCAGTATTACTTTAGTGCCTTGTTGCAAACAGGATGCATGTTTTGGAATATTTTTTATTCTCTACAGGCTTCCTTCTTTTCACTCTGTTATTTAGGTTAATATTGTGGAGTAACTACAATGTTGTTGATCCATCCTCAGTTTTCTCATATCACAGCCATTAAACTCTGTCACTGTTTTAAATATCACCATTGGCCTCTTGGTGAAATCCCTGAGCTGTTTCCTTCCTCTCTGGCCACTGAGTTAGGAAGGACGCCTGTATCTTTGTAGTGACAGGGTGTATTGATACACCATCCAATGCCTAATTAATAACTTCACCATGCTCAAGGGATATTCAGCATCTGCTTTTTTTTCTGCCAATTGGTGCCTGTCTTTGTGAGGCATTGAAAAACTTCCCTGGTCTTTGTGGTTGAATCTGTGCTTGAAATTCACTACTCTATTGAGGGACCTTACAGATAATTATATGTGTGGGGTACAGAGATGGGGTAGCTATTCAAAAATCATGTTAACCATTATTTGTGAACACTGAATGAGTCAATGTAACTTATTATGTGACTTGTGAAGCACATTTTTACTCCTGAACTTATTTAGGGTAGAATAACAAAGGGGTTGAATACTTATTGACTCAAGACATTTCCACTTTGGCATTATGGGGTATTGTGCGTAGATCAGGGACACAAAATCTCAATTTATCACATTTTAATTCAGGCTGTAACACAACAAAATGTGGAAAAAGTAAAGGGGTCTGAAGGCACTGTAAGTTTTCCAGGTGGTACTTACAGTGCCCCACTCCCCTCCTCGCTCTCAGGTCCCGTCTCTCCCTGTGAGTGCCAGTATGTCTCCAGTCCGCCTCCACTCCTCAAACCCCAACCTGAGTGCTGAGCTGGTGGACATCCAGACCCCTGCCTCTCGCCTGGCTCCTGACAACATAGAGTGTGGTGGCGACTACATCAAACTACAGGAGGACTTCTGCCTCATTGCGCAGAAAGGTACACACACATGCATATATAGTTGAAGTCTGAAGTTTACATACACTTAGGTTGGAGTCATTAAAACTTGTTTTTCAACCACTCCACAAATTTCTTGTTAACAAACTATAGTTTTGGCAAGTCGGTTAGGACATCTACTTTGTGCATGACACAAGTTATTTTTCCAACAATTGTTTACAGACAGATTATTTCACTTATAATTCACTGTATCACAATTCCAGTGGGTCAGAAGTTTACATACACTAAGTTGACTGTGCCTTTAAACAGCTTGGAAAATTCCAGAAAATGATGTCATGGCTTTAGAAGCTACTGATAGGCTAATTGACATAATTTGAGTCAATTGGAGGTGTACCTGTGGATGTATATGAAGGCCTACCTTCAAACTCAGTGCCTCTTTGCTTGACATCATGGGAAAATCTAAAGAAATCAGCCAAGACCTCAGGAAAAAAATTGTAGACCTCCACAAGTCTGGTTCATCCTTGGGAGCAATTTCCAAACGCCTGAAGGTATCACGTTCATCTGTACAAACAATAGTACGCAAGTATAAACACCATGGGACCACGCAGCCGTCATACCGCTCAGGAAGGAGACGCGTTCTGTCTCCTAGAGATTAACGTACTTTGGTGCGAAAAGTGCAACTCAATCCCAGAACAACAGCAAAGGACCCTGTGAAGATGCTGGAGGAAACAGGTACAAAAGTATCTATATCCATAGTAAAACGAGTCCTATATCGACATGCCGCTCAGCAAGGAAGAAGCCACTGCTCCATAACCACCATAAAAAAGCCAGACTACGGTTTGCAACTGCACATGGGGACAAAGAACGTACTTTTTGGAGAAATGTCCTCTGGTCTGATTAAACAAAAATAGAACTATTTGGCCATAATGACCATCGTTATATTTGGAGGAAAAAGGGGGGTGCTTGCAAGCCGAAGAACACCATCCCAACCGTGAATCCCAGCACGGGGGTGGTAGCATCATGCTGTGGGGGTGCTTTGCTGCAGGAGGGACTGGTGCACTTCACAAAATAGATGGCATCATGAGGAAGGAAAATTATGTGGATATATTGAAGCAACATCTCAAGACATCAGTCAGGAAGTTAACGCTTGGTCACAAATGGGTCTTCCAAATGGACAATGACCCCAAGCATACTTCCAGAGTTGTGGAAAAATGGCTTAAGGACAACAAAGTCAAGGTATTGGACTGGCCATCACAAAGCCCTGACCTCAATCCTATAGAAAATTTGTGGGCAGAACTGAAAAAGCGTGTGCGAGCAAGGAGGCCTACAAACCTGACTCAGTTACACCAGCTCTGTCAGGAGGAATGGGCTAAAATTCACCCAACTTATTGTGGAAGGCTACCCGAAACGTTTGACCCAAGTTAAACAATTTAAAGGCAATGCTACCAAATACTAATTGAGTGTATATAAACTTCTGACCTACTGGGAATGTGATGAAATAAATAAAAGCTGAAATAAATCATTCTCTACTATTATTCTGACATTTCACATTCTTAAAATAAAGTGGTGATCCTAACTGACCTAAAACAGGGAATGTTTACTAGGATTAAATGTCAGGAATTGTGAAAAACTGAGTTTAAATGTATTTGGCTAAGGTGTATGTAAACTTCCAATTTCAACTGTACACAGACAGGCTGCTGCACTGATAATAGAAAGGTCATGTTAGACCAGCCTTTTTTTTTTTTTTACACCTTTATTTAACTAGGCAAGTCAGTTAAGAACCAATTCTTATTTACAATGACGGCCAAACCCGGACGACGCTGGGCCAATTGTGCGCCGCCCTTAAAGTATGGGTCGTGACCCAAAGTGGGTCGGGGACCTGTTAATGGTGGGTTGCGACGTGTCAGAGTAAATGTATAATTATTTCATGAATTACTCTAATTGATTTGGCCAAGTGCAACTGCGCTCTCTGTTTAGCAGCGGTGTCTGCTCAGTTTGGCAGCTGCGCGAGTGGGAGGGAGATGTGCGTCGTGCTTTACCGGATATTTTTTCGTGAAAATCACTCCGCTACCCCTCACGCTGCAGCGTTGTCGTCCAGCAGCAGACGATGTGCTGTCAGCCACTGGCTTGTCATTCGAATTGACTTAAGCTAGCAACAAGTTCTGACTGAGCTCAATAATCATAAAACGCAAATACAGCGATGAGTTTCTCTCTCTTGGTTTCATACAAACTTTGAGAAATAACTAGGAGCGCCCACAATGTGTTTTGTGAGGGGGAGTGCTTAGTAATAAGGCTCTCAAAACTAACAAATTAAAACGACACGTCCTGACCAAACATCCACAGCATGACGGTAACCTCAGGGACTTCTTTCAAAACAGGGCAGAATGCTTCAGGACAGTGGAAGTGTACGTCACCTAGCAAGGCATTGTTGTCATTTTATTACAGGTGTTGATAAGCAGAAATAAGGGAGTACTATCTCTCATAGTAGTCGATGTGAGTTTCTCTTTCAAACAATCACCTTGTATACAGCTAATAGCTAGCTAACGTTAGCCAAAGCAAGCTAGCTAGCTACTGATAGTGCAACCCTAAGTAACTAACAGTACAGATGAAAAATTATCAGCCTATTGTACATTTTACTGTAGACATTATTGTTGGAAGCAAGTATAGGTTGGAACTGTTGCTGTTAAATTACAAGTAATCATTTTTATTCTGAACTGGAATAAACTGATTGAAGCAAGATGCTTTTTGGGGCAAACACAGTTCCGGTTGCTCATCTACAGCAGGAAGTGGTCTCCTGCCTGACTGAGAACGCAGTAGATGTTCCGATCCAGTTTGGCACCACATACCTATGCGAGTCAGGTTTTTTTTAAACTGTGGCGTACTTAAACAACAAGTACAGAAACAGGCTCAATGCTGCGTATGACCTCAGGGTTGCACTGTCAAAAACAAAGCCCAGAATAGACCTGCTTGTTGAAAACTTCAACCAGCCTCACACCTCTCATTAGGATTGTGTGTGTGTGTGTGTTTGTTTGTTTGTTTTCTGGTCTACATCTGTGTGATGTGATCAGTTTATTCCAGTTCATAATAACAATTATGTATTGTATTTTAACAGTCACAGTTCCAACCTATACTTTTTTTCAACAATCATTTCTACAGTAAGGTGTACAGTAGGCCTGACCATTTTTCATCTGTACTGTTACTTAAGGTTGCACTATCAAAAACTGAGCCTGTGTGTGTGTGTCTTCTGTTAGACATTTGTGTGATGTGATCAATCAGTTTATTCCTGTTCAGAATGAAAATGATTTTTTTGTATTTTAACAGCAACAGTTCCAACCTAGATAGATATGTAAGAGTCTTTTTTTATGGGGAACAATAAACATGAATAGCTATTCATATGGGTATTTAATTTCATTGTTATTAGTTTTTGTCTATATTGCATGGGCAGTATAAGGGCAAAATTATGTACCCATATTTATGTGTAGTTGCATGTTTTCATAAGCTTGTGTCCCAGGAAAACACAGAATTTCTAATTTGGGTCCCAGGCTGAAAAAGTTTAAGAACCATTGTGTTAGACTATTGGAATAAATTTGACACCAACCAACAGATTTATTTACACTTCACATGGCTTTACACTATCCATACCACTAAAATATATATAGAACATTTTACTGAAGAGTTGTAACTAGAGGGTGTGTTTAAAACTGATTTCTGGTTCCTTTCTTTGCAGTCCACTCTCTGCTAAAGTCTGCGTTCAACACGGTGGCCATAGAGAAGGAGAAGATCAAAACGGTTCTGTCAGACCAGGATCAGTCATCAGGGCAGTCTGTCCAGCTCATCACCCTCAGGAAGTCTCTGTCACAGGTGAGACATGCAGGTGTTCTTTAAGAATTCTACAACAGTACCCAGAATTCCCCTGCACTGGGAACTGTCATTATAAATGGTTAATGTTGTTGTTTTTGTCAGAACTCACTGTATCACTTCAAATATTCAGTGCAGCACATAAAACATGGAATGTAATGGATGGAGAGATGAGGTGGTATGGCTTTCATCGTTTGTTTTACTAGACACACAGCTTAAGTTTGTTTTCTGTTTCTTTGAAAATGGATCCATATATTGTCACACAGTGAGACTAAGCTAATGACTCATCAGGGAAAACTGAGCAGCAATTGCTGATTCATTGCAGTCACTTTCATCTCTTTCTGAGAAGTGAAACGTGAAGATGAGAAAGAGGACAACTTAGTTAACAAACTGCTGTTATCTATTTTCAATATAATTGGAAAGTAATATTAACTGCGTCTCATTTCGGTGGGAAGTCCATTAAGTTGACTCCTTAGGGTTGCCAATGATTTCATTGGAGTGCACTCTGTGTTGACGGTTGACATGATGTCAAATTATTTTAGAGAAATGTGTCAACCGGTTTATCTACTGTTTTGGTTCTTAATTGGGAGTTATCGTAATAGTGCAGGTCAAGGGTATCAGCCCATGGCATGTAGTGTGTAGCATATGGCTACAGAGAGGGTTGTCGTGATGTCAACTCAACATGCCCTTTACTGCAGCTAAGGGTGGTCTGGGTAGCTGATTTACATTTATATTTTAGTCATTTAGCAGACGCTCTTATCCAGAGCGACTTACAGTTAGTGAGTGCATACATTTTCATACTGGCCCCCCGTGGGAAACGAACCCACAACCCTGGCGTTACTCCCGAGTGGCGCAGTGGTCTAAGGCAGTGCTAGCTGTGCCACTAGATATCCTGGTTCGAATCCAGGCTCTGTCGTAGCCGGCCGCGACCGGGAGACCCATGGGGCGGCGCACAATTGGCCCAGCGTCGTCCAGGGTAGGGGAGGGAATGGCCGGCAGGGATGCAGGGATGTAGCTCAGTTGGTGGAGCATGGCGTTTGCAACGCCAGGGTTGTGGGTTTGATTCCCACGGGGGGCCAGTATGAAAAAATTAAAAAATACAAATACAAAAAAATACAAAACATAATGTATGCACTCACCAACTGTAAGTCGCTCTGGATAAGAGTGTCTGCTAAATGACTAAAATGTAAATGTAAAAATGTAAATGTACAAAATTTTTGCAAGCGCCACGCTCTACCAACTGAGCTACAGGGGACTTGATGCAATATACTCTCCTTAGGGACCTGTTAGGTAGGTTTGATTTGAGTACTATTACAGTACAGCTCATTACTGCAGCAGTAAAATCTGTCTAACTATAGGCGACATTATAACTGTATCTCATTGTCACAAAATATGTCCATAGTGTGTCAGTACATACATTATAATGTGTAAATGAATGTAGAGCTGCACGACATAGATCCAGTTTGAACTCTTTATCTGTTTAGTTCTCCATTCCACTCTGCATTCTCTCATCTAGCTGACAGATTAGTGATTGATCATTATTTATTTCAGGCCCTGTCCCAAAACGCTGAGCTTAAAACCCGACTGGGCCGCATCCATTCTGAGTCGGTCCTGTCTGAACAAACAGTCAGTGTGAACATCATCCCCAGTCCTGACGAGGTAGCTACATCTTCAACTGGATCAACTTGTCTAATGTTTTTATGTTCCCCAAAACCAATGTCCCTGCCTTGCAGAAAACTTGCCATTGCAGTGCTGAATGTGCTTATAGCAGCCAACCGGTGGCTGCCAGGTGAGGTCAGGGAGACTAGTGATCTTGTGTGCTGTTTTCCCCTCTGTGGTGATACACATGCATTATAGAGCTGGCCAGGTAGCCTTAGTTAACTGGAAAACATTGTGTAATCTCTGCTTACTGCATTTGCCAATTACAGTATTGATTCCTGTCCTTAAAGAAGGATGGTGCTTCCAGTATATCTTGGCAGGTGAGCTTACTGATCATTAAGTTATGCTGACCCTGACGTCAAGGTAAATGGGAAAACGACTAATCAGAAAACAATGTGACCTCAGTCCTTTCAGGAATATAGGAAGACTAAAGACCCCATTACTAACTGCAGTTCTATGTCATTTCACCCACTAAAGTCACTATTAAAATAAGTTAATTGTGTTTCCTTACAGGCTGGTGAGCAGATGGGAATCCCTCTGACTCAACAGACGTCCAATGAGAGCAGGCTGTCCATGTCAGAGTCTGTGTCGGAGTTCTTTGACGCCCAGGAAGTGCTTCTGTCTGCCAGCTCGTCGGAGAACGAGGTAAGAGTGGGGCTGGGGCGTTGAGAGAGGGGTGGCAGTAGGACCATGGGGAGCAGATTGAAGAGGAAGGGGGAGGATGAAACATGTCAAAGAGCTGGGAGCTCAGATAAAGCATGGCCGATGGCCGAGTGGAGCTGGAGTTAGTCAGCGATTAATGAGAAGAGTGTGAGGGACAGAGATAACACAACGGAAAGTCAAACAAAGCCACACTGGAGGGGGATCTCCAGTCTCCATTCTATTATCCTGCTGCTTAAATCCTTCAACTGGATCCAGTCATGTCCTAAAGCACAGCAGCATTTCTCATGCCACTGTCCCCTGTGATTTCCCACCAACTCCAGGTTTTCAATGATAAGCCCTTCTTTATAGATTTGACATGGTTCATCCTCCAGACTGATGGTTTGTGTCCGTTCCTAAGCCACAGAGATGGCCTTTCTCACTCACTGCCATGACAGGCCCATTGCCATGAATACCAAGCACCAGTCAATATGGCCCCATAAAAGCCAGCAGGCCTGGCTAGCTGCTCCCCAGGTATGCAAACCAGGTGCTGCTAGCTAGAGTCCCACTGAAGGATTACTCACCAAGGATATCCCATCACTAGTCTAGGGCCAAATCCTCTGCCTCAGGTGCCAGGCCCCATTCAAACCAGCAGAGTGCTGTTGGCCAAAAAAGCTCTTCCAGCAGCCAACTGTACTGCAATAGAGGCCATTACTGCCATCAGCCACAATCTGCTGTTCACTGGCACAGTCAATGAGTTCATTGTATGTTACTATATATAAAGTGCATGGAAATGCTGCAGTGTCTCATATTGTGATTACTGCAGAGCGAGAGAGAGAAAGCCAGCGCTGACTGCAGTTTGCTAGCCACTGGCAAACTGTAGCGTGTATCCGTGTCTCTGTGTGTGTGTGTGTGTGTGTGTGTGTGTGTGTGTGTGTGTGTGTTATTGACTAGGCTCTCTGTGTGTGTGTACTGTACTGACTCAGTGGCTCTTTTGTCCCCCGCTCCCTCTAGGCCTCAGACGATGAGTCATACGTCAGCGACGTGAGCGATAACATTTCAGAGGACAATGCCAGTGTGACCGATAACGTCTCCAGACAAAGTAGGTTCCCCTCTCCGCGGCAGCCTCTCCTTCCATTAGAGCAGGGGGGCTAATGTAATAGAGGTGGTGGTGAACCCCCTGCCCCCACCACCTCCTCCCCCCTCTCCCACTGCAATGGCCAGGTCATTTATCAGTGAGGCAGGGATTGACCTTGCAGGGCTCACAGTGTGCCAAGAGCGGCACTCAGGGTTTATGAAAGCTATCAGTGTAAAGTGAAGGAGGTCCTCCCTCTCCTCTGCACAGGCAGACTCTATCTTCTATTCTATTCATTCATCCTTTGACTAGGTTTCAGTCATGAACTACCTGTGGCTATTATATGCAAGGACTAGGATTTGACGAAACCTGGTTCTGACAGTTGAGTCCTTGAGGGTGCTCCATGACAGTACTGTACTTTCCTATCTTTTCAGTGCCGAACGGAGACCTGGCTGGAAGTGCCTTCCGTAACGGGCGGCGCCCGTGCCTCCCCGCCCCCTCGCCGGACTGCAGCAACATCAACCTGTGGAACATCCTGAGGAACAACATAGGGAAGGACCTGTCCAAGGTGTCCATGCCCGTGGAGCTCAACGAGCCCCTCAATACCCTGCAGCACATGTGTGAGGAGCTGGAGTACACTGAGCTATTGGACAGGGCTGCCGATACGGAGGACCCCTACGAACGTATGGTACGGCCCAAACACTCACCCCTCTGAGTACCAACGCATGGTACGGCCCAAAGGCTCGCCTCTCTGAGTACGAATGCGTTTTATGGCCCAAACACTCACCTCTCTGAGTCCTATAACTTTATGGATACATGTAGAAAAGCCACAAGTATAACTCTGCATTCTCTACCACCACAAGGTATGACCTAATCGTACATTACTCTAACTCTTAGTGATGATGTGACCCACTCAACCAGCTAACAGACTCCAGAAGACATACCAGAGAGGCTCATTAGATGACGTAAAACCTCTTTAGATTAAGATGGTCATCAGCACAAGCAACCATATACATTCCCAGTCTCTACCATCACTAACCCATACTATGTGAGTACAGTCCATGGCATGTGCGCTGGCGTGGCATTGACAGTGCCATGCCCAAAGTAAACAGTCTGAACAACAGCCCTGGCCTCTTCCAGAGACAAAGCCCAGAGACAGCACGCTCTGATGCAGCTGTCGACCTTGTTCAATCTCACATCTGTCATTCTCCTGTCTTTGTTACCATAACAGGACGGTGTGTGAATACTAATGTTGCAAAAACGACTATAATTATATTTTAGTGGGAGGTTGTAAACCAGTATGTACCAGGGGTTTAACTAGTGTTTAGATGATTTTATCATGCAGTATTGTATGCCCAAATGATTAATTTGTAACTTTTATCAAACAAAGAATACTTCTGTTTCAGTGTAACGCCACTGGCAGTATTGATGGAAAGCGTTGTGTATGTTTTAAGTTGTTAGCGTTGATTGTGTTGCCGTTTCTCTGCTACAGGCCATTATGGCAGCGTTCGTCATCTCAGGATACTCCTCCACGTACTACAGAGCGGGAAGCAAGCCATTCAACCCTTTACTTGGAGAGACATATGAATGTATCCGCGAGGACAAGGGCATGTGTTTTATCGCTGAGCAGGTAGGTTCTCACGGGGGGGGCCAGTATGAAACATTTATGCACTCACTAACTGTTAAGTCACTTTGGATAAAAGCGTCTGCTAAATGACTAAAATGTAAAAGTAAATGTTCTCACAACACGTTCATTACAGTGTTGCGCGGGCCATATATAGGAGTGCTGATCTGGGATCAGTTTAGCCTTTTACATTATAATGAACGGACAGGGGGGGACCTGATCCTAGATCACACACTGCTTTATGAATACAGGCCTTGGACTATCAACCAATACCTTACCCTCATAAGTGGTCAATAAATGAATAAACACTGTAAATATCCCTCAAAAACAGGTCAAATGTAGTGTCTCTAGACCAGGGGTGTCAAAATTATTTTTGCCCCACGGGCCGCATTCGCTCTTCACCTAGATCCGGAGGGACGCACTTAAAATGTGTTATATTTCCTCGCTGTCCCCAAAAAATAATAGTCCCATATCCATCACTTTTTGAATTTTCGGTTCTCCCTGACTGTCTAGCATTCGTTTCGATGACTGTTAGCAAGCTGGACAGAGTGAGGAGACTATAAATGTAGGACATTATACATTTTACACAGTTTCTATTAGTTTTTTGTCATTTCAATATCAATTGAGAAAAATAATATGATGAAAAAATATATATACAGTGCATTCGGAAAGTATTCAGACCCCTTGACTTTTTCCACATTTTGTTACGTTACATCCTTATTCAAAAATGTATTAAATAGTTTTTTTCCCCTCACCAATCTACACACAATACCCCATAATGACAAAGCAAAAACAGGGTGTTAGAAATTTTTGGAAATGTATTTAAACACAAAAAACGGAGATATCACATTTACATAAGTATTATGTACAAGGTGTCGAAAGCGTTCCACAGGGATGCTGGCCCATGTTGACTCCAATTATTCCCACAGTTGTGTCAAGTTGGCTGTATGTCCTTTGGGTGGTGGACCATTCTTGATACACACGGGAAACTGTTGAGCGTGAAACCCAGCAGCGTTGCAGTTCTTGACACAAACCGGTGCGCCTGGCACCTACCATACCCCGTTGAAAGGCGCTTAAATATTTTGTCTTGCCCATTCACCTTCTGAATGGCACACATACACAATCCATGTCTCAAGGCTTAATAATCCTTCTTTAACCTGTCTCCTCCCCTTCATCTACACTGATTTGAAGTGGATTTAACAAATGACATCAACAGGGGATCATAGCTTTTAGCTGGATTCACCTGGTCAGTCTGTCATGGAAAGAGCAGGTGTCCTTAATGTTTTGTACACTAAGTGTATACAGTGAGGGAAAAAAGTATTTGATCCCCTGCTGATTTTGTACGTTTGCCCACTGACAAAGACATGATCAGTCTATAATTTTAATGGTAGGTTTATTTGAACAGTGAGAGACAGAATAACAACGACAAAATCCAGAAAAACGCATGTCAAAAATGTTATAAATTGAGTTGCATTTTAATGAGGGAAATAAGTATTTGACCCCCTCTCAATCAGAAAGATTTCTGGCTCCCAGTTGTCTTTTATACAGGTAATGAGATGAGATTAGGAGCATACTCTTAAAGGAAGTGCTCCTAATCTCAGCTTGTTACCTGTATAAAAGACACCTGTCCACAGAAGCAATCAATCAATCAGATTCCAAACTCTCCACCATGGCCAAGACCAAAGAGCTCTCCAAGGATGTCAGGGACAAGATTGTAGACCTACACAAGGCTGGAATGGGCTACAAGACCATCGCCAAGCAGCTTGGTGAGAAGGGGACAACAGTTGGTGCGATTATTCGCAAATGGAAGAAACACAAAAGAACTGTCAATCTCCCTCGGCCTGGGGCTCCATGCAAGATCTCACCTTGTGGAGTTGCAATGATCATGAGAACGGTGAGGAATCAGCCCAGAACTACACGGGAGGATCTTGTCAATGATCTCAAGGCAGCTGGGACCATAGTCACCAAGAAAACAATTGGTAATACACTACGCCGTGAAGGACTGAAATCCTTCAGCGCCTGCAAGGTCCCCCTGCTCAAGAAAGCACATATACAGGGCCGTCTGAAGTTTGCCAATGAACATCTGAATGATTCAGAGGAGAACTGGATGAAAGTGTTGGGGTCTGATGAGACCAAAATCGAGCTCTTTGGCATCAACTCAACTCGCCGTGTTTGGAGGAGGAGGAATGCTGCCTATGACCCCAAGAACACCATCCCCACCGTCAAACATGGAGGTGGAAACATTATGCTTTGGGGGTGTTTTTCTGCTAAGGGGACAGGACAACTTCACCGCATCAAAGGGCTAAGGGGCCATGCACCGTCAAATCATGGGTGAGAACCTCCTTCCCTCAGCCAGGGCATTGAAAATGGGTCGTGGATGGGTATTCCAGCATGACAATGACCCAAAACACACGGCCAAGGCAACAAAGGAGTGGCTCAAGAAGAAGCACATTAAGGTCCTGGAGTGACCTAGCCAGTCTCCAGACCTTAATCCCATAGAAAATCTGTGGAGGGAGCTGAAGGTTCGAGTTGCCAAACGTCAGCCTCGAAACCTTAATGACTTGGAGAAGATCTGCAAAGAGGAGTGGAACAAAATCCCTCCTGAGATGTGTGCAAACCTGGTGGCCAACTACAAGAAACGTCTGACCTCTGTGATTGCCAACAAGGGTTTTGCCACCAAGTACTAAGTCATGTTTTGCAGAGGGGTCAAATACTTATTTCCCTCATTAAAATGCTAATCAATTTATAACATTTTTGACATGTGTTTTTCTGGATTTTTTGTTGTTGTTATTCTGTCTCTCACTGTTCAAATAAACCTACCATTAAAATTATAGACTGATCATGTCTTTGTCAGTGGACAAAATCAGCAGGGGATCAAATACTTTTTTCCCTCACTGTATATTTGTTTTACTTAACACCCCCCCCCCCCCCCCCCCCCCCCCCCCGCAGGCCGTATGTTTGACACCCCTGCTCTAGACCGACGGGTCGCCTCCCACAATGTACCAATGTTCCCTAGGTCTGGGATTTCCGAGACAAGGTCAAATGTGCCAGTTCTCTTCCATGCACTGGAGTCTGTAAGATCCATTTAATAGTAACATGAGCTGCAGGTTGCAGTATTGTATTGCACCGTGCTGCAGATTGATCCTGTCAGGTCTGGTGGCTTTCAGAGTGCTTAAAGAAAGACTGTGTGTCCCAGTCTGCTGACAGGGTCTTTGAAGGCTGTCGTTCTGCCCTCTTCTCTCTATGATGGTAACGCCTCTTTTTTTCCCTGGTCTGACTGAACCTAGTCTGCACTTAGCCTAAATGCTGGTGTCAGCTGTTACCGAGTACCCAGTCTGCATGATAGTCACAATATAATGACTCACCCTCTTGTATCTTGACCTAAAATAAATTCCTCTAAGAGGCAATAATCTAGCAGTATTGCCAATTATATGACGTTTGATTATCTCTTGAAGGTGAGCCACCATCCACCAATCTCAGCTTGTCACGCTGATTCCAACAAGTTCACCTTCTGGCAAGGTAGGTTATCTGTTGAATTACAGTGTCACACACATTGTGCACTTCCTCAATGAGGTCATGGTTTTCTTTTTGCATCAAGATGGTACCTTGACGGCTAATTCTGCCGATTTCTTCTCCAGATGTCAGATGGAAAAACAAATTCTGGGGGAAATCCATGGAAATCCTACCCATTGGCACAGTCAGTGTTATGCTTCCAAGGTAATCCAGCTTTGGCCCTTTCCTTCAGCTACAGATGCACACAAACACACTCACAAAGATGTTGTTTTGGGGTGGACCTTCTGGCGGGCCAAACCAAACATCTCCACGGGCCCACTTTGGTCCCCACTGTCTACAGGAGGTACCTAGATAACTCCATAACAGTGACGTTACCTACTTAGAGCCATCAGGCCTCTGCCAGCCTCCCCCTGCTACAGCCATCACTTCTCCATGTGGATAGGGCTCTATGCTGGGTCCTGGGAAGCTTGAAGGAGCTACAGTATGCCCTACTAAAGTGCCCCTGACTGGGTTAGGGAGGAGTGAGATGGGCTGTGCTCTATTTCCCATCCTGTGAGAAATGAATCAGACAGACCGAGGAGCAGGAAAGCGGGTGGGAGGGGTGCTGAATAAGCACAAAGATTATAGGACGTTGCAAGCGTCTCTGCCTCGACAGAAAATGAGATTGCACAGGTACCCACAAGCCCCTGCTGTTTTGTTTAATAGACTTCTAACGCTCTGTGTTTGGTGCGATTATGTTGCCCAGTAAGCATCTCAAAGACACAGACTGACTTAATAATCATTGTCTGTGATTACTGTAGATATCCTGAGAGTGTTTCAAGCTTTTCACACTATCGCTATTGTGTCGTTCAGCTTTGGTGATCACTATGAATGGAACAAAGTCACCACCTGCGTGCACAACATCCTAAGTGGCAGAAGGTGGATCGAACACTACGGGGAGATAACCATCAGGAACACAAAAAGCAGTGCCTGTATCTGCAAACTCACTTTCGTCAAGGTAAGACATCGGTGAACTCCGCTGTGGAAATGTCCAGTAAAAATACTATGAAGTCCAAAGACAATTATGTGCTGAGAAATAACCATCCTTGTGAAGCTTTTATCACGTTACCATAGCTGTCTCTTCAATTTGGAAATGTAATTATTGTCTATTTGTTACCTTTCAGGTGGGGGATGAATGCTATTTATCTTACGGTCACAATATTACTGGTACCATTTTGCTTGCAGGGAAATTACTGGAGTTCTAATGTGAATGAGGTTCAAGGGATCGTGATGGACCAAGAGGGGAAGGTAGTGCATCGGCTGTTCGGAAAATGGCACGAGGGCCTTTACTGTGGAGTCCCGCCCTCTGCCAAATGCATCTGGAGGACAGGTAACGTTAATCATACTGTTGCTAAGCAGGATGCTTTGAACTGTTTTGATTGGATTGGATATCTCCTTTCATTAAGCAGATAACAGCATTAGAGTATACAATATGCTACTAGTACATGAGACCGTAATATGGGGACAAAGAACGTGTTGACACTGGAGTCAATAGTCCACACAATGAAAAAAGGACTTGAAACGGATTCTTGATCCGTGTGATCTCTTGTGTTCTCCCCTCAGGCTCCATGCCCACAGATTACGAGCTGTATTATGGCTTCACCAGGTTTGCCATTGAGCTCAATGAGCTTTGCCCTGAGATGCAAGATCTGCTACCACCTACAGATGCCCGCTTCAGACCCGATCAAAGGTACAGACAGACAGCCGTTGCGCCATCACACTTCCAGCTACTGTGAAGGTTGCATAATGCCCAGACAGTATGAGAAATGCACTGTGTGCTACTGCTGCCACCTGCAGAGAGAATGCGGTACAGTAGCATTATCATGCAGATCTGACTACTGGACTAGTGAACCATTGCAGCTTTAGTTGTAGTCTGATATACATTTTCAGAATTGATTAGTGAAGCTCTAAAAAAGGCTTAAAAACTTTTTGAAATAAGACAAAAGTCAAATAGTATTTGTACGGGTAAGTATGTTGATGAGCTTTGTGTATTTCTCTGCTGAGTGACACTTGACAGTGTATTTGAGTCATAGGGATGTTGTTTTTCTCCATTAGGCACCTGGAGGAGGGCAATGTGGAAATGGCTGCCTCAGAGAAGCAGCGGATCGAAGACCTGCAACGCACCAGAAGGAAGTGGCAAGAGGAGAACAACATAAAACACGAGCCGCGCTTCTTCAAGTGAGTACAGAGGACATAAAGTGTAACCCAGGCTAGCTTAATGGGGAAGAACTAGGGCTAGATTGGGGAATGTATCCCCAAGATCGACAGCAATATTGTCTGGCTGTTCCTCCTATACTTGTATGGCTGAGTTGTCACTAATCATTATCCATTCCATTCATGACATTTAACTCCCTGACGATTTCATTGATTGCCCGTCTCTTTTCTACCAGGAAAGTGGTTGATGCCAATCATAGGGAGCGCTGGGTCACTAACAACGCCTACTGGGAGCTTCGCAAATCCCCCGGCTTCATCAACATGGAAAACCCTAATCTATGGTAGCATATGGATCGCTATGTAGACCATATCATCATCGCTGACAGAAGCTTTTTCCTATGCACAATACGGTTTTCAAATGAATATCTCATTGACAAGATGACAGTGTGGAAGGATACAAAAGACTTCAGAGCTGAGAGATGCGTTGACCAACCGTCACCCTGTTTGGCGCTGCAGCCGACCAGTCACCCATCCAAGTATCCTCTTGGATCCCCCTCATTGAGCTTGCTGCAGAGGCTGGGTTGTCAGGGCAACAATCTTACCACATAGATCTATCCTAAGCTGTTTTGACTTCAGAGGATGTCCTTGCCTTAAAAAGTCGCCAATCCACACCACCCATTTTAAAGCTTTTAGTGAAACCCACTTGAGTTCTGAAAGCAGTTTGATTTAGACTAGTGTTTGGATTAGGCCTTTGATTACCTATTACTGTATGTATCATGCATGTTTAGAGTTCAGCTTTCATTGGCATATGCTATATAGACTATAACATTGTTGTAAAAACAAAAATAAAATAAAAAAAGTCTGATATTTTGCTAAATATCTTAAACTCATAGAGTTTAGTGAAAATGTAACTATTATACGATATTGGCAAGATTGCTCTTATTTTTGGATTAGCCTTTTACCTTAGTTGAATCTGTATCAGAGCTGTATTCTCTCTTGGGACACATTTTTGTTTTTACAGTTCATTTGTTTTAATCACTGGTATTGATGGACATTGCTGTATACTCAGAGATTTCCTCAGCAACTCCAAAAGACAAACCCCTTGAGCGGAGACTTTTAGTTCCAGTTTGCCTGGAAGAGGAACATCATTACGAGACCGGCCCAACTGCTGATGCATAAGCACTGACCTGAGAAACGACTTCCTTTTTGACCCTTCACCTCACTCACCACAACTGTTATTGCAAACCACATGTATAAACAATACTTTCTTGTAATTAACTTTTACATGTATAGACATTACTTATTTCCCTTATACAGCTCACATTCAAACTAGTTTTAATAGTTTAAGTTAAAATAAAAGTTAAAAAAGTAATTATGAATATAATTGTAATGTTCTTTAATTTCCTGTAATACAATTTCTCTGTGTTGTTGTTTGCAGTTTTGCCTGTAGTATAACTTAAAGGACGTGTAATACTAACACTCAGGACGTCTCATGATGATCTGAAGACATTCCTACCCAGAACATTTGGCCTTGTGCCATACCCTTCTGAGGAATCTATTTAAAACCTGGTCACTTATCTGGATACATGGTTACACGACTCGTCATTGATTCAGTCCATATATAGTGAGGGAGCCAGTGGGCTCGTCAAATGTATTTCCTTTTCACGTGAGTCCGGTCTCGCGTTGTTTTCTGACCAAGCCACTCTGAAATGTCAGACATAGTGAAAGTGGAGTGGAGTCCTCCTGTGGCAGTATAGAGGTCAATGTGTCCTCTACTGGGAACCACATGACTCATGACCATTAGACCGTCACAACTACACCAGACTGACTACCCCCACTTATACAAATAGGGTATTATGAAACACTAGAGCCACCTACTGTCAGTTCTTTGAAAATACTTGTAAAATTAATGTATGTGGAAATCTTATGTAAAGAGGCCAAGGGCTTGAGTAAGTCAAACAACTTTTATTAAGTTGTTTTAGAATGTTCAGAACTTTATGCTTTTGCAAATCGTTAAACATGGTAGAATGTTGATGTTAAAGCCAAAGACCAACATTTTAATATGTAGAAATAGAAACTAATTCTTGTTCTAAAGTTTTAATTATGTAGTTACCACACAGCTAACGCTATTTTATTATCTTATTTTAATATCCTTTAAACACGTGTCCAGTTCCTAGAGCGTTTACTGCTATGATATCCTTTACAATGCACCAATACAATTTAAACAGTTAATCTTTTACTGCCAAACATTTCAGCTTTAATGTATATTTGCTGTCCCCCTCCCTCTTTCACTGCGTGTACAAGTCAATACACAATGGTTAAATGTGTTCAATTACCACAGAATCTGTAGAGTGAACAACAACATTTTACATTGGGATTATATTTATTTGTTCTTTGAATTGTTTTGTCCAGAAAGAAGCCTGAAATTGAAACAGGAAAAGTGGTTTTATGTTAGAAATATGTAGAATTGAAACGTTCAATTGTAAAGTAAAACTATTATTTTGTGTGCAGTACCGCAGATTAGATCCAAAAAACGATAGATATGACTGCAGTACCATATTGTAGCCATGTGTTCAGAAATCAATTGTTTGTTAGCGTCAATTCCACTTGCTGTGCCTTAATACATTTGATTAACGCCTCTCACACACAATAGTGATAAGAAACCCCATACAAGCCAGATAAGAAAACCATTTAAAATCCAATAAACTACTTTCCCCACAGAGTATTGTTCCCCACAGAGTATTATGTACTGAATAATGACGGTCAGGGAATGAACATGTTCTGAATGTCACATTCCACCACAGAGGGAATGTATTGTCGTCTGAAATCTTGTTAAGAGGGAGAATGGGCGACTGGTCACACTCGTAATTGACATTGCCCATAAGTAATCTAGAAATTATTATTTTCTGTGCAGTCACCCCCACACATTTGTGATCAGTTATTGTCAGTACACTACTGCACTGCACTACATCTAAACAGCGGAATAGTCCTATCTCCTCTTTTGGATTAGACTGATGCAAAGACTTCACCATCCACTTCAACACAATACTTTGTTCATAAGGACATTTGAGGATAATGTACTCTGTAAAGTTCAAGATTAATACATTGTTTTCAGAGAGACCTGTAGAAAATAAAGAGACTTGTTTCATCAGAGTAGGACAGTTAGACCTGAGTAATTCACTGGTTGCAATGTCTATTATATCTGCATGTTTAAATGACATAGCCTGCCAATGATTGTTGCAAATGCCTTACGAAAGATTTTATTTTCTCAATTGGGCTTTATCTTTGAGTTTCAGACTGACATGTACCACTACGCACTGTGTCAGCTGAGTTCTATCTATTTTCTAATGGGTACCTTCTAAAGTGCAATTGTGTAAGTACATATCTTTCCATGAACACTGTACACTGCTGCTACATAGTGCTTGTTCTAATAAAAAGAAATAAAACTCAGTGGAGTCTGTGACACAAACTGTTTATCACTGTTCACCAAATCCAGGCAAGCATTAGATATAGTAGTGTCAGTGTAAGTACCTAATAGTCAGTGTATTAACACCATCATACTCCTGCACAGTAGATGGCAGTAATGCACTGTGTGGCTTTTATTTAGTGAATCAAAAACAAGTGAAGGAATTCTTGCACCAGGTTGTGATAATATTTTGGGACTCCCTGTGCTATTTAGTTGTTTTTCCTGTTAGTGCTGCTGCTACCATGTTGACCCAGACCAATAGACTAGAGGACTGAATTATTACTATGTCACAGAAATAAAGAGTTAACTATATCTCCCCTACAATCATGTTTATATAGGTCTTTCTACAGTAGTGGTTTAAATTGGAGGTCAGAAAAAATATAGGATGAGGCCAATGTCAGGTAGATTTATTTAACAGGTCTGTCACACTTCACATGTAATAAATGTGTATTAATATGGTCAGGTACACAGCACACGCTTGGGATGAGTCCACCAAAACATTGAGACGATTTACAATACACCTTGTTAAAAGGAAACCAAAATGTGATTAAACCGCCCAATCTAGGCTCTGTGATAGTAACTCAGGACAAAATGGAATTCGGGGCCAACACAAACACAAACTCAAACTCAAAACCTTCAAACACACACAGCAGCATGATTTCATACACAGCTGACATAACTAGGGCTAGCTACAACATTACAGGCAGACTGAGCAAGATGACATCACCATTCACAACAGGGCAACTACCTGCTTAGTCATCAACATCAAAGCTACCAAGATTGCAATTATTGGCTCTTGCTCATTTGTAGCACGAAGAGACAATAATGGCAGTCTTGGTCTTGAAGTCTAAGTCAGGAGATGTCCAAATGTTTCCGAGAATGCCATCTTGCTACCATTAACTTAAAAAAAGATATATTTTACAAACGGAAATGTTTTCATATTCTAGACATGTCGTTTTATATCCTGTCATATGTGAGCACAATTGAATCTAAACAAGCTAAATGTAACTTTATAATTGAGCAATTGTTTGTTTATAATGATAATTGTTGGGAGATAGTCACTGTAAACAAAAACCTGCTTAATTGTAGTGTTCTTTGTAAATAAATGTAGTAGTCACAAAACACCAGTCCTTCTCCCTATGACTGAATAAAACCGAATTTAAAAAACCCAGTAATGTGGTCTTAAACCAACCAATGCTCAGTCCTTCTCCCTATGACTGAATAAAACCGAATTTAAAAAAAACTGTAATATGGTCTTAAACCAACCAAAGCTCAAACCTTTACTCTAAAATCAAACAAAATGATAATGGACTATCTTTTTAATAAGCTGATTGGAAAATAGGGGTTAATATTGCTATGGAAACATATTTCCCTCAAGTAATTTAATCTTGATTTGGCAGAGAGAAATAACCGATTAAATAAAGCAGAGATAATTTAGAAGATCAAACCAAATACAAATGTGAACTTAATGTATTGATTTTGTTCCTACATAGTTTATCCAGTAGGCCCTTTTCAATATGCTTCATTAGTATTTGAAAATGTACCTATAAGATTACGTAAAATTCATAATTTTCTCATAACCTTATACGTAAATGAGTCCAAACCGGTTTCCACTCACTCATTTTGTTCAGTGCAATACAGTTTTAAATTGTGTATCATTCAATAAATGATTGCATGTCCTCAAAGTGGCTTATAAAAAAACAAGGACAAGGAGATAAGTTGGAGACTGTTTTCGATATGTCGACATTTTGACAGCAAGGCCTTTCTCAAGACTAGTGTCCATTCTATTCCTTTGTCCTTGTTTTTCTATGGTACATAACCCCCATTGGATTAGCTTTTTTTTCTCTTCACTTATCTTCTCAAAGTAACTTGAAAATAGCTGACAGAAACCATAGGTGATAAACGGTGTAGACCGTCACTGTTATAAAAACAACAACTGGACTGTTTTGTCTGAATGGCATGATTCCTATTGATAATGCCTTCAATATCTACCAATTTCATACGGAGTGAACACTGGTAATGAGTGAAAACATAATGGTTGATGGAAGATAGCTACACATTTCAGCTGTGATTAAATGTTTTTTTTTCTCCCTCAATTCCTTAAATATGTATTGCAGGTGAAACAGTTGTGATGTTTACTAGGATCATTCATTTGATAGAAGCCATGATCTTGATGTACTGGAGCGCGCTGTGTGCGGCGTCATTGTGTGCGTTGCCGCAGGAGATGCCCGTGCCATGGCATACGGTGACAGGTGAGGTGGACAGCTCTGCCAGGCACTGGTACTGCCCATTCACAGTCAGCTCATCTGCCAAGCACATCACAAACACACTGTACAATACACTTGGAATATGCCCCTGTTTAGCTATTTGTGAAAACAGACAAAGTTAACATCCATGATCAGTACAAGAGATAGCTACTCACCAATGTCAAAGTATGTGACTTCGAAGCCCTGCTCATTGGACAGCTCCAGCATCATCTGGATATAGTCGGTGTTGGGAATGCTGAGTGGGTTCCTTCTCAGGAGAGACATCTTCTCTGCCGAGGAGTTACGCAAGTTCTCCAGACGGACACTGGGCTTCGGGGTCTGGAAAGAGTTGGTCAAAGAATACTCATTACATTAATTCTAGATGACAAAATTCCCTAAATATGTTTTACCAAGAAAGAAGCCAAATAAGAGAGGAAATATTGTACATACCCATGTGATTTCAGGACAGCCAGACAGGTTTTGAAGTTTTGCCACCATCTTCTCCGCAGCTGCCTTTTTGGCTACCTTCTTAGAATTTCCCATTGCTATCGGATACACATAGATGACATGCTTATAAATTGACTCAACTGAATACTTTTAAAAGTAGGAAGTGTTCAAAAACATATATATAAAAATAAAATGCTTCTATGTTCTTTCAAATACAATGATAAAACATTTAGAAAGAACAGTGGAGCCACCATACCTGTCTCTGTCAGTGACTCCATTCTGCAGGTAACAGTGAACTCTCTCTTGTGAGGTGGGCCTGCCTCCATGAGAACAGTGTATTCAGGGAGGCGCCATCCCCGCTGCAGTGCCAGTTCCTTTTGGGAGGAATCCATAGGAAACATACACTACATGACCAAAGGTATGTGGACAACTGCTCGTCGAACATCTCATTCCAAAATCATGGGCATTAATATGGAGTTGGTCCCCCCTTTGCTGCTATAACAGCCTCCACTCTTCTGGGAAGGCTTTCCACTAAATATTGGAACATTGCTGCGGGGACTTGCTTCCATTCAGCTACAAGAGCATTAGTGAGGTCGGGCACTGACGTTGGGCGATTAGGCCTGGTTCGCAGTCGGCATTTCAATTCATCCCAAAGGTGTTCGATGGGGTTGAGGTCAGAGCTCTGTGCAGGCCAGTCAAGTTCTTCCACACCGATCTCGACAAACCATTTCTGTATGGACCTCGCTTTGTGCACGGGGCCTTCCTCAAACTGTTGCCACAAAGTTGGAAGCACAGAATCGTTTAGAATGTCATTGTATGCTGTAGCGTTAAGATTTCCCGTCACTGGAACTAAGGGGCCTAGCTCGAACCATGAAAACCAGCCCCAGACCATTATTCCTCCTCCACCAAACTGTACAGTTGGCACTATGCAATAGGGCAGGTAGCGTTCTCCTGGCATCCACCAAACCCAGATTCGTAAGTCAGACTGCCAGATGGTGAAGCATTATTCATCACTCGAGAACGCGTTTCCACTGCTCCAGAGTCCAATGGCAGCGAGCTTTACACCACTCCAGCCAACGCTTGGCATAAGCTTGTGCGGCTGTTCGGCCATGGAAACCAATTTCATGAAGCTCCCGGCCAACCGTTCTTGTACTGACGTTGCTTCCAGAGGCAGTTTGGAACTCGGTAGTGAGTGTTGCAACCGAGGACAGACAATTTTTACGCGCTACCCGCTTTAGCATGTCTCCCGAGTGGCGCAGTGGTCTAAGGCTGTGCCACTAGAGATCCTGGTTCGAATCCAGGCTCTGATGTAGCCAGCCGCGACCGGGAGACCCATGGTGCGGCGCACAATTGGCCCAGTGTCGTCCAGGGTAGGGGAGGGAATGGCCGGCAGGGATGTAGCTCAGTTGGTAGAGCATGGCGTTTGCAACGCCAGGGTTGTGGGTTCGATTCCCACGGGGGCCCAGTATAAAAAATTGAAAAAAATAATGTATGCACTCACTAACTAAGTCGCTCTGGATAAGAGCGTCTGCTAAATGATTAAAAATGTTTTTAAAAAATATGTTAGCACTCGCCGGTCCCGTTCTGTGAGCTTGTGTGGACTACCACTTCGCAGCTGAGACGTTGTTGCTCCTAGACGTTTCCACTTCACAATAACAGCACTTACAGTTGACCGGGGCATCTCTAGCAGGGCAGGAATTTGACAAACTGACTTGTTGGAAAGGTGGCATCCTATGACAGTGCCACGTTGAAAGTCACTGCGCTCTTCAGTAAGGCCATTCTACTGACAATGTTTGTCTATGGAGATTGCATGGCTGTGTGCTCAATTTTACACACCTGTCAGCAACGGGTGTGGCTGAAATAGCCAAATCCACTAATTTGAAGGGGTGTCCCCATACTTTGTACTAGCAAAGACATGAAAACAACCTATCTATTCATAATCATATGGCTTTTCTTATGTCACGTTGAAGATGCTCAATGCCAACATAAAGGTGTTACTATGATTACAGCCCTGCAACAGTACACAGCCCTATTGTCTTACAAAAACACATTCTAAGGTCATTGAAGGGCAATAACAAAGACACCTGCAGAATGCCCACTGAGTTGGGTTGGTCGTTGGGCTCTGCTGGGATGCCATTACTCTCCGTCTTCATGTGAAGGCTGCAGGAGGGGATATCAGACATAAAAAGTTAATAATGTTACTGACTATAATGGTTGCAAATGCAACTTGTTGTCATAAATGCTCATTTTAGAAATTGTCCATATTCACTCACGGTGTCCCAGCGTCTATTTCCAGAAGGTTCAGGGCAGACTCAGCGGCCTGGTGTTTGGCAGCTTTTTTACTGGATCCTTGACCTGGGATACAACAACAGAATGACACTCATGGCTTCATCCAAAGTATTGAGGATAAGGCGAACATGGGGATATAACTTTGAAGCCCATGTTGTTAATACAATCCCCCATAATCCTCTAGCTAAATTGAGCCTAATTTACATACTTCGCAAGATGACTCACCTGTGCAGGACACATCGCCTATTGTCACGTTAAAGATGAAACTGGGTTGGTGTGCCTCCCCTTCAGCCTTTTCCATCACGTACACGGGAAGGTTACCAATTTTGGTTCCGTATTCATGCAGAATTTGTATCGGCGTTTTACCCGGGCACGGCGCCTGAGTTTGTTGAATACTCATGCTGCGTACAAAGTATGATTAACAGTCAGTGTCACTGCATTGGATTCAATAGAAATAGCTGTGTTTTTTTTTTTGTTGGTATTAATATTGAGCGACAAATGATGGTACTGAATGAAACCCTGATAAACACCGTATGGCTAACTAATTGGGTATAGCAAAAAAAAAATGTAGCTAGCCTGCTAAAGGGGTTAGTTATAAATATATTTGATAGTGCGAATAATGCTAACTAGCTAGCTGGCTAGTTAACGAGCATCAAATGCCTGGATGGAAACAAATCCGATGTAACGTTGGCTAGCTAGAGCTAGCTAGTAGCATGACAGACCTCGTGTTGTTATTGTGCGTGGTCCTTATTAGTGTAGGTTGAAATCCGTCTTGAGACATGGCTAACGTTAGTAAACAATGTCGTGCGTAACGTTAATATGTTGTTGTACAAATGTAATTTATCTGCTGCAGAAACCGGCGAATTTAGCTGATGGGGGGTTGCCGATTTCAATCAGCGTTTCATCAGCAACACTAAACAAGTACTTTCGGGTTACGGAATTTCGGAAATGTTCTAAATAAAAGTCCCCCACGTAATAGTAGAAACGTGTCAATAACCTGTATGTATTCATGATATGTGAAAAATAATTGTCTAAACATTAATGATGATTCAGATTTGTTCATATTTAAGTGACATTTGCATTAAATGTGGATTTTAAAATATGTTCCAAGGTAAAATAAATGCGCAATCAATGCAAATCATTGTATATGAAATACATATTGGTTTATATAGCAAAAACTATTCTAGGTGCCACAGTAAAAGTATTGTACGGGAATACTCAGTAGGGTTTGTAGAATGTGTCATTTCATGTGGCTCTGAATAATACAGGGTGTTGTTGACCTTTTACTCCGCCCATTACATTGGCCACAATGCAAATCACTGTATATGCATTACATATGGTCTTATAGAGAAAAAACTATTTTTTTTTGTGCCAATGTAAAAGTGGGGAAGGGAGTACTCAGTAGGGTCTGTAGAATCTATATATGGTGTAATTTCATAGGGAACTGAATAATACGGAGTGTTGCTGGCATTTTACGCCACTCCTTTACGTTTTTGCTGTAAGCCAATATGTGTTCCATATACAGTGATTTGCATTGTGGCCAATGTAATGGACTGAGAGTAAAGGCCAGCAACACTCCGTATTATTCAGAGCCCCATGAAATGACACCATATATACATTATACAGACCCTAATGGTTAATGCCTAGAATACTTTTACTGTGGCACCTAGAATAGTTTTTGCTATGTAAACCAATATGTATTACATATACAGTGATTTCAAATCAAATTGTATTGGTCACATACACGTGTTTAGCAGATGTTATTGCAGGTGTAGCGAAATGCTTGTGCTTCTAGCTCCGACAGTGCAGTAATATCTAACAAGTAATATCTAACAATTTGACAACATATACCCAATACACACAAATCTAAGTAAGGAATTAATATATTCATATATGGACGAGCGATGTCAGAGCGGCATGGAGTAAAAGGCCAGCAGCGCTCTGTATTATTCAGATCCACATGAAATGACATCATATACACATTCTACAGACCCTACTGAGTATTCCCCACCCCATTTTTACATTTGCACAAATAATCATTTTTCCTGTACTGTGCTATATTTGTACCATGTCCAGGCACCCCATTTAAGCTGGTTGACCACAGTAAAAGTGATCAAACACTTCTTATGACCCAGCTTTTTGTTCAAACTCATCTGAATTGTATTCTAGGGACTATAGTGAGTAGACTGGATCCTGGTTTTATGGACACACGATCGTTTTTTTATTTTTTCCTGTACATTGCAATTTGTTTGCGCAATACAACAAAAATACAGTAAGACTTTTCTTAAACATTACATTTCAAAATTGCATCCTTGAACAATAGCACCAATAAATAAACAAGAATCATACAATCAAAATAATGATTTATATTTAAAAAATGTAATTGTATATATTATTTTACCAGTAGGCTATTATTATGTTTTTGACATTCATTTATATAAAGTAGTAATTCTCTTTAGTTTTTCCACCATGTCTTTATACATTTTTTTAACAGAATTGTAACATTATGCACTATGCAAAGCTGCAAAAAATATTGATTTCTTATCATACTCATAGCGTTTTACCGCAAACTTTTATTTTGAAGGCAAAATCCGAAAACCAGAAGTCTTAATGTGGATAGGATCCATCTAGTGTTGGGTCCTGCCATGACGTTAATCCGATTTGATCATTCGATAACTGATCAACAACATCCGGTTCACCACGTCAAATAAATATAATTTTTCCGCAGTTGTAGCTACAGTGGGGGAAAAAAGTATTTAGTCAGCCACCAATTGTGCAAGTTCTCCCACTTAAAAAGATGAGAGAGGCCTGTAATTTTCATCATAGGTACACGTCAACTATGACAGACAAAATGAGAGAAAAAAAAATCCAGAAAATCACATTGTAGGATTTTTAATGAATTTATTTGCAAATTATGGTGGAAAATAAGTATTTGGTCAATAACAAAAATTTCTCAATACTTTGTTATATACCCTTTGTTGGCAATGACACAGGTCAAACGTTTTCTGTAAGTCTTCACAAGGTTTTCACACACTGTTGCTGGTATTTTGGCCCATTCCTCCATGCAGATCTCCTCTAGAGCAGTGATGTTTTGGGGCTGTCGCTGGGCAACACAGACTTTCAACTCCCTCCAAATATTTTCTATAGGGTTGAGATCTGGAGACTGGCTAGGCCACTCCAGGACCTTGAAATGCTTCTTACGAAGCCACTCCTTCGTTGCCCGGGCGGTGTGTTTGGGATCATTGTCATGCTGAAAGACCCAGCCACGTTTCATCTTCAATGCCCTTGCTGATGGAAGGAGGTTTTCACTCATAATCTCACGATACATGGCCCCATTCTTTCTTTCCTTTACACGGATCAGTCGTCCTGGTCCCTTTGCAGAAAAACAGCCCCAAAGCATGATGTTTCCACCCCCATGCTTCACAGTAGGTATGGTGTTCTTTGGATGCAACTCAGCATTCTTTGTCCTCCAAACACGACGAGTTGAGTTTTTACCAAAAAGTTCTATTTTGGTTTCATCTGACCATATGACATTCTCCCACTCCTCTTCTGGATCATCCAAATGCACTCTAGCAAACTTCAGACGGGCCTGGACATGTACTGGCTTAAGCAGGGGGACACGTCTGGCACTGCAGGATTTGAGTCCCTGGCGGCGTAGTGTGTTACTGATGGTAGGCTTTGTTACTTTGGTCCCAGCTCTCTGCAGGTCATTCACTAGGTCCCCCCGTGTGGTTCTGGGATTTTTGCTCACCGTTCTTGTGATCATTTTGACCCCATGGGGTGAGATCTTGCATGGAGCCCCAGATCGAGGGAGATTATCAGTGGTATTGTATGTCTTCCATTTCCTAATAATTGCTCCCACAGTTGATTTCTTCAAACCAAGCTGCTTACCTATTGCAGATTCAGTCTTCCCAGCCTGGTGCAGGTCTACAATTTTGTTTCTGGTGTCCTTTGACAGCTCTTTGGTCTTGGCCATAGTTGAGTTTGGAGTGTGACTGTTTGAGGTTGTGGACAAGTGCTTTTATACTGATAACAAGTTCAAACAGGTGCCATTAATACAGGTAACGAGTGGAGGACAGAGGAGCCTCTTAAAGAAGAAGTTACAGGTCTGTGAGAGCCAGAAATCTTGCTTGTTTGTAGGTGACCAAATACTTATTTTCCACCATAATTTGCAAATAAATTCATTAAAAATCCTACAATGTGATTTTCTGGAATTTTTTTCTCTCAATTTGTCTGTCATAGTTGACGTGTACCTATGATGAAAATTACAGGCCTCTCTCATCTTTTTAAGTGGGAGAACTTGCACAATTGGTGGCTGACTAAATACATTTTTTTCCCCACTGTAGGTTGAAGATGGGATATTGTGAATTTATGAATTTTTTAATTTTTTCTCTTTTTTAAATTTTATTAATCAGTAACATGTAAAACACAAAAAACAGAACAGCCAGAGGGATTACACAAAGAAATAAGGAAGAGAGAAAAATAATAATACAAATCCACATTACATCAAATCAAATACAGACATGTAATGAAAACATTTTTTTGTCATTTTGTTTTGTGTACGTTTTAATGATGCTAAATAGTTTTCCAAATCTGATCAAATAATTAAATTTTCTTCATAAATTTTGATTTGTGTATGAAACATTTTCCTAATAAAAGAAAGTGATTTATGACATACTGAAGTTCAATTGTTGAATCAGTGTAGTAAAATAATATGTCAAACTTAGATATTTCAATCGTTGTATGTATTTTGTTGCCAAGATATAGTTCAGTCCAGAACACCTCACTATGTAAACAATTACAAAATAAGTGTTCAATAGATTCAGTTTCTAGTTCACAAAAACTGCATTCACTAGGAACATCAGGTATATATTTAGAAATCAGGCTATTACACAGGTAGAATCTACGGATAATCTTAAAGGAGATCTCCTTTACTTTATTGGTCACCATATATTTGTGTGGAGTGAGCCAAGCACGGCACCAGTTTACATCATACGATGAAGCCCAATAAAATATAGCATAAGGAATAGAATTCCTGTAGAAAATATCCCTTAAAAAACGATTATTGATTTTCTTATCTAGAGAACCTATGCCATTCACTTGGATATCGCTGACAATAGGAGATGTTCCAAAATATGCATTATTCTGAAGTAAAGATTTTATCCCACTAGGTATAGCTTTTATAACAGTGTCATATTCCTTGCTTGAAACCTCAAAGTTGTATCTTTCCATAAATTCTCTCTGTGTAAATAGATTCCCACTAATACTAACTAATTGGCTGACAAGGACAATGTTTTTCGAGAACCAGTTACAGTAAAATAACATCTTGTTTCTATGTAATATCGACCCATTATTTCATGTAAAACATTTATGAGGTGAAAAGTTGTGTTTATACAGCAAAGCCCAGCACATTAAAGCCTGCTTGTGAAAAGCCGCCAATTTCACAGGAAGTTTACCCACAATATAGGGACATTGTAGTAAAAAATTAAGCCCTCGTGAACTTATGAGTTGTAGGTCAGATAATGATTAGTGCTATCCGGAATCCTTGGGACATCACTACCCTAAACCCTAACGCCAGCGTTTCCCAAACTCAGTCCTAGGGACCACAAGGGGTGTACATTTAGGTTTTTGCCCTAGTACTACACAGCTGATTTAAATAATGAACTCATCATCAAGCTTTGATTATTTGAATCAGCTGTGTAGTGTTAGGGTAAAAACCAAAATGTGCAACCCTTGGGGTCCCCAGGACTGAGTTTGGGAAATGCTGCCCCAACCCCAACCTTAACCGCTACCATTCCCTTACAAAAAAAACATTTCAGTTTCAAACTGCAGTAAAATTGCAGTAACTGCAGTCGACTGTGGTATTTTGGACGCGGTATCTGCAGCATACTGCAGTTATACTGCAACCTTTTCTCGTAAGGGTTACCTTAACCGTTTGAAATGTCAACGTCAATGGGGTGACTTCAGCGTTGGGACATCCCACGGACACGTTTAGATGTCAGAAAATAGGTGAATACTGGCATCTACTGGTTTAATGAGGAGCACTAGAGATGACATTTTCTAGAAAGAGAATGGAGCTTTCCCACTGGGTACAAACTGGTTGAATCAACGTTGTTTCAACGTAATTTGTCAAACTATTGTGACATAGAATCTATGTGGAAAATACATTGGATTTGAAAGAAGTCATCAATTTGTTGTTTTGAGGGTGAAATGTCAACCACATGATGATGTCATCATGGTAACCACATTTCAACATAGACAAACCTTGTATAAAATATGTTGAATTTGTACCTTTAAAACAAGGTCAGATCTTCAACCTTATATCCACTATCAGAAGAAAAAATAGTAGGCTGGGTAGCACATCCTACTGGAGAATTGATCTATCTACAGCTACACTTTGGTCTCCCATCCAGGGTTTTACCAAAGCCAAGCTATGATATTTGTCACTGAATATTACCAATGATTGAGAATGATTGTAGAGAGATCTCCACTTAAACACTAAATAGATTCACTGTTGCAATCGAAGTCATTCCAAAAGGTAGGTTTAACAGAGCAAATGAAATGGGACCATACTTTATCAGTCATATATCATCAATGATGCTATTCAGGCCTATATAGCATTTTCAAAGTCATCAACAGCTTTTGTTTCAATTCAACCCAGAATTCAACTAACAATAGACAATACAGTAGGCCTAGGGTTTCAAGCTCTGGTTGTTGATATTTAGTGATATTGAATTGTGTTTGGTTGTCAACGCAAGGAGGTATCTTCTGCTTGGATAGTTACATCTGTGCCACCGACTTAGTCTGGCTTTAATTCCAGTTTGTCTTCAAATTATTGATTGACATGTTGGATTCACGTCTCCATCTCAAAGTTAAAGAATAGGACTAAGGGCCAACCGAGTGGCGCAGCAGTCTAAGGCACTGCATCGCAGTGCTTGAGGTGTCACCACAGACCCGGGTTCGATCCCAGGCTGTGTCACAGCCTGCCGTGACCGGGAGACCCATTGAGCGGCACACAATTGGCCCAGCGTTGTCCGGATTAGGGGAGGGTTTGGCCTTGTCCCATCGCGCTCTAGCGACTCCTTGTGGTGGGCCGGGCGCCTGCAAACTGACTTCGGTTGCCAGCTGGACGGTGTTTCCTCTGACACATTGGTGCAGCTGGCTTCTGGGTTAAGCGAGCAGTGCGGCTTGGCAGGGTTGTGTTTTGGAGGACACATGGCTCTCAACCTTCGCCTCTCCTGAGTCCGTAGGGGAGTTGCAGCAATGGGACAAGACTGTAACTACCAATTGGATATCGGTCAAAATAATAGGATCAAATTTGATTTAGTCATATCCTTTAATTTAGATTTTTGGCAGAGATGAGGACGTGACTCCAACATACACTACCGGTCAAAAGTTTTAGAACACCTACTCATTCAAGGGTTTTTCTTTATTTTTACTATTTTCTACATTGTAGAATAATAATGAAGACATCAAAACTATGAAATAACACATATGGAATCATGTAGTAACCACAAAAGTGTTAAACAAATCTAAATATATTTTATATTTGAGATTCTTCAAATAGCCACCCTTTGTTTTAATTGAGTGTTGTTGTGCTGATTAAACAGGTTCATATGATTTCTTTTAGGAGCGTCATGCACCCCAAAAAATCTGAGGGGCACAAAATAAGTTTGGATGGCAATGGCTGGGGGGTGGAGAATTGTTGGAGAATAAAAAAAAAATCAAACTCCTGAAACACCTTTTTCTTGCAATCTAGAGCCGTAATCATTATGCTTAATTCTATGTAAAAAAAAAAAAAAAAAAGTTAATTTCTTCTGCATATCTAAGCATACCTCTTGAGTTGTCTGTATACTCCTGACTGGTGGTTATTTTTTTAAAGGAACTAAATATGCTTCTCTGCATCTATGCTAAAATCTGGTTATAAATTGAAAGGAATGTGAGTCTTAAGGGTCTATCAGAGTACCAAAGGTGTACGTGTACTCACAGTAGTGTTCTAGAATATTGGACCATTGCCTTTCATACTTTTCCAAATCTCAGCACAGCTCAAGCAATTTCTCCAACTGTTAACACATTCAAATGTACCAAGAGACCCGTTGGTTGGGAATTGTGGGAAGTCGCTCATTCGGGATGTGCGTCTCCCATGAATGGTGGTCTAGTTATGTCACAATGGGATGCCGGACTATTGCGTCTTACCGTCTGTGGATGATTTACGCTTTATTCAGTATATTTAGTAATTGCTTGCTTTTCTAAAGTCTACCAACCTTGCCAGCAGGCATGCCAGCTAAGATAGTTAGACAAGCTAGCTACTCTTCATTGATAGCCTGAAATGGCTTCTTGGTACACTATATATACAAAAGTATGTGGACACCCCTTCAAATTAGTGGATTCGGCTATTTCAGCCACACCCGTTGCTGACAGGTGTATAAAATCGAGCACACAGCCATGCAATCTCCATAGACAGAATGGCCTTACTGAAGAGTTCAGTGATTTCAATGTGGCACCATCATAGGATGCCACATTTCCAACAAGTCAGTTCGCTGCCCCGGTCAACTGTTAGTGCTGTTATTGTGAAGTGGAAACGATTAGGAGCAACAACGGCTCAGCCTCGAAGTGGTAGGCCACACAAGCTCACAGAACGGGACCGCCGAGTGCTGAAGCACGTAGAGCGTACAAATCATCTGTCTAATGCCAAGCGTCAGCTGGAGTGGTGTAAAGCTCGCCGCCGTTGGACTCTGGAGCAGTGTTCTCTGGAGTGATGAATCACGCTTCACCATCTGGCAGTCCGACTGACGAATCTGGGTTTGGCGGATGCCAGGAATACGCTACCTGCCCGAATGCATAGTGCCAACTATAAAGTTTGGTGGAGGAGGAATAATGGTCTGGGGCTGTTTTTCATGATTCGGGCTAGGCCCCATAGTTCCAGTGAAGGGAAATCTTAACACTACAGCATACAGTGACATTCTAGACAATTATGTGCTTCCAACTTTGTGGCAACAGTTTGGGGAAGGCCCTTTCCTGTTTCAGCATGACAATGCCCCCGTGCACAAAGCGAAGTCCATACAGAAATGGTTTGTCGAGATCGGTGTGGAAGAACTTGACTGGCCTGTACAGAGTCCTGACCTCAACTCCATCGAACACCTTTGGGATGAATTGGAACGCCGACTGCGAGCCAGGCCTAATTGCCCAACATTAGTGCTCGACCTCACTAATGCTCTTGTGGCTGAATGGAAGCAAGTCCCACAGCAATGTTCCAACATCTAGTGGAAAGCCTGTTATAGCAGCAAAGGTGGAACAACTCCATATTAATGCCCATGATTTTGGAGATGTTCGACGAGCAGGTGTCCACATACTTTTGGTCATGTAGTGCATCTAGTTATGAGGTTGGGAGATTGGGAACCTATCTGAGCTAGCTAAAGCCAATATCATAAAATTGCTAGGTGGCTAGTAGTATTACAGTATATATTAAATACAGTATATATTTTGTATTTTTAAACTGGACAAATCTGAGGGGACACGTGCCCCTGTGCCCCTATGGGCATGAAGCCTCTGATTTATTTCCCACTTGGTCAGTCTGTAACAAGCTTATGTGTCTAGTGACTTTAGGGATGCATAAAGCGTGATTAATTCCCAGAAATTCCTTTCTCTCAGATTCTGTGTAGACTGAGAAAGAGTTAACTTCTGGGTTAACAGAGATTACTGGAACAGTAAAGTTTGTGAGAACCTAGAAGTTAACTATGACCTCATATTAGAATCCCAGCGAAAACTTGAGAACTTGCACAGTGTAGTCCTCTGGCCTAGTAGGCTACTGGGTTTCCCAAACTATGGACATGTGAGTTTTTAATTTCCCTGTATTTAGTCAGTTGTCAATATGATATATCACTCAAAGCACAGAACTCATTCAAATACCATTGATATAGTTGATTTGGGTATTTTGACATGGATAGTAACATTCTGTGCATGATATCTGTTCCTCTGGATTACAGAGTTCTTGGCCTATACATGCTTGGCTTATTGCCTTTGTGTTCTCTAGGCAGGGGTTTTTGCAGGACATGCAGGAGCAGATGGGGAAACTGACAGCCCTCCTAAAGGATGAACGGCGGTCCCACCAGCACAGCTGCCGTGCGGTGATATATCTAGATAGTTTCTCCAACATGGTCAGCTGAATGGAACCTCTGGCTCCTTCTGAGTTCATCATGTCTCTGTTTCACAGCTGTTGGACGAGGCAGAGCGGAGAGCTGAGAGAGTCAGGCAGCAGCAACAACAGGAGATGGAGTAGGTACTTTATGCCCCACACAGCTAGCAGAGGTGGCGTCCTTTCAGTGGGAAGGGAAGTAATGTCTATTGTATACAGCACATCTAGGTTACACTACGAATGATAGACAAATTCAAGCTCTAACCTAGACAACTTTGTTGTTCCATTGTTATAAATCACTTTTATGCGGGACTGTCAAATTGGAATAAGGTCCTTTGACAAAGAGATGATTCCCAGTCACCACTTCCCTCTGATTTACAGGCAGCTAATGCAGGCCCACAGATCAGAGATCAGTGCTTTGGTGACCCTCCACACCAAGACTCTGGAGGGGGAGAAGGGCTGTGCAGAGGAGAGATGTGGTATTAAACAAGAAACAATGACTTGTGGCAACCTAACAGTCAAACTAATACTGGATCTCTTCAAGCTGTCCCTATCACTCTCACCCTTTCTTTACTTGTCAACCCTCACAGCCCTGCTGGAGAAAGATTATGACTTCCTCAAAAGTTCCTTCCGCACATACAAGGTGAATTAGCCTTGCCACCTGTTGGCAGATGGCACCAGTCAGAACTTGGTGTTTCACATTTTGTCAGTGAAATGTACTGCAAAAAAGTTTGAATTGTTTTTGAAAATGTAAATTGTGTTTTTTCCCCTACTGCTCTAGGACAGTATATTTGAGGAGATGCGTAGCAGCTGGCTAAGGAAGGAGAACAGCTGGAAAGAGGAGCAGGAGAGGGATCTCATGGACCAACTGATGCATTGTGAGGTTATTAACAGTTGTGCAAAGTAGAGTTATTATACAGCTCCTCAGTTTCAGTGTTGACATTTAGAAATGCTATAATTCTCATCATTGACAGCACGTGAGCAGTTGAACAAAAGTGAGCAGGAAAAGGATAACCAAAGAAAAGCCTTTGAGGCAGAAATGGCAGACCTCCAGGCCAGGTTTCAGGAGGAGATACAGGTCAGAGGAGTGTTGTTGCTACCAATGTTAACCTGTATTTGACTTATAGGTGGTTCGGACAACGGGATAGTTTACCTCTGAAGTCACTAAGTGTGTGTGGCTTTTCAGGTACTAGCTGGTGAGCTGACAGAGAAGGATGTAACCATCAGCTTATTGAGAACAGCTTATCACCAGACACAAGAGCAACTGGACATTGTGGTAAGCTACTGATACTCTGTGTCCTCTTCATCCAGAGCAACTGTCACGGACGTTTCTGCTCAAACCTGCTAGTGATGGCTATCTTGTTGTTGTGACAGACCTGTCGTGTGTCAGACTTCGGGAAAAACACAAGCCGGCTTGGGCCAAGACGCATGTCACGCATCACGCAAGAACCAACAGAGCCATAGTGCAACTCATGATCACACCAATACATGTTTGAACGTCTCTTTTATTCTTCTGTCATAGAATGAGTCTTAAATGTGTTGTATGACATGCCATGTTGTGTCAAGGAGTACACTGTGGTGTATTGAAACAGCAGCAACAACAAAATGATCAATATTGATTGAACATTTTATTTGTATTGATTTAGGAAGTCAATGTGCAAAGGAATAAGAAATTGACAATTTAGAAGAAAACAGGTGAAAGAAGTTGCATATTAAGGTGTTGTTGCTTCTCCTCTACAACATAAAAAAATACCCTTTAAAAACATTTCCTAAAACCTTCTATTTACAGTTCTTTGGATATATTTATTCTGAATTTCATTTTTTATATATTTCACAGCGAGGTGTAAAAACAGTTAACTTTCAGTTTTGGAAAAACACTGCAGTTTATACTTGAGGGATCCCAGAGGGTGCAATGTAGTGTGGAGACAGTCTCAGTCTAGGGCAGTGGTATTCAAGTACTAGTATTTTCCCCATTGATTAATATTGATGGTGAGAGTCCACTCAGCTAATTTCTGAATCAGTCCCTGAATAGATGGGAAAGGAGAAGACCATTAAAGAAATCTGCTCTAGTGGTCTCAAGCCAATACTTGTGGCTCACATAGTCTGGGAGGTGGTTCTTTGGGGATGGGAAAGACCACCCTCTTTCTGAGTGAGTATGCAGGCTGGGGCATCTGCTTCTTAGTGCCATAGGGATCGGTCATCCTGCTGACATCATCGTTCACCTTGGTCAGGATGGACAACAAGTCATACCCACTGGACAGAGAGAGAACAATGAGAGGAAATAAAATCTGATATTAATTTACCAACAACACGCTCACATCATTATGTCATAATTCACTGTTTACTGATGTCAGAGAGAAACCAAGTACATCTCTGAGCACTAACCTGGGCACCAATTTGATGAGGTTCTGGCACAACGACTGGATGAACCAAGTGCCCTGCCTCTTGTCTCTGAAAGAGGCAAAGTGAGGCACAGTGGCCATGCCCAGAAGGAAGTCAGCATCATTGGGAATGGAGTCTTTGAGTACCACTGCATCCGTGCAGATAGAACTGGTGGTAGTAGAGCTTGGTCCTGGGCCATCAGACTGGATGAACACTGGCTTTTGTTCCTTGGTGCCCTGACAGGCCTGGATGAAGAACAGCTTGGGCTTGTCCCTCAGTGAGCTGCACTTCAGTCCAGAGAAGGGCCCTGTGAGCTCCCTGACACTGACCTTTTGCCCGTCCACCCCGTAAACACATCCCTGCTGGCCGTGGCTCAGAACGCAGCACACCAGGCAGTCCATCTGGCTGTGATCCCGGTTGCTCAGCTCCACAACTAAAGACAGTATCTTCTCCCGACTGCAGTCTGGCTCAGTCTGTGTCTCAAAGCCCAGCCACTCAAACACACTCACCAAACTTTCTAAAACACAAACACATACAGGTGGTTGTGGTTTAGCCCTGGTTCTTCAAAAGCAACCAACTTACAAGTATTGGAAGTATTTCAGTATAATAAGTATTAAAAGTAAAGATGATCTTACTTTCATCAATGTGTGTTCCCTCTCTTTCTTTCAACTGTTGAGAGGAATTTCTAAAGTCTTGGTTGTTAATGATTAGACAGAAACCTCTCTTTTTTCCTGTCATAGAATAGTCTCCCAGTTCCTACAGAAAGAAAACATACATACAGTGCATTCTGGAAAATATTCAGACCCCTTGACGTTTTCCACATTTTGTTACGTTACAGCCTTATTCTAAAATGGATTAAATAAAACAATTTCCTCATCAATCTACACACAATACCCCATAATGACAAAGCGAAAACAGGGTTTTAGAAATGTTGGCAAATGTATTAAAAATAAAAAACAGAAATACCTTATTTACATAAGTATTGCTATGAGACTCTAAATTGAGCTCAGATCCATCCTGTTTCCATTGATCATCCTTGAGATGTTTCTACAACTTGTTTGAAGTCCACCTGTGGTAAATTCAATTGATTGGACATGATTTGGAAAGGCACACACCTGTCTATATAAGGTTCCACAGTTGATAGTGCATGTCAGAGCAAAAACCAAGCCATGAGGTTGAAGGAATTGTCCGTAGAGCTCCGAGACAGGATTGTGTCGAGGCACAGATCTGGGGAAGGGTACCAAAACATTTCTGCAGCATTGAAGGTCCCCAAGAACACAGTGGCCTCCATCATTCTTAAATTGAAGAAGTTTGGAACCACCAAGACTCTTCCTAGAGCTGGCCACCCTGCCAAACTGAGCAATCGGGAGAGAAGGGCCTTGGTCAGGGAAGTGACCAAGAACCCAATGGTCAGTATGACAGAGCTCCAGAGTTCCTCTGTGGCGATGGGAGAACCTTCCAGAAGGACAACCATTTCTGCAGCACTCCATCAATCAGGCCTTTATAGCAGAGTGGCCAGACAGAAGCCACACCTCAGTAAAAGGCACCTGACAGCCCACTTGGAGTTTGCCAAAAGGCACTCAAAGACTCTCAGACCATGAGAAACAAGATTATCTGGTCTGATGAAACCAAGATTGAAATCTTTGGCCTGAATGCCAAGCGTCACGTCTGGAGGAAACCTGGCACCATCCCTACGGTGAAGCATGGTGGTGGCAGCATCATGCTGTGGGGATGTTTTTCAGCGGCAGGGACTGGGAGACTAGTCAGGATCGAGTGAAAGATGAACGGAGCAAAGTACAGAGAGATCCTTGATGAAAACCTGCTCCAGAGCGCTCAGGACTTCAGACTGGGGCGAAGGTTCACCTTACAACAGCACAACGACCCTAAACACACAGCAAAGACAACGCAGGAGTGGCTTCGGGACAAGTCTCTGAATGTCCTTGAGTGGCCCAGCCTGTTGCCCAGCCAGAGCCCGGACTTGAACCCGGATCTGCAGAGAATAGTGGGAGAAACTCCCCAAATACAGGTGTGCCAAGCTTGTAGTGTCATACCCAAGAAGACTTGAGGCTGTAATCGCTTCCAAAGGTGCTTCAACAAAGTACTGAGTAAAGGGCCTGAATACTTCTGTAAATGTAATATTTCAGCTTTTTTTTTTTATAAATGTGCTCAAAATTCTAAAAACCAGTTTTTGCTTTGTCATTAAGGGGTATTGTGTGTAGATTGATGAGGGGGAAAAAACTATTTTATCAATTTTAGAATAAGGCGGTAACGTAACAAAATGTGGAAAAAGTCAAGGGCTCTGAATACTTTCCGAATGCACTGTACATCATATATAAATCCATAATCCCAGAAACAACTAGTGTACCTAAAATAATCTATACATTACTTTACTCAGTCAGTTTTCAGTAAAAGCATGCACTGACATGACTTTGTCAATGCTCATTTAAAAATATAATTATAAGAGAAACCTCTCGTTTGGTGTTTCCTGTCTGAGGATCTGCTGGGCCAAAGTTCTTATTGTCTCCACATGAGGATGTGGATGAAACATGGTGATTATCTATGTGAGAGAAGACATGGATCAGGTAAGAATGCATCAATGATACAGCTAAAATGTAATAGTAATGCCAATGAGCCAACAGAGCGAGTAGGAGAGGGGAGAGTCTACAGGCCCCTTTTGCAGATTGGCATTATACATTCTGAACTGACCTTTGCTGAGAGCAGCACAGTTGTCCCCATTGGTACTTAGGAGACTCAGCCTATGTGAGACACTCCAAACATCTGTTGTGTGGGTAGACCAAGATCACACAAAAAGGTCATGTGAGTTCTGTACTGTACTCCTGATATGAGGTTTTTATAGTGTTATGATGTCATGTCATAGTATCATGGGGACAAGGTTAGAGTTACTAGATAAGTGGTTTGGTGCCACGGAGTCTACATTCCATTATGTCAAAGGAGATTACTGATGTGGATCTTAGAATAAGTGATGGACAGGATATAGTGACAGGGGTAAAGGGTAATAACATCAAAAGAATGGGAGTGCCCATGAGGATTACCAGATGTTCGTGGAGAGACTTGTAACAGAGTATATATATAGAGAGAGTGGATCTTTGTTCTGGAGTTAGGAAGTTGGAAAAGGAAGGGCCATGTCCCTATGTCTGTTATAACTAACCATGTTACCATATTAAATATCTAATATGAATTCCCCATCAAAAGTGTCTAATATTCTTACATCCTTGATTACTTGATATCCTAGAAACTCATCATAACAACTCCAAAACAGAGAACAGGTGTAGAGGGCAGCACACTATGTTCATTGTGGGACTTACCCAGAGAGGTGTCAGATCGATTTACAGAAGATACCTGTGGATGGAAGAAGAGGAAATGACTACACAGACATGAGGGATGGCCATAGCCTCTGGTGTAAAGACTGGTGGTGTGTTCCTGTTGATGCATGCTGTATGCTCCAATGAAGCATATAAATAAGTGTGGCCCAAAACCTGGACTGAACATTAGACACTTACCTTGGCTGAAGGCTGTGAACTTAAGAAGTTGTCAGGAATGAGAGTCTCGTCAGAATGGCCATACTGTTCAACTAAGACAAAAAGAAAATGGAATGTGTAAAACAAACAGGAAATGGAAGGTGAGCATGTTATAACATACTGAAGAGGATTTGACATTGACAGTACCCACAGGGCACACCATGTCATTTCAACGTTGAAATGTTGGTAATATTTGGTTGAGACGTTGATCAATGAGATTTCAACCTTTATTCACCCACTCAAAAAGACAGCCAGAAGTGTGTTGAATTCCCAATGTTTTATCACTATGCCTTCAACCATCTAAAAGCGCAACCAAATTCCAATGGGAAAACAATGTCAGATATTTTATATTTACACAACTTCATGTGTTATCACTGTGCTTTATCTAATAGCACAACCAAATGACTTGAATTGCAGTTGAGATTATATTAAAAGTAAATAGTGCAAGTGATCAATGCTGTTCCAAGATTCTGCACAGATTATTACAGCAATTGTGAAGATCTCCACAGACCTGCGATGACCTATGCATGCTATCATCTTGAATATGCAAGCTTCATATGATTACATAAGAAGACATTTATAGTTACAGTAGGCTAAACTCAGAACGTGGCCATGGATGTGTTGCTCATTTTATGGTTGAATAAATACTGTTACATTAGTTTGTAAGATATTCTTAACTTTAGGCTATTTACTGTATTGCAAAAATATTATTGAATTGTGTTTGGTTGACACGCAACAAAATATCAACATTTAAAGGATATCTAATGCTTGGATAGTTTCATCAGCGCCACTGGCTTAATCCCATTCTTTAACTTTTTTTGGTGTAGTTGGAGATGTGAATCCAACATCATTTGTTAACTTGTTGACAAGTTAATAGGCTATTTACTGTATTGCAAAATTATATTGAATTTTGTTTGGTTGTCAACAAATTCCAGTTTGTCTACAAATCAATAATGTATATGTTAGATTCATGTCTCCATCTCAACCAATAATCAAAGTTAAAGAATAGGACTAAATCAAATCAAACTTTATTTAAAGTGCATTTAAAATTTGATTTAGTCCTACTCTTTAACTTTGATTTTCGGTTGAGATTGAGACGTGAATCCAACATATCAATTATTAATTTGTAGACAAACTGGAATTAAAGCCAGACTAATTCAGTGGCACAGATGGAACTATCCAAGCAGAAGATACATCTCCTTCAAATGTTGATATTTGGTTACGTTGACAACCAAACACAATTCAATATCCAGTTTGTCTACAAATTAATAATTGATAGGTTGGATTCACGTCTCCATCTCAACCACAAAACAAAGTTAAAGAATAGTGCTAAATCTAATCTAATCAAACATTAAATGCACTTTGAATAAAGTTTAATTAGTTATATTCTTTAACTTAGATTTTTGGTTGAGATGGAGATGTCAATCCAACATATTAATGATTAACATTTTACATTTTATTCATTTAGCAGACGCTCTTATCCAGAGCGACTTACAGGAGCAATTAGGGTTAAGTGCCTTGCTCAAGGGCACATCGACAGATTTTTCACCTAGTCGGCTCGGGGATTAGAACCAGCAACCTTTCGGTTACTGGCACAACGCTCTTAACCACTAAGCTACCCGCCGCCCCATTAACTTGAAGATTACATTTTAAATCAACCAAAGCTTGAAACCCTAAGCATATGTATTGTCTATTTTTAGTTTAACCCTGGGTTGAATTGAAACAACAGCTGTTGATGACTTTGCAAACGCTAGATAGGCCTAAATAGTATCATTGATGATATTTGACTGATAAAGTATGGTTACATTTAATTTTTGCTCTGATAAATCTACCCTTTGGAATTACTTTAATAGCAACAGTGAATATATTTAGTTATTAAGAGGTCACTCAATAATAATTCTCACGATAGCACATTGATAGTAGTCAGTGACAAATATAAAAGCGGGGCTTGAGACCAAATTAAGAGCTGTAGATCAACTCTCCAGTAGGAGGTGCTGCCCAGCCTATGGTGTGTTTTTATATATATATATATATATAGTGGATATAAAGTTGAAGATCTGACGTTGTTTCAAAGGTACAAATTCAACATATGTTATACAAGGTTTGTCTATGTTGAAGATTAGTCACAATGACAACATAATTCTGTGGTTTAAATTTCACCCTCAAAACACGTTGATTCCTTTTTTCAAATCCAATGTATTTTCTACGTAGATTGCACGCTACAATACGTTGATAAATTACGTTGAATTAACGTTGATTCAACCAGTTGGTGCCCAGTGGGTAGTCACAGCTCCAATCTACCTGATAGTTCACAAGAGACAGGCCTCTTTGGACGCATGGAGGCAGCCTGAAGGAAAACAAATAAAACAGTCATGAAAATCTGTGAGGATTATACTGTAGTAGTTTATCAAGATAGAAACTGAAATGTGTCCATAAGTACTGGATATCAAGATAATATAAGAAAGAAAAGGGAGTGCTGACGAGCATTGTATGTTACCTGGATTTGTGGACAAGCTTCAGACACAGACCTTGGTCTTAACTGTCCCACCCCTGTCTCTTGAGTTACTGGCCCTGATTGAATAGCATAAAACATCTCAGTCATATCCCTGTTCTAAATCATTGACAGGCAAGGGATTGGATTGTTCAGCAGATAAGTGATTTACCAGGTAAGGAATACTGTGTCTTATACTTATTGATTGTTGTTTTCAACATGGGGGAGACACTTTCAAAAATGCTTTCAAGAGTGTTTAGTTTATTGATGCTCAAAATATCCATTTTCTCCATTTCCAGGAATACTTGCAAGGTAGTCTGGAAGAATAAAGCAAAATGTGTAAAGTCAGTTGGTCCATCAAGATAACCATTCCTTCTACTTATATTGCAATAAATAATAGGTTACTGCCCTACTCTGGACAACAAATATTGAATTTCAGACTGTTCTGACATACTCACCACGTTGTCCTCCAGTTTTCTACGAGGGAGTTCATTCAACAACAAGAACTTGATCTCCCTCAATTCATCTTTAGTGATGTTCTCTGACAGGTTATACAGCATTTTTCTGCAGATGGTTAAATACAATGAATCATTCACTTTTCAGAGAACATCATATTACAGTACAGTATATGGAGTGATAAGCTGTAACACAACAAGTGTTTATATTCGTGTTAGGAATGGGAAGTTAGCTTTGTCTGATTTCAATTGTGGGGGAAGATGTTGTATGGACTCAGATGTAGTAATAATTTAATTGCCAGCCATTTCCGCCCACACTAAGCCTGGGGATGAGGTTATAGTAAATGTAGCCTATATATTCACCTATAAGGTGAGATGAGGCTACTGGTTGTTGATAGCTGGTTGTTGAGGCCAAGGCCTCGCATCAAGCATTGCTGCTGGATGGTGAGTAGTAGGTCAGCAAGCAAGTAAGGTTGATCAGGGGATAACAGTTGTTGGTCCATCAGAAGAGAGAAGAGTTTACTTGCTGTGGTCACTGAGCTCAGGTCTTTCTCCAGTAAATCTTTGCAAAGAAATGCAAGCGATTGTACTTCTTCACTGCTCAGGGCTTGTTCCACCTGCAATAGCAGCCTTTGGAAATCCATCTCCTGTGGAAAAACCAATATGATTGCTATATTTGATATCTATAAATACATATTGTGAACTTACAATCTCTGTACATGGTACTAATATGTTGTCAGTTGAAAATATCAATTAGCCTAAGTGAGTAATCAATTGGATAGCCCTCTAGTGCAACAACTTTCAACTTTCAGTGGGCTGGGGACCCCTAGGGGCCTCAGTGAATTTTCTAGTTTGTCCCAGCATTATTATTTTCTAGAATTGTCTAATTTTCAACTTCCACCTCACATAAAAAGCAGAGAGGAAACCATGGGGGGAAAACAATACATTTATATTCTATAGAAGAGCTCCTGTTTAAACATTTTTTAGAAGATTAGGCTCACATAATTATATAAAACAGTAATATGTCTCTATTAAAATATCTGTTTGTCTGTTAAGCCGGGTGTACACTACACGAATTTGCCCCGCTTTAGCTGTCCCAGATAAGTATTCAAGATCGGAGACAAAATCCCCATGTCATTGCCTACTCTGGGCGCGCAGCCGTCAGAGACGCAATCTGAGGGCTACCGATCTCGTCTTTGAGCAGTCCCAGACGTCCCGATATTTTCAAACGTTTGATTTTATCAGCACACAATCTGCAATGTTCTTGTAGTGTGAGATATGCAATGACAAGTTTTGAGAACGGTGCTCACGGATAGCCAATGAGAGCTCGCCAGAGAAGAAGCCAGTGAGATGATGACGTTGTTTGGCATCAGCCAGAATGTGTAGACTCTCGAACCGGAGCGATGACTACTACTAGTATGTGTCTGTACTTGCCTTTAATTAACCAAAGCCGAAGTGCCAAATCGTTACAGCGGTGAAGTGCACAAGCATTGTTTTTGCGAGACAACGTTGTATCGACAATCCTCACGACCAAGTTAAATATCTTGCGGTGTGTGACCGCCGTCGGCGCAATATCGTTTAGTGTGGCACAACTACATTGGCAAGACAAAAAAAACTACAACATGAAAGACGGTCGTTTAACCCTCCAGTTGTCCTAGGGTCAAAATGACCCGCCACTGTGTTGAACCAACTTTATTTAATTTTTATATTTTTGGGTTCAACACAGTGGCGGGTCATTTTGACCCTAGGACAACGGGAGGGTGTGAGGCTCAGCGATGTTAGGGTCCTGAAAGTCATATAGTGTACACCCGGAAATAGCCTAGACTATTATAGACGTAAGGTTGAGAATGAGAAACCATGACAAATCTACATTAATTCACCCATAACAAGCCATACCCTCTGCCCAATAAAAAATAACACACTGTGTAAAAAGGCTATACAGTGTATAATACAATTTTGTACTGTTTAATTAGAACAAATGCCCCACTCAAGAAAAAGTTTGGGGAAAGTATAGCTGAGGAACGGAGTTGAGCATTCCTCAGCTAGGAATAGTGCGTTCGAAGTTTAAATGTGTGTCCTGATATCTCAAGTCCACATAGGCCTACCTGTACTTTTGGAGAGGTAACGTTAACATAAACTACAGGAATATCAATGTTTTCCAAAGATCCTGTCTTCTTCCCGATAACAACTACAGGTCATTATATTTCCTCTAGCATAGTTGATCAACAACTTGAAGGCTATCCATCCATAACTTGGGAAATACAAAATCGAAAGTATCCGGAGGTCTCGTAACTGTGGCGAGAAGTCAGTACAGTACTTCGAGCTTTCCTCACGCCATTACATAGGATACGCCCGTTTCAATATTTTCACCCTCTCCAAATGTTGCAATGTAGCTGTAATTAATACAGATTAGTCGTCGTAATCCTCACAAATGTACACTATCATCCACGCATTGTCATACACAGAACATACACTTAGAGAAACACTCTCAATGTAATATTTTTATTCAACACATCAAAAGTAGAAAAAGTCAATAGGACATATGGACATGGTTGAATTATTATGCGTGGTTAAAGAATAGATCTACTCTTGATCCCCCTGGTACGAATGATGTGATTTAAAATGCCTGGTCCAAAGTGCTGAGTATGAATCTTGAGCCAGCCCTGAGATGACTCCTTCAGTTTGGAGAAGTTAGTATTTGAGTCCTGAACAAAAGATTCTGCAAGATAAAGTCAGAAAAACGGATTCATTACTGGTGGTGAATATGTTTGATTCAGAGATTTAAGCATACTAATGGGTACAGAGCAGATCCCATCATCTCATAATAATTATCTTTTAACAATTTACTAATCAATGATATGTACAGCAATACACAACATAGCAGTCAGTATCTCACAACACATGTTTATAGGCTACTGCTGTGTTATTATTATGGCACCAGATCAGCCTTGATATAAGTTGCAATAGAAAATGTATCCTGTACACACAGACAAAACCTAGGTAGCCTCCTTAAAAATGATCCATGCCCAAACTGTAAACTGGAGAGAAAAGTGTCAGAGACAGGCACTTACTGTCAGTGATGAGAGAGCGCATGGCAGTGATCTGCTCATGGGGCCAAGTTAGCTGGCGCCTCCCCAGTCCATGGGTCCGGGACAGGACACAATCCACATAGATGTCCCAGAAAACCTGGGCCAGGTCCCAGAATAGAGCACTGTGCTTCCTGTTGTCTGACGACTTGAGGAACACCATCAGGTCCCAGAAGGCAGGCACAGTGTCTGCGATCCTCGGGGAGCGCATCTCCAGCAGGAGTTCTGAGGAGGAGGTCCAGCACTGTGAAGCCCTGCTCAGAGTCAGGGGGTCCACCTGTCCTGGCTTCTGACCTTGGAGAGGTACCACACACACACACCCCATGAGCAGCACCATAGCCAGAAACATGTTGAGGATTATAGTATCCATCTGCATTGAGACAGAATGTAAGTGTTAGGAACACATGAATGACATCAATATTCACAAATACAACTTTTTCTCTAATCAAACATAATGTTATCACCACATTCTGTTTTCAGAATGGATATTTGAATTAGGCTATTTTTAAAGATACCCTATAGGAATTTACATGTTCTCAGAATACACTTTTCCCTTGAAATGGTAAAGATTAAAACATAAACATAAATTCCAGATAAAGTAATATGTTCCAAACAAATATAGGACCTTCCATTTTTGAATAAATAACATGCCAAATATTGATGAAAAATAGGCATATAACTGTTGAGTAAGGAAATATAATAAAAGTGATAGGCCTACTAAGCTTTTATTTTAAACTGCTTTATTATTCCAAATAAAGTACATTTTGCAAGATTAACCTGGCAACAAATATTTCTAAAACAAAACGTTCTAATTTCAGGTTTCTATGAAATGTACATGAAAAAGCTCATAAAATACATCAGATGCAAAACAGGGACTTACCTTTTGGAGAGTGATGTAGTTTGTGCAGCCCTCGATGTTTAGATGCGCATCTGTTTGCTCTCATGTACAGTACGTCAGTCTATCTAAGGGGGACGGCCAAAGAGTTTAGTAGCGTTCCAATGGAAGTGATTGAACACTGTCTGACTGTCACATGCTGAGTTCTTTTGGAAGGATTCATCATTTTCTTAAAATGTTAATTGAAATGTACATTGTTACACATAATTCTTCAGGAATGTTACATTGGAGGGAGGGTTCCCAGGGTGATTCTATTCTTTTTTTTTGCCACATAGGCTATGACCTAGACCTTCCTCTTTGGCAGTGCATCAATCTGTTCCTTTGTTTTTAAATCACCTATACAAAAACAGAATAAATAAAAACTACAATATTTCATTCATATATTAAAAAGCCATCTGAACTGAAAATGTGGTTTTATGAACAACCTTGGATTATGCCTCTGGTCTGTGGTTAAAGCTTGTATAAACAAAACAACTGAAATTGTGACTAAACCTTTCAGAGATATTATAAGACATATTTATTGATAAGAAAGCAAGTCCAGGAGTAAGCAAGTAAACACATGTTCATGAAACAGGCTATTTGGTTGATTACTTTCTGTTGCATGTTTTAACCTCTATGGGATCGGTGTCCAGTATACGGGATGGTTGCGCTAACGTGCGCTAGTGTGATTAGCATGACTGTTGTAAGTAACAGCAAACTTTCCAGGACATAGACATGTCATATATGGGCAGAAATATTACATTCTTGTTAATCTAACTGCACTGTCCAATTTACAGTAGTTATTACAGGCAGTTATTCTTGGGAGAGCTACAGGCAGTTAGACTTGGGTATGTCATTTTAGGCGAAAATTGAAAAAAAGGTCAGATCCTTATGAGGTTAATCATAATAAATGTTTCCTTGTTAGGTCATAGGTTAGGAAAAACTGACCCCATTCATAATGCAACAATTTGTTGTTTTTACAAAAAATTAATACTTTTGGATCTCCTCTGTTTGCAACCTTGTGCAAAGAACCATTACTTTATTCAGATATCAGAATTTCTTACAGAACTTCTTAGATAATTTGCATATCCTAAATAACATCTCAGGGATGACTACACTCCTATTTCAAGTAGTTCAGGTAGAGCCATATTCCTGAGTGAATGAGTCAGACTGCTGCCATGAGTACTGCCCAGTTTCATTCAAGCTGAAGAGTCATAGAGAGGAAGACAGCAGGAGATCTGACTCTGGGTCAACGTGGAAAGTCCTCATTTCCAGTTTCAGTGCAGACTAAACACACAAGAGTACTAGTGTGCTACGTAAGCAGTGTGCAGATGCTTTTAGTGAAATGCCACATGTACTCGTGATCTAAGAGTTAATTGCAGCCTTAGTGAGAGGCCATAGATAAGTGGGCTGCGGTGGGCTGCCACTAAGTCATTCATCCCTTTAATGACGCATTAAGAGGGGTTTTATGATGGATATTCCACCTTTTCTCTCTCTGGTGTTTTGACTGGATACTACACTAGAATTGTCTTTCAATTAAAGGAAGCAATCACCTCCGTCAAATTGGGAATATTAAAGTTCAAATCATAATGTTAGAGTGATTATAGGCAGGAAATTCAGGAATCATTATTCATTAGATGGTATAAACACTTGGAAAGGTTTTGTTATACTGTACATACAGTGGGGGAAAAAAGTATTTAGTCAGCCACCAATTGTGCAAGTTCTCCCACTTAAAAATATGAGAGAGGCCTGTAATTTTCATCACAGGTACACATCAACTATGACAGACAAATTGAGAAAAAAAATCAAGAAAATCACATTGTAGGATTTTTTATGAATTTATTTGCAAATTATGGTGGAAAATAAGTATTTGGTCACGTACAAACAAGCAAGATTTCTGGCTCTCACAGACCTGTAACTTCTTATTTAAGAGGCTCCTCTGTCCTCCACTCGTTACCTGTATTAATGGCACCTGTTTGAACTTGTTATCAGTATAAAAGACACCAGTCCACAACCTCAAACAGTCACACTCCAAACTCCACTATGGCCAAGACCAAAGAGCTGTCAAAGGACACCAGAAACAAAATTGTAGACCTGCACCAGGCTGGGAAGACTGAATCTGCAATAGGTAAGCAGCTTGGTTTGAAGAAATCAACTGTGGGAGCAATTATTAGGAAATGGAAGACATACAAGACCACTGATAATCTCCCTCGATCTGGGGCTCCACGCAAGATCTCACCCCGTGGGGTCAAAATGATCACAAGAACGGTGAGCAAAAATCCCAGAACCACACGGGGGGACCTAGTGAATGACCTGCAGAGAGCTGGGACCAAAGTAACAAAGCCTACCATCAGTAACACACTACGCCGCCAGGGACTCAAATCCTGCAGTGCCAGACGTGTCCCCCTGCTTAAGCCAGTACATGTCCAGGCCCGTCTGAAGTTTGTTAGAGTGCATTTGGATGATCCAGAAGAGGATTGGGAGAATGTCATATGGTCAGATGAAACCAAAATATAACTTTTTGGTAAAAACTCAACTCGTCGTTTTGGAGGACAAAGAATGCTGAGTTGCATCCAAAGAACACCATACCTACTGTGAAGCATGGGGGTGGAAACATCATGCTTTGGGGCTGTTTTTCTGCAAAGGGACCAGGACGACTGATCCGTGTAAAGGAAAGAATGAATGGGGCCATGTATCGTGAGATTTTGAGTGAAAACCTCCTTCCATCAGCAAGGGCATTGAAGATGAAACGTGGCTGGGTCTTTCAGCATGACAATGATCCCAAACACACCGCCCGGGCAACGAAGGAGTGGCTTCGTAAGAAGCATTTCAAGGTCCTGGAGTGGCCTAGCCAGTCTCCAGATCTCAACCCCATAGAAAATCTTTGGAGGGAGTTGAAAGTCTGTGTTGCCCAGCGACAGCCCCAAAACATCACTGCTCTAGAGGAGATCTGCATGGAGGAATGGGCCAAAATACCAGCAACAGTGTGTGAACACCTTGTGAAGACTTACAGAAAACGTTTGACCTGTGTCATTGCCAACAAAGGGTGTATAACAAAGTATTGAGAAACTTTTGTTATTGACCAAATACTTATTTTCCACCATCATTTGCAAATAAATTCATTAAAAATCCTACAATGTGATTTTCTGGATTTGTTTTTCTCATTTTGTCTGTCATAGTTGACGTGTACCTATGATGAAAATGACAGGCCTCTCTCATCTTTTTAAGTGGGAGAACTTGCACAATTGGTGGCTGACTAAATACTTTTTTTCCCCACTGTATGTGACGAAAGCATCAACACTTTGGAGGACTTCATTTAGAGGAGTTTGAGCTGCACTTCCTGGCTGATGACTCAGTCTCTTCATGACATAGGGCCTACCTACATGCTTATAATACGCTCAAAGTTCATATTACACACGTCTGAGAACAGGATATGGTCAGTATCACATGATGGATTTATATACCGACTCAAGTGCAATGCAACATGCTCTAACCTTGTATTCATTCTCTACTACATCTTTATGGTGTAGCTTGACTGCATTATTTAAAGGCCCAATGAAGCTGTTTTTATTTCATTATCAAATCATTTCTGGGTAACAATTAAGTACCTTACTGTTATTTATTTTTTCAATTCAAATGGTCAAAAAGAAACAAAAATAGCTTCTTAGCAAATAGCAATTTCTCAAGAAAGAATTGTGCTGGGACTGTCTGGGAGAGGTCTGAGTGAGGGGCCTAATTGGACGGGCCTAATGGGAGGTATATATAACCTAAAAACTAGCCGTTATTGGCAGAGGTTTGAAACTCTCTTTGTTATTGGTCTATTAAATTATACCACCTGGTGATGTCGCCAGGCAGGCCAATACTCCATCCCACCAAAACATGCTTACATTTCTGCCGGTCTTTTCAAACAGCTCTTACACTAAAACAACATTTTCATAATTTTCACAATTTCAAATTTTTATTCCCAACCTCATAGTGTGGAAATATATGTAAAACACAGGAAAATCACGATTTTGTCTGCACTGGGCCTTTAAGCACAGTTGTGTTTTACAGTACTAAGGCTCATAAGAAAGACAGAGGCTCTTGGATAAAATACTTCAGTAGTTTATTCGTCGGTCCAACTGTACATGATGCAGTGTTGATAGGGACACGAGATGATGACTAACATGGAGGTTTACACAATGCCAGTGCTATGGCAGCACCTGTAACACACCAGCTGTCTGTCTGTCAGCTGGGCTGGAAACTAAAGTCCTGGAAAAGTAACCTGTTGAGGCCTCGGCACATACAGTATGTCAGATTAGAGAAATGTCATCTTAGATTGGTTGAAAAACACACAAAAATAATATGTTCTTCGATTCCACAAATGTAAAAGGATGTTCTTTCGCTTTTCACTTGGACATATGAATTCAATTATGCTTTTCCATTCTTTATTTCAGTACTTTGAAGCTAAATGAAACAAGATGTGGGAGTGGCCGAATATAAAAGGTTGGCTGATTCGCAAAGGTTTTTGTTCCATGTTTATACTGATATCATTATTACATTTAATAACCCATAAGTTTGTGCAATATCTTTCTTTGCATAGAAATAAAAGTTAAATGTTTTGTTTGTTGACATGCACCTATCTTTTGTAGCATATTTTAGCTTGCAGATTTTGGGACTCCCTTATAGAATTATAAGCCCACTATAGTGTGAATGCATGCAGTGTACCAGTAGAGCTGAACTTGATTTCTAGTAAGAGTTTATGGAGAGCGCCATGCCAGCCAGTATAGTGGGTGTTGATGAGGACTGTTAAATAGTGACACCACCTGATAACACAGGTGGGACTAATCTGCAGGGACACACTGCGTGCCTGTCTGCAGCACTGGGAGAGAGAGGCACACAGATTGCAGACAAAGGGGAAAGTGCTCTGTGTGCGACAACATCCAAACATTCCACGTGATTGATTCTTTGGCTTTTGAGTCACTACTGGAAGTACTTAAGAAACCCCATGACGTCATTCATAGACTGGATAATCTGTGATCTATCTTTCTGTCATCATCGCTGTGCCCTGACCTCTAGAGAAGACACATGTAGACCCCTAAATCTGACCTCTGCTCTGTCCTGTTTATACTGAACCTGACCCTTGACCTCTATATTGGATAAATACAGAATGTAGCGTGTGGTAACACCTAATAGACAGATTATGACATTGTCTGGTTATCCATAGCATTTTGGCCCAAATGATAATTGCGTTACTGTTTTATATCAACATTGCCAAAAACACCCGCTATACAACATGCTTAAAGATAAAACAGAAGCAGAGTGTGTCAGTGTAAAATGATATGTTATATTTCAGAATCTGAACTTTTTCTCTTCTTTTATGTACAATGTTGCCCGATATATACTTCCATTTATTGAATGTGGTCTGCATTTCCCATTTGGGTACTAACATGCAGCCTTCCTCCTCTCCTAGTGGTGACCTAAGGAGGGGCCGTTTCAGGGTACCACCGGGTTTGTTTTTTAATGAGGCTATCTCCTCCATTTGACGATTCAGTAGTGACTTCTCTCTTTTTTTGCTGTGTGTTGTTCATAGCTTTGGTAGCCATGCAGAGTCCATTAGCGAGGGCTCCTCATGCCAGAGCCAGCGAGCTGCACACTCTGTGCGGGAAATCATGCCTGGTGAGAGAATATAATGGTGTGAGTTCCGCCTGAACGCCTGTGCACTGGCACTAACGATGAAAGGAAAAAGAGCGGAGTTCTGTGGCTCTAGAGATCAGGATGGGGTTGTTAGGTGGATGGGGTTGAAGAAGGCTGCATTTCTACATGACTAAGATGGAATTTGTTAAATTGTCCTCTATTTCCTTTTCAAGTAAATCTAATGCCAAAAATCAGCAGCTGTAAGTGCAGTCCAGAGGATCCCTCTGTGCCCTTCGACCTCTCCTCCGGCCTTATATGGCACTGGCGTTGGGGTCGTACCGTCGCTTCTTCACATTTCTTCACGTTCAGGGGAGAGTTGGGGAAAGAAGACAGGGATCAATACATGGTATATAACCGGTGATTGTGATACAGTCAGTGCACCATAGAGAAGCAGCCACACTCATCTCTTCAACAACAGGAGCCATATCTTGTGGTTTCATACTGGACTGCTCACTGCAGCTACGTGCTTCAGTGAGGTCACTAGATCCCCTAGATTGATTTGATATGTTCACTATTGGTATGTGTATTGTTGTTGTTAGTCTTTCAGATTGTCCATTCTTCTGCATTGTAATGACATCCCTTTTGTGTTTCAAATTTACAAGCACAGTATGGTGCTGGAGGCAATGAGAAGAGTATGTGCTAGTCCATGTGGCATACAGTTAGCTTTCCAAAACACAAGACAAGGATAGGACATGTATCTCTCATTACCATCTCTGACAGGAAAATACATTAGTTCCATTCAAAACATTACCATCTGGGGGGAGAGAGAGAGAGACAACAAAAATGTACTCTATAAAAGGGGGAAAGAGGAGACAACAACAACACATCAACAACAACAACAACGACAACAACACCAACAACAAGATAACACCAACAGGAGAGTTATGCATAACCTCCCCGTAATGTGGCTTGATGTGGGGCTTCTAGCAGTCTGTCATGCACCTGTTTCAATAGTAGGCCAGTGGGAGGTGGCTCTATTGATGTGCTTTGTGGGTCATGCAGCTCAATGCGCCGTTTCTGTACCAGGTCTGTGAAGCAGGCAGCAATGGCAGCTGGTGTGGGCGGGTCCAGGAGTCCTGCTCTGCTCTAGGGCGGAGCCTGGCCATCCAGGTGGGTGTGGCCAGCCATGGCACAAAGGCTGCGGCCAACAATATGGCCCTGGCTTCTCTCTCACCACTTCCGCTTAAACTCTCACCCTTGAACCCTCGTACCAGATTGAGAAAAAGATTATGGTAGTGATAAGAGTATGGTAACCCAGGAGCATGTCATCCTGAGTTGGGCTCAGCCTTTGTGCAATGAACTGACCTTCTCCAAGTCAACCAAGTCTACATGCAGAAATATTTTTTGGGGTGAGAAACATGATGCTTTGCTAACTGGCATGCTTTGGTGGCTGCAGTATTATACTTATCAACTCCTTCTTTTTCCTACTTTAGATTTAGGGTGTGTAACACCCCTGTTGCTTGAGACAGCAGGCTTACTAGTGAGCGATTGCCACTTGATACCTCAGATTAGTGAACATAGCATACTGCATCACACAGTAAACTAGCTGGCTATGTATTATACACTGAATGTACAAAACATTAAGAACACCTGCTCTTTCCATGACATAGACTGACTAGGTGAATCCAGGTGAAAGCTATGATCCCTTATTGATGTCACTTGTTAAATCCACTTCAATCAGTGTAGATGAAGGGGAGGAAACAGGTTAAAGAAGGATTTTTAAGCCTTGAGACAATTGAGATATGGATTGTGTATGTGTGTTATTCAAGGGTGAATGGGAAAGACAAAAGATTTAAGTGCCTTTGAACGGGGTATGGTAATAGGTGCCAGGCGTACCGGTTTGTGTCAAGAACTGCAATGCTGCTGGGTTTTTCACACTCAACAGTTTCCCGTGTGTATCAAGAATGGTCCACCACCCAAAGGACATCCAGCCAACTTAACACAACTGTGGGAAGCATTGGAGTCAACATGGGCTAGCATCCCTGTGGAACGCTTTCGACACTTTGTAGAGTCCATGCCCAGACGAATTGAGGCTGTTCTGAGGGCAAGGGGGGTGCAACTCAATATTCGGAAGATGTTCCTAATGTTTGGTATACTCAGTGTAGACATGTACAATCTGGAAGAGTATGTGTCAAGGAGGTATAATCTTAATCCATAGACTAAATTAGTAGTAAGAACAGTTTGGTCTACAAGTGCTCTTATACAACTGATTAAATTATTTTTCTGCTAACCCCTCCTCCCCCAAAAGGTTTTACTGTCACATACACCAGATAGGTGCAGTGAAATGTTTTATTTTACAGGGTCACCCATAGTAGTACAGCACCCTTGGAGCAAATTAGGGTTAAGTGCCTTGCTCAAGGACACATCAACAGATCTTTCACCTTAACGGCTCAGATATTTGAACCAGCAACCTTTCTGTTACTGGCCCAACGCTCTAACCGCTAAGCTACCTTCCGCCCTAACCAGCAGGTTTAGTAACTGTATTGAACATGCACGTCAAGCTTTGAGCTGTGCCCGTCTTCTCAGTTTGAGGTTCTGCCACAGACGCACAGATGCCCCCCACCTCCCCAACATAATCTCTATGATAATCACCCTATATTACTGATTGTGGACCTTTAAAGTAACTGTCCAATGTTTCCAGATTTCTATGAAATATGTATTAAATAGTTTTCCTTCCAATTGTACTGTTAAAAAACAGCTTTTCTGTGTTCGAATGGTGTGGGCGTATACTGGTCCTAAAAAATATTCATGCGAGTAGACTGCTGATTGGCCAGCTGAGTCTCCTCAGGAGGATGACATCATCCTCTATGAGGAAATAGCAAGCATTTTTTAAACGGTCTGTTTGAGATACTAGTTTGAGGTGTGGTTTTTGAAGTGTTTTTTTTTTCTCCAATTTATGCTTTGGCCACAAATACAAGTATAGGATGAGTCAACAACATTATTTGGGTATGAGTTAACAGAATATGAACTATTAAAAGTGAGGTTTTCACTGGACAGTTACTTTAAGACAATATCATGAGCACAGGCAAGATTACTTTAAATATATCTATGTTAAGTGTGTGTTTACTGCTTACTATGTAAGTCTATGTGTGGTTCATCTGACAAACATATCAGGTATATTTGTGTGTCCCCCTGGGTCTATATTCTGTAGCAGGAGCTCAAACCCTGGTGTCAATAAGCAGCAGCAGGGATGCCAGAGTCACGGTAGGAGAGACATGCGGCGTGTTGCTTACTTAAAGCCCCATCCAGTCCCCCCCAGCACTATGGCAGCCACCAGGATGGCTCCGGCGATGGAACCTATTATAAGATTGGTGGCACTAGGACCTGCGAAGGGTTACGGGGGAGAAAGACATGAGCGCCTCACGTATGGCACTTCTCTACACATGGATGATCTTACACAGATGTTAAGAACAAGAACACATAGCATGAGAATCTCCATTGAACTGACTAATTACCTCTATGGTATATTTTTGCATGCTTATCAGGCCCTTCTACAATATGTTACCATGGTAGTAGTGATTGTGAATCTGATGTGATGTAGCACTTTGCTTGTAAATTCAAAGGTCAAGTCTACATTTCAGGGACCCTATTGTCTACAGGCGGAGGTTATGAAAAGACTGAGACCACTAAGTTGAAAAGTTGGGCAGAGCAATGGTCCCAATACACATGGTGGTTAGCACATAGCAAACCGCAGGAGATCATAGACCTCTCTTACTGTATTATTTTAAACTGAGTTGTTTTACTCCTTTATGGTAGCATGCACCTAGCTACAGTCTCACCCTAACCCACATTAGCTTCCGATGACAGGTTGCATGAAGGTTCTGACAGGTGATCTATATGAGGATGTGAATCGTGGAAAATGACCACAAGGCACTCTTTGGGAGTCCCAGTCACCACACAGCCCACCACTGACAGACAGGCTCTCTCACTGCGGATCACTTCCCTTGACTGGGGTCTATCTCCATGCCCCACATGCCCCAGAAAGGAGAGGATCAGAAGAGGAGCCACATGACGAGTAATAAAAAGAAGAGGAAGAAGAGGAAGAAGAAGAAGAAGAAGAAGAAGGAGGAAAAAAGAAGAAGAGAGAGACTAATAATAATGGGGGAACAACAGGAAATGGTGGGAAGAGGGGAATCCATCGATCAATCACATGACACTGAAACATCCAATCACATGACATTTATATGGTCACCACCAACACGAGACAAAGCCACCAGGACGCACACACGGGCTCAGGCCGGGTCACGAGACCCTCAGCCCCCACACTGAGGCACCACAATGAGAGGAAGAGCTGTGGAAAGGGAGAAAGATGCTTACTCTATTCCCCACCCTGTGCCTCCAAAAATCACCCCCAGGGCCAGAATGGTCCCTGCTACTGCCCCTATCAGCCTGTTAGTTGCCACGCTCACTGCGCAGAGGGAAAAGGAGCATTATCATTATTACCACCTGGTCACAACAAACAGCAGGCTTCTGTTCTGCTTCAGTAACATAGGTAGAGTGATGCCGTTCTCTTGGCAACTGTCCATTCCGCCTCCCCTCCCCCTGTGTCAAAAGCCCTAGGAAATCCACTGACTTATAACTGCCAATAGAAATAGTCAGACATGACTATGTGTTCATGTTCAATAGGCTCCCTATATTTGTGATGCGTGGTGATATTAGCAGCTAGAGGCCTCAGCTAGAACATCTTTCTCTATTCTCCTGGGAATGATTAGACGTATCTGTGTGCCTGTTCCATGTTATTATAATTATATTAATGATAATAATAAACTTGGTTTGTATAGCACCTTTCATACAAGCAATAGCAGCTTAAAGTGCTGTTACAATTAGCACTTTAAAAAACAACAATAAAATAACAATAAAACATGGTAGTAAAGCAATAAGAGCAATAAAAGCAGAAATAAATAAATTAAACTTAAACCAATAAAAACAGCAATAAAAGTAAAAAAAAGCATTAAACAATTATACATGAAAACAGACAAACAAGAACTAAAAGGCACACTAGTTAAAACCAGCGCCATCTTTGAATGACCTTTCAATCACATTGACATGTGTAAATGTTCTGTGACATGTAGCTATGATCTTTAGACAGAAGAGGGTACTTGAAAAACATTTACATATTAACATACTGGAAAAGTTATACAAAACTCAATGGAATGGCTGTACTCAAGAAAGCATGTTATTTAGTCTATCATGGAGAGGAGATAGGGACGTTCTGAAAACGAGATGGAAACAAACCCTTGGGTCCTTCATCTTCTGAGGGTGCAGGCTCCTTGGGGGGGTCAGGCATGCTGCAGTCTGTCCCCGCCCATGTGGTGTCACAGGTGCACGTCGCCTCATTGTTACACACCTGGCCAGGTATGATAGAGGGAGAAAGAGAGGTGGCAGGGAGGAGTTCATTAACCTATGCTCCATTGTAGCTCAATTGGTAGAGCAGGGTAGTGGGTTCAATCCCCGGGACCACCCATATGTAAAAATGTATGCGCACATGACTGTAAGTCGCTTTGGATAAAAGCATCTGCTAAATGGCATATTATTATTATTATTAACAAGTGAATACGTCCCAGGCTCAATTGCTACCACATGCTGGGGACGAGATTTTACACGCTTGTTGAAATTGTAGTGAATATGTCACTTGTTGACACTGTGTAATTGGAGATACCATTGTGAACACTTATGGCTAATAATAGAGCATTCAAGGTTGCAGTAATGGGCTCATATGGGTACACCTATAGGGGGAAGCAGCTCCCCTGGACTCACCCCGTGGGCTGAGCACACTTGGCTGTTGGGCCCGCTGGGGCAGGCGCTCATGTTGAGGGACTGGATGGGCAGACACTTGCGGTCAAGGCACATCATGGACGGCCCACAGGGCGTCCCGTCCTCCACGTAGCCTAAGTCAGTCTCATCATCCAAAAGAACATGGCCACCACTGTGGAGGGAGAGAGAGAGAGAGAGTGAGAGAGAGAGCGTGCCGTAGGAGAGAGGTGAGATAGTAGCTAATTAGGTGAGATAGTGAGATAATTAGATCCTGTGTAGCTCAGTTGGTAGAGCATGGTGTTTGCAACGCCAGGGTTGTGGGTTCGATTCCCACGGGGGGCCAGTATTAAAAAGTATGAAAATGTATGTACTCACTAACTGTAAGTCGCTCTGGATAAGAGCATCTGCTAAAATGTAAAATAGTATCCTTATGTTGTCTCTGTGTGTTGACAGGTGAGGTGAGACAGTTGTGTTCACCTGCAGTCCACCAGCCTGCCCTGATGGTTGAAGGAGGTGGGGGTGATGTCTCCCTTCATCATGCCGATGCGGGGGTTGCGTCCAATGTTGCTGCACAGCAGGAACCCACAGAACACATCGCTGCAGACAGAGTCCGAGATAGTTAGAGCTAAAGGAACACTGATACTTTGTGAATACATTGATGTAGAACAGATACAGCAATACTTTAATGTTTGTTCTGGTATAGTGCATAACTACAGTGTACAGCAGTGTATATTTGGTATCATGTTCAACTCACTGCTTGCTGCACTGGAGCCATTTCTCTCCATCCATCCCACAGTTTCCCTTCTCTGTTCCCTCTGTATTGAGCTTCTCATAGCAGAACTTCTCAGAGCCTCCCGCCTCTGCATTAAGGGAGGATGACCACACCTCACAACAAGCTAACATCACTGGAGTGCAGGCAGCCGTCTCAGATTCTGTCTCAATGCCTTTTTGATTACAGATCCTGCATATCTTGTAGTGAGTAAACCAACTTAAGCAAGAGGGATTTTGAACTTACTTGGACCCCAGAGGTATTTGCACTGGTTCCCCCTGGTCTTGCACTCTCCACCGTAGCAGCGTCCCTAAAGAGACAAAAGGGCACACTCATTAATTCCCTATCTGTTCAAGCAAGCTTATGGTGACAAACCTTTTCTGAATCATACAATCTGAATAGATATGAGTATGTCGTTGTGTCTCAGTGAACATGCTGCCCACCTGGTTGACTTGACAGTGGTAGCCATCTTGTTTGTGAAGGTTAGGAGGGCACTACAATGAACAATATACAAATATTTCCTTTTAACAGAGCTGAAAGTTTAATCCTTTCTCAGAAATGAATAATAGTTAGAGCCCAACTCACCTGGCCAGAGTCCCCTGAGCATGTCTCTGAGATGTCACAGTCATTCACCGCATAGCGACAACTATAACCTCGCGGGTAGAACTGACAGAGGGAGAAAAAAACAAGAGAGTGGAATTTCCGGTCCTATTCTTTGGTATCTCATGCAACACAAAGAAAAAAGAAAAAATCTAAAGGAAGACGCTGCACACTGCTGTTCATGCTCCCATGTGATTTTATTGATACAACGTTTCGACCCTTAGGTCTTCATTAGGCATCCATATCCCAGGTGGGGTTGGAAGGTCTTATATATAGGGGCAGTGCTCAATGACATCACTTCCTGAAACAAGAGGTACAAATATAAAATATACTGTAGGTTCACAATATCAACATTCAATATAGTATATAACTGTACATGAGTAATGTGATAAATATTTACAGTGATATATATTCAAGTCTCTGATCCATGATCTGATCTAAGTTTTAGAATGAAATGAAGATTACAAAGACAGAATTTGAGTATATGAAAGTTGACTGACCAACCACACCAGTCATGTACGCTCTCCCCAAAATTCACAAGAGCATGATGCCACCTATACCAGGCAGGCCCCTTGTGAGTAGTAACGGATCTCTGAAACAGAACATTTCTACCTTTGTGGAACATTTTGCGAAACCCTGGCCGAGCTCTTTACCCACGTACACCAGTGACTCTATTGATTTGCTCAATCTTCTGAAATCTGTGGACCACATACCAGTAAATTATATTCTGTGTACTTTTGATGTTACCAGTCTATATATTAACATCCCCCACCAGGGTGGCCTACAGGCTCTCAAGTTCTACCTCAATGCTCTTCCCAGCACCAATTGTATTGTGGACTTGGCTGAGGATGGTTTGAAAAACAGGTGGTGCTGAATCCAGAACTGAACTCCTTTCTCCCCAATATTTTCCTAATTCTGAGATATTTAGATGATATTTTCCTGATCTATTCAGGGACTCAGGAAGAACTCTTGGAACTCCATGCTTGTCTAAACTCTTTGAATGAGCACCTCCTTTTAACCATTAATTAAGACCTATCCCAAATCAGTTTTCTTGATGTGATGGTTATTAAGGACAAAATCTCCCTCTCTACAGATCTCTACAGGAAATCTACGGACAGGAACACACTCCTTAGAGGTGACCGTTTCAATCCATGTCCACTCATTAAAAGTCTAAATTCAGCCGCATTAGAAGAATATGTAGCTCTGATTCTTCTTACCAGAAACAGACCACGGACCTCACACAAAGGTTTAAGGAAAGGAGGTAATAAGACAATTGGGTAAAACACGCCAATGATCATTTTGAAGGGCTAACACAGTTGGAAAGCCTTCGACCAAAAGTTTAAGAAAAAGCAGAACATGTCCCCTCATGCTTCACCCAATACTCACCATTGGGGAAGGCATTTAAGGATATTATCAGTAAGCACTGGTACATTGTTGACATTGACCCACAACTGAAACCCATCTTTAAACATCACCCACGTATGGTCTTTAAAAGACCCCCAAACGTGAGAGACTTTGTGGTCAAATCTGACTACCCACTGGGCACAGACGTCAATTCAACGTCTATTCCACATTGGTTCAACGTCATTTCATTGAAATGACGTGGAAACAACGTTGATTCAACCAGCGTGTGCCCAGAGGTTACCCACCAGAGAAAAGGGAAACCTTCTTGGACAAGTTTCCGGCGGGGAATTACGAATATGGCCAATGTGCTCAACTCAGTTTCACATACAAATGTGGCTCATTCACCCACCCCCGCACAGGACAGAGATTTAAGATCAAAGGCCTGATTATCTACATGTCCAGGTTAAGTTTAGGTTTAAAATCAGATTTTATGACTTTGTGGCTGTGCCAGCTAGTGACCACTCTGCAGAGCTGCCTCCATGGCAAGATTCCTGACAATAAATGCCAAACAGCGTTTTTTACCCTAATTGAATATTGTGTGCAGTCGTGGTCAAAAGTTTTGAGAATGACACAAGTATTGGTCGTCACAAAGTTTACTGCTTCAGTATTTTTAGATATTTTTGTCAGATAATTACAAGCATTCCATAAGTGTCAAAGGCTTTTATTGACAATTACATTAAGTCTATGCAAAGAGTCAATATTTGCAGTGTTGACCCTTCTTTATCAAGACCTCTGCAATCCGCCCTGGCATGCTGTCAATTAACTTCTGGGCCACATTCTGACTGATGGCAGCACATTCTTGCATAATCAATGCTTGGAGTTTGTCAGAATTTGTGGGTTTTGTTTGTCCACCCGCCTCTTGAGGATTGACCACAAGTTCTCAATGGGATTAAGGTCTGGGGAGTTTCCTGGCCATGGACCCAAAATGTCGATGTTTTGTTCCCCGAGCCACTTAGTTATCACTTTTGCCTTATGGCAAGGTGCTCCATCATGCTGAAAAAGGCATTGTTCGTCACCAAACTGTTCTTGGATGGTTGGGAGAAGTTGCTCTCTGAGGATGTGTTGGTACCATTCTTTATTAATGGCTGTGATCTTAGGCAAAATTGTGAGTGAGCCCACTCCCTTGGCTGAGAAGCAACCCCACACATGAATGGTCTCAGGATGCTTTACTGTTGGCATGACACAGGACTGATGGTAGCGCTCACCTTGTCTTCTCCGGACAAGCTTTTTCCGGATGCCCCAAACAATCGGAAAGGGGATTCATCAGAGAAAATGACTTTACCCCAGTCCTCAGCAGTCCAATCCCTGTAACTTTTGCAGAATATCAGCCTGTCCCTGATGTTTTTCCTGGAGAGAAGTGGCTTCCTCGCTGCCCTTCTTGACACCAAGCCATCCTCCAAAAGTCTTCGCCTCACTGTGCGTGCAGATGCACTCACACCTGCCTGCTGCCATTCCTGAGCAAGCTCTGCATTGGTGGTACCCCGATCCCGCAGCTGATTCAACTTTAGGAGACGGTCCTGGCGCTTGCTGGACTTTCTTGGGCACCCTGAAGCCTTCTTCACAACAATTTAACCTCTCTCCTTGAAGTTCATGATGATCCGATAAATTGTTGATTTAGGTGCAATCTTACTAGCAGCAATATCCTTGCCTGTGAAGCCCTTTTTTGTGCAAAGCAATGATGACGGCACATGTTTCCTTGCAGGTAACCATGGTTAACAGAGGAAGAACAATGATTTCAAGCACCACCCTCCTTTTAAAGCTTCCAGTCTGTTATTCTAACTCAATCAGCATGATAGAGTGATCTCCAGCTGTGTCCTCGTCAACACTCTCACCTGTGATAACAAGAGAATCACTGACATGATGTCAGCTGGTCCTTTTGTGGCAGGGCTGAAATGCAGTGGAAATGTTTTTTTGGGATTAAGTTAATTTTCATGGCAAAGAGGGACTTTACAATTAATTGCAATTCATCTGATCACTCTTCATAACATTCTGGAGTATATGCAAATTGCCATCATAAAAACTAAGGCAGCAGACTTTGTGAAAATTAATATTTGTGTCATTCTCAAAACCTTTGACCACGACTGTATATACACTGAGTGTACAAAACATTATGAACACCTGCTCTTTCCATGACATAGACTGACCAGGTGAATCCAGATGAAATCTATGATCGCTTATTGGTTCAATCCACTTCAAATCCACTTCAATCAGTGTAGATGAATGGGAGGAGACAGGTTAAACAAATATTTTTAAGCCTTGAGACAATTGAGACATGGATTGTGTATGTGTGCCAATCAGAGGGTGAATGGGCAAGACAAAATATTTAAGTGCCTTTGAACAGGGTATGGTAGTAGGTGCCAGGAGCATTGGTTTGTGTCAAGAACTGTAACGCTGTTGGGTTTTTCACGCTCAACAGTTTCCCTTGTGTATCAAGAATGGTCCACCACCCAATGGACATCCAGCCAACTTGACACAACTGTCGGACGCATTGGAGTCAACATGGTCCAGCATTCCTGTGGAACGCTTTCCACACCTTGTAGCAACTCAATATTAGGAAGATGTTCTTAATGTTTTGTACACTCAGTGTATATACCTGTATATCACTGTAAATATTTATGTTTAGTTTATTAGGCTCCCCATTAGCTACTGCACATGTAGCAGCTACTCTTCCTGGGGTCCACATAAAATGTACAAATACATGACAAATACAGAACAGTTATAGACAAGAACAACATAAGATATTACATTAAATTCCAAATAAAAAATACAAATAAAATAAGTTATATATTGAAGAGACACCAAGAGACAACAAAAGTACTATTTACACTCTATTCATATAAATAGTGCCTTCAGAAAGTATTCATACCCCTTGACTTATTCCACATTTTGTTGTGTTGCAGCCTGAATTCAAAATTGATTAAATACATGTTCTTTACCCATCTACACACAATACCACATAATGACAAAGTGATAACATGTTTTTAGAAATTGTAGGATTTTTTTTGCAAATGAAATACAGAAATATTTAATTTCCATAAGTATTCACACCCCTGAGTCAAGACATGTTAGAATCACCTTTGGCAGCGATTACAGATGTAAGTCTCTAAGAGCTTTGCATGCCTGGATTGTACAGTATTTGCCCATTATTCTTTTCAAAATTCTTCAAGCTCTGTCAAATTGGTTGTTGATCATTGCTAGACAACTATTTTCAGGTCTTGCCATAGATTTTGAAGCAGATTTAAGTCATAACTATTGCCAAATATACACTGGAGTTGCATACCAAGAAGGAAGTGAATGTTCCTGCAAGCCACTCGGGAACATTCACTGCCTTCTTGTTAAGCAACTCCAGTGTATATTTGGCAATGTGTTTTAGGTTAGTGTCTGGTGGAAAGCAGACTGAACCAGGTTTTCCTTTAGGATTTTGCCTGTGCTTAGCTCCATTACTTTTCTTTTTTATCCTGAAAAACTCCCCAGTCCTTAACGATTACAAGCATACCCATAACATGATGCAGCCACCACTATGCTTGAAAATATGGAGAGTGGTACACAGTAATGTGTTTTATTGGATTTGCCCCAAACATAACATTTCACATTTTTTACATTAAGTAGACACTCTTATCCAGAGCGGCTTACAGTAGTGAGCGCGTACATTTTCATACTGGTCCCACATGGGAATCGAACCCACAACCCTGGCGTTGCAAGTGCCATGCGCTACCAACTGAGCTACACTTTGTATTCAGGACAGAAAGTGAATTGCTTTGCCACATTTTTTGCAGTATTAATTTAGTGCCTTGTTGCAAACAGGATGCATGTTTTGGAATATTTTTATTCTGTACAAGCTTCCTTCTTTTCACTCTGTCAATTAGGTTAGTATTGTGGAGTAACTACAAGGTTGTTGATCCATCCTCAGTGTTCTCCTATCATAGCCATTAAACTCTGTAACTGTTTTAAAGTCAATATTGGCATCATGGTGAAATCCCTGAGCGGTTTCCTTCCTCTTCGGCAACTGAGTTAGGAAGGATGCCTGCCAATTAGGAAGGACGCCTGTATCTTTGTAGTGACTGATACACCATCCAAAGTGTAACTATTAACTTCACCATGCTGAAAGGGATTTTTTACCCATCTACCAATAGGTGCCCTTCTTTGCGAGGCATTGGAAAACCTCCCTGGTCTTTGTGAATCTGTGTTTGAAATTCACTGCTCGACTGAGGGACCTTACAGATAATTGTATGTGTGGGGTACAGAGATGAGGTAGTCATTCAAAAATAATGTTAAACACTATTGTTGCACACAGAGTCCATGCAACGTATTATGTGACTTGCTAAGCAAATGTTTACTTCTGAACTTATTTAGGCTTTCACTAACAAAGGGGTTGAATACTTATTGACTCAAGACATTTCAGCTTTTTATTTTTTATTAATTTGTAAAAACAATAGAAAAACATAATTCCCCTTTGACATTATGGGATATGGTGTGGAGGCCAGTGACAAAAAAATCTAAATTTAATCCATTTAAAATTCAGGCTGTAACACAACAAAATGTGGAAAAAGTAAAGGGGTGTGAATACTTTCTGAAGGCACTGTACATATTCATATTATTATATACAGTACAGTTAAATTAGATCTTTAGAAAGAGGAGAGGTGCTGTGATACAATATGTTTTTTTTATCTGTTTTCTAAAGCTAAACTTGCTTTTTGCCTGAGTAACCTCTGGTAGCAGAGCATTCCATGATGACATGGCTCTATACATAACTGAGCGACACATTAAATCTGTTTTTGGTTTGGGTACAGTGAAGAAACCCATAGTGGCATGTCTGGTGGGGTATTTATGTATGTTTGAAGTGTATGCAAATAAATTATACAAGTGGTTAGGCATTTTCAACACACAAAGGTTTCTTAAAAAGACTAAAAGAAAAGTAGTCGATTTCTCCTCAACCCACAAGAAAGACTATCATGCCTGTTGTTGATGTTCTGTGTGTGCAGTTAAGGGCAAGCTGCTTTGTTTTGAGACAGCTTCTGCTTTGCTAGGTCTTTCTTTGCTGCACCTGACCATATTACCGGACATAAATCAAGGTGAGACAAGATCAGAGCCTGAACAACTAGTACAGTTTATTTTTGTCTTAAAAACACAGAACATCTTTTTTATAGCAGACATACAGTATCTCTCCCCATCTTCACAACAACTTTGTCAATATGACTTGACCATGATAATTGACCATCCAGTGTTATACCCAGGAGTTTAGCTTCTTCAACTTGTTCAATGGTCACACCCTTTATGCACAACTCAAGTTGAGGTTTAGGTCTAAGATAATGCTTTTAACCAAATTCAATGCTTTGGTTTTAGATGTATTTAAGACCAGTTTATTGTTAACACCGACTGTAACTCCTTGCTAAGAGTCTCAGTGAGCTCAATGGCTGTAGGTGCTTATGTGTAGAGTGTGCAATCATCACCATACATAGTAATTTTAGCTTCTTGTAAGACAAGTTGCAAATCATTTGTAAAAATAGAGAAGCGTAACGGCCCAAGGCAACTGCCCTGAGGGATACCGCACTGTACATATCTGATGTTAGAGAAGCTTCCATTTAAGAACACTCTCTGGGTTCTATTAGATAAGTAACTCTCCAACCATGTGATGGCCGGTGATGTAAAGCCATAAAAAGTGTGTTTTTGCACTGAAATCTAACAATACAGCTCCAACTATCATCTTATTATCCATTTATTTTAGCCAATCATCAGTCATCTGAGTCAGTGCAGTACACGTTGAGTGCCCTTCCCTATATGCATGCTGAAAATCAGTAGTTAATTGTTCTTTGAAAAATAGCATTATATTTGTTCAAACACAAATTTCTCCATCATTTTACTAAGAAGAGGCACCAAACTGGCTGTTAGAGCCAGCAAAGGGTGCTTTACTATTTTTAGGTAATGGAATTACTTTAGATTCCTTCCACGCCTGTGGACACACGCACTCCTTTAGGCTTTGGTTAAAGACATGGCAAATAGGGCTGGCAATACAATCTGCTACCATTCTCAATAGTTTCCCATCTAGGTTGTCTATACCTGGTAGCTTATTATTATCGATGGATAACAATAATTTTTCCGCCTCTTCCACACAAAACAGCAATCCTTCTCTTTCATTATTAGATTTTCAATACAAAACATATGATGGTTCACTGTTCAATGTTATCATTTCACTTCTCAGTTCGTCCACTTTACATGATTAGCTATATCAAAATATTTTGTTATAAATGAACCATCAACCTCAATGAACGATGGAATTGGGTTTTCTGCCCAAAATATCATTTAAAGGTGCTCCAAATTGTTTTTCATATAATTTATCTTGTTTTGGTAATATATCTATATTTTCTGTTAAGTTTAGTCACACAATTCCTCAATTGACAGTATGTGAACCAATCAGCTGAGCAGCGTGACTTGTTTGGAACCTTTTTTGCATAATTAATTTGAACCATACACATTTTCAATTCATCATCGATCCAGGGGGCTCTAACAGTTCTCACAGTTAGTTTCATAACAGGTGCATGTTTGTCAACAATTGGCAAGAATAATTTTACAAATACTCCAAGTGCTGCATCTGGATTCTCCTCAGACACATCAGACCAACATACATTTACATCTTCAACAAAACAGTCCTGAGAAAACATCTTGTATGATCTCTTATAAATAACTTTAGGGCCTGCCTTTGGTACTTTGGCTTTCCTTGTTATTGCCACAATGTTATGGTCACTACAGCCAATGGGAACTGATATTGCTTTGGAGCAAAGCTCTGCAGAATTAGTGAAGATATGATCAATACAAGTGGATATCACAGATCCAACACTATTTGTATACAAACTAGTTGGTTGAGTGATAACCTGGGTCATGTTACAGGCATTAGTCACAGTAAGAAGGTTCCTCTTGAGAGGACAACTAGATGATAACCAGTCAATGTTCAAGTCACCAAGAAAATACATGTATTTGTTAGCATTAGAGACCTTATCTAACATCACACACATATTCTCCAGATACTGACAGTTAGCACTTGGTGGCCTATAGCAGCATCCTAAAAAAAGAGTATGGTTATATATTTTGATATATTGAATGTTGATATTGTGAACCTATATTACAGTGGGGGAAAAAAGTATTTAGTCAGCCACCAATTGTGCAAGTTCTCCCACTTAAAAAGATGAGAGAGGCCTGTCATTTTCATCATAGGTACACGTCAACTATGACAGACAAAATGAGAGAAAAAAAAATCCAGAAAATCACATTGTAGGATTTTTAATGAATTTATTTGCAAATTATGGTGGAAAATAAGTATTTGGTCAATAACAAAAGTTTCTCAATACTTTGTTATATACCCTTTGTTGGCAATGACACAGGTCAAACGTTTTCTGTAAGTCTTCACAAGGTTTTCACACACTGTTGCTGGTATTTTGGCCCATTCCTCCATGCAGATCTCCTCTAGAGCAGTGATGTTTTGGGGCTGTCGCTGGGCAACACGGACTTTCAACTCCCTCCAAAGATTTTCTATGGGGTTGAGATCTGGAGACTGGCTAGGCCACTCCAGGACCTTGAAATGCTTCTTACGAAGCCACTCCTTCGTTGCCCGGGCGGTGTGTTTGGGATCATTGTCATGCTGAAAGACCCAGCCACGTTTCATCTTCAATGCCCTTGCTGATGGAAGGAGGTTTTCACTCAAAATCTCACGATACATGGCCCCATTCATTCTTTCCTTTACACGGATCAGTCGTCCTGGTCCCTTTGCAGAAAAACAGCCCCAAAGCATGATGTTTCCACAGTAGGTATGGTGTACTTTGGATGCAACTCAGCATTCTTTGTCCTCCAAACACGACGAGTTGAGTTTTTACCAAAAAGTTCTATTTTGGTTTCATCTGACCATATGACATTCTCCCAATCCTCTTCTGGATCATCCAAATGCACTCTAGCAAACTTCAGACGGGCCTGGACATTTACTGGCTTAAGCAGGGGGACACGTCTGGCACTGCAGGATTTGAGTCCCTGGCGGCGTAGTGTGTTACTGATGGTAGGCTTTGTTACTTTGGTCCCAGCTCTCTGCAGGTCATTCACTAGGTCCCCCCGTGTGGTTCTGGGATTTTTGCTCACCGTTCTTGTGATCATTTTGACCCCACGGGGTGAGATCTTGCGTGGAGCCCCAGATCGAGGGAGATTATCAGTGGTCTTGTACTTCTTCCATTTCCTAATAATTGCTCCCACAGTTGATTTCTTCAAACCAAGCTGCTTACCTATTGCAGATTCAGTCTTCCCAGCCTGGTGCAGGTCTACAATTTTGTTTCTGGTGTCCTTTGACAGCTCTTTGGTCTTGGCCATAGTGGAGTTTGGAGTGTGACTGTTTGAGGTTGTGGACAGGTGTCTTTTATACTGATAACAAGTTCAAACAGGTGCCATTAATACAGGTAACGAGTGGAGGACAGAGGAGCCTCTTAAAGAAGAAGTTACAGGTCTGTGAGAGCCAGAAATCTTGCTTGTTTGTAGGTGACCAAATACTTATTTTCCACCATAATTTGCAAATAAATTCATTAAAAATCCTACAATGTGATTCTCTGGAGAAAAAAAATCTCAATTTGTCTGTCATAGTTGACGTGTACCTATGATGAAGATTACAGGCCTCTCTCATCTTTTTAAGTGGGAGAACTTGCACAATTGGTGGCTGACTAAATATTTTTTCCCCCACTGTATATATTTGTACTTCTTGTTTCAGGAAGTGATGTCACTGAGCACTGCCCCTATATATAGGACCTTCCACCCCCACCTGGGATATGGATGCCTAAGAAAGACCTGAAACAGTGTGCAGTATTTTATTTGTATTTTTCATTAGTTAACTCCAGCACCTGGATGTGCCTATGTTCTTCCGCTTTTGTAGAAAAAAGCCATTCTGGTTCTTAGTGAGCAGACTTACACAGTGATTAAAAAGTCCTTACCAGACAAGTGTTGTTGCAGCAAGGTCCGTCAGCACAATGTGCACCATTAGCTAGGGAACACTTCTTACAGCATTCCTTGTAGCACTCCTACAACACACATGACACCACCAGTCTGACACTGTATTGGAATAATATAAATGTGATGTAAATAGAATAGTATTGCATAGTAACTCACGGATCTAGCTCCGCAGTCACACTCCTCTCCCACTTCAATGTATCCATTCCCACACTCTGTGGATTCAAACAGCTGCCAAAGCAAACACAATCAGAGGGTTATTACAGTATTTTTATTACTGGTTATATACAGTATCTCTTTTTGATATTCTGCTGTATGACAACCACAACATGAACTATTCTCATCTGACTCACCTTGTTTGGCCTGTTAAAAAGACAGGATCCACCGCCCTTCAGCAGGAACTCCTTGTAGTCTGAGATGCTGCACTTGGAGAAGGTCCGGGGATGCTGGACCCTGGGGGTTAAGGAATACATCCACCTTTAACTTCCAGCTTTTAAACCCCCTAGAGTCTATTGATGCACCGGTGCGTCAATCTAAGTAACATAATCAAAAAATTCCCATCAAAATCTGTCAGTTTAAGCTAGAGATATCCGTTTTTTTGTATGGGCTGCATCTCAATCCACCGAATCCGCCAATGGTGGCCTTCTGCATCTGTGGTGGAAAGTGGCAGAGCTACAGCGCTGTTTGTCAGACCAGGAGACATCCCGGAAATAGATATTCTCACGAAAACGGTCTGTAGCATCCGAATGGTTTGGTCTACGAAGTATTATGACCAATCTATAGAAAGGGGACGTAGAGCAACACAATGGGGTTCTCCGTTTTGCTCTACGACCCCCACAAGTGTCACAGGACTCGTCTAAAGGTAACCCATACAAATGAATGGGTTATACACACCATGTCATTAGGGAGAAGGGAGAGCCATACCATGCTATCATAGAGAGGGGCTGGGGGACTGGGGGTTTAGCAACTCATCATAAATCCGCTCGTGGTAATGACTGGAGCGGAATACGTGGAATGGTATCAAATACATCAAACACATGGTTTCCATGGTTTCCATGTGTGATGCCATTCCATTCGCTCCGTTCCGGACATTATTATGAGCCGTTCTCCCCTCAGCAGCCTCCACTGCTCTCTATCTGTCTGTCTATGTATGTGTGTGTGTGTTTGTGTGTGTGTTTGAAAGAGAGAGACATAGAGACACACAGAAACAGAGAGAGAAAGTGAGAATAGCAGTAGAGCAGTAGAACATTACCCAGTATCCTCCATGATGCAGCCCACCCAGGAGTCAGCGCAGCCACATTCCTCTGTGAGAGAGAACAACACAGAACATGTCCATCTTACAAAGAAATTGGTAAAAGCATATGTGCCTAAAATGTTTTAAACTGTTCCTTAAATAGTGTCTATCTGTAAGGCAGAAATTAATGTTCAGTGATGAATGGGAGCCAGTCTCTGTACTTCTCTTGGCAGCTGGATCCCACTGGATGCCTAGGTTCTGTGCCAAGCTCTGGGAGAGTGACGAAGCCATGGTCCACGTGCTGCCATACTGCAGGTACAACAAATCAGCAGTTACTCGTCTGCTCTGCTCTGCTGTAATCAAACGGTACGATTGTGTACATTAGTCAGCACATCTCACCTCGTTGACCCCTACTCCACGGCTCACAGAGCACAAGCCCCCGAAGTATGCTGCACTGCTCCGGCGGTAGTGGAAGGTCACATTGCTGTGCATCAAAAAGACACAGAATAACTATCAAACAGACAGTTAGACGGACAAGTGAGAGGTATTCAGCTGCCCTTGGAGGACAAATGGAAGTAGATGGACATTTTTTGCTTTATTGTTAAAGCCAAAGCATTAGGGCTTAGTCCTCTAACATGATCTAATATTCTGGGAAGCCATAAGGACTCAGTTAGTAAGAGATACTAATTACAGTATCAGTATATGGTAAGTAGCGGCATGGGGTGGCCCCGAGAGACAGACAGGAGAGGGCACTTACGTGAAGAGGTGCACAGCATCAGCGTGCTGCTTGATGCTCTGCGCCCGGTACTTAGAGAAATCTTTCAGCATGTCCAGCGGCTTCACACTGATGGGAATCTGGTCCTTGTCCGTCCATATCTCCACGGCAACCAGAACGACCCGTGTGTGCAGGTGCTCCTTAAAGATCTGTCATTGGCGCATGATGGGTAGTGGGAGGACACAGAGAAAGAGAGAAAGAGAGAGATAGAGAGAAATGACAGCACAGGGACAGGAGAAGAACACTGGGTGTGAATGATCATCTGTACTGTCTGAGGACAGACATGGGACAGGGGACACAGCACACTGGGAGCAGGGAGAGACAAGGGACTGTTATTGCACATCACAGCTACACAGAGCAACAACAAACACAATAGTGATACAGTACAAAATCTGAATAGCACAGACACGAGTATGGGGCCGACTCAGGGTACAGGAGATGTCCAGTGTGATACATAAGGAAGTGGTCATTTCTGGGTTCTACCTCTAGGGGCTCTCTAATATAAATGTTGAACAGCTTTTCTCAGTAGACATACACATAATGTGATATACACAAGTGGAGGCTGCTGAGGGGAGGACGGCTCATAATAATGGCTAGAACGGAGCAAATGGATGGCATCAAACCATGTGTTTGATGTATTTAATACCATTACACTGATTCCGCTCCAGCCATTACCACGAACAAGTCCTCCCCAATTAAGGTGCCACCAACCTCCTATGTTGGACACATACACATCAACATTTAGGTATTCCTGTACTTTGTAAAAAACACATTAATTGATTCAACTATAATTGCACTGAAAATATACCTCAAGGTACACAAACACATCAACAGCCAGTAAGGTATCAGTGTTTAACCTTATTCTGGATGTTCTGATGGGCACCCTGAGACATATACCAGGAAAAGGAAATAGAGGACTGAATATTTATAGATTTTAAAAGAGGTACAAAGTAAAGTTCTCAGAGCCAACTGGAGAGGTTACTCACAGCATCCACAAAGTTCACCACTGACTTGGCAAAGTTCCTGGTGTGCTGCTTGGTCTTGTGTCGTTTATACTGCACACCACACAAACACAGTGGCACATAACTTAGATTAAAAAATGGTTATTAGGTGCAATTTGAATAAACACTTAAATATCCCAAGCTTCTCCGACACCCTTTTAAAAATGCATCAAATATGCATGTTGTTTTTTTGATTGTCCAACAATAGAATAAATGTGGATGATGGTTATGTTAGATAGGTTATGAATCATGCGTCCACCACATTCAATAGTGTTGCACCCTCTTGTGGGCATAGTTGGCTGAATGCTGCGGATACTATTTTGAGTCATTCTTTACAGTAAAAGAATGAAACATTGCTGAAATATTTCATACCAGCTTACTCATATTTCATGTCTTTTGTCTAGTTGGTTTTGGTTTTGAGGGCACATACCATATTGTGGTCACTGACGATCATAATCTCCAAATACTTCATCTCCTCAAAGACATTCCGAGGCATCTGAAAAAAGCCACAGATTAGTTCACCATCATAACACACAGAAAACAAAGATTTCTAGAGGAAGAGAACAAAAGAGAAAATGTTGTGTGGTGCTGAGTTGAGTTGCAAATTATGTTGTGAGAGATACAAATGAACAGAGGTCACTTTAAATTAAGGGCCTATACTGGGAGGCTATGTTATAACACAAGGCTACATAACACACTAACTTAACACACTACGTAACACAGCAGGGGTGAATTAACTTACAGTAGGTGGAGTGTGTTACAAAATCCCTTTAAGGGTCTGATGAGGTCACAGACTTACAGCCCGCTTTTTCCTGCGCTTCAGCCAGGACATGTCATCCAGCTCCAAAAGCAGCCGCTCTTCCTCCACTAGAGAGACACAAAAACACATTAAAGGCCCAGTGCAATCAGAAACATGATTTTCCTGTATTTTATATATATTTCCACACTATGAGGTTGGAATAATACTGTGAAATTGTGAAAATTATGATCATGTTCATTTAGTGTAAGAGCTGTAAAAAGAAATGGCAGAACATTTTCGGTACAATTTTATAAATGACGACAGATAATTAGTTTGTTCGATATGGTGGGATCTTTTTGTGTCTGTCAAATTAATTATGCGAGAAATGGCGGTGGAAATGCCTTTATGTGCAAATATTGATATAATAACCATCATATCGAAGTAAACTTGGATGATATGGTGTGTGGTCCTCCCACTACGACTCGGGAAACCATGCAGTTTATTAGGCTACAGATGAAATAAGTTATGATTAACTTCACAGGGTGTTGAAAGTGCATGGTGATGAGCTTGATGCTCCTTTCCAATAAATATTGAAGGTCTTATTCTGGTGATATGATGATCGATGCTTGACTGTCGTTTGATAAATACAAATATTTTCGCTCTTATCCATAATAATCTCATCATGTAGACTAGCCAACCAGCACAGCCTACCCGCACTGTATCTCCGAGCTGTTGGCTAGAGCGCACGTGCCAAGACCAGAGTAGGCACATTTGATATTTAACGCAACAGTTTTTGTGACAAAACTATCGGTAGAGTTGAAAATGCGATGGAAACACATTGAACTTTAGATTTTTATTCAGTACATGAAAACTTAAGCAAAAAAGTACATTTTGTGTGCACTACATCATCAAGCACTGATTTTAACTGTAACAAGTCTGTTTGGTGGAAACACACCACTGGTGGGAAAATGCGCATATTTTCTTTATGCAAATGTTTTATATTTTCATGAAAATCTGTCGCCAATTGGATGGAAACCTAGCTAGCAAGTTACTTAATTGTTACCCAGAAATGATTTGATATTGAAATAAAAACGTCTGCATTGGACCTTTAACACGGGAAGAGAAACACACGAAGGTATACGCAAGATACAGATGCCATAGGAGGGAAACTGTGACACAGTTCAGATCTGGGTCAAATACATAGGTCAAATACATTGAGGTGTGCATAGGTCAAATACATATAAAAGACAATTGATTTACCTTGGAGTTTGTTCTTCACTCCATTGGTTCCACTCTACTGGACAAACCAAATCAAGCGCAACACAGGTATTTGAAAGTATGTGTATGTATTTCACCCAGGTCTAGAGCTGTCATATGGGGATTCTAATGTTAGCGGTAGTAGGAGAGGATAAGAACGGTTTTGGAATGTCAGGTAGACAGGCCATGAGAGTGTTGATGTAAAGTGGTGGAGGCCTCTTGGAGATCATGCAAGATCCAAGATGGCAGCTAGATGCAGAACTCATTACCCAGTTCCTCTGGGTCATTGCTCCACTGGAGGGTGGGCCTCCTGCGCAGTGAGTGGGGTCGTGCAGCTGTATCCTGTGAGGGAAACCATTAACCGTCAGCAAGGGTGTGATGAGGGTAGTGGGAACAGGGAACAAGGAACAGGGGTCAAGTTACAAAAGATAGGTCATTATGGGGTAGACTGGCTGGCTCGGAGGGTATCGACATTAGTCTGCATAACAAGGAACATGATTACATTTTCACAACTAGTCAACATCAATCAATATCTAAGGTAGACATGTAAAACGTAATACTTTCTTAAGCTAAATACATTATCATTACATTACCATTTTTCTTTCCATTTTCACCATGGACCTTGACCGATATACAGTGCCTTCAGAAAGTATTCACAGCCATTTACTTTTTCCACATTTTGTTGTGTTACAGCCTGAATTTAAAATTGATTCAATTGAGATTGTGTATCACTGGCCTACACACAATACCCCATAATGTCAAAGTGGAATTATGTTTTTAGAAATGTTTACAAATTAATAAAAAATGAAAGAATGAAATGTCTTGAGTTAATAAGTATTCAACCCCTTTGTTATGGCAAGCCTAAATAAGTTCAGGAGTACACGTGCTTAACAAGTTACATAATAAGTTGTATGGACTCACTCTGTGTGCAATAATAGTGTTTAACATGATTTTTGAATGACTACCTCATCTCTCTACCCCACACATACAATTATCTGTAAGGTCCCTCAGTCGAGCAGTGAATTTCAAACAGATTCAACCACAAAGACCAGGGAGGTTTTCCAATTCCTCAAAAAGAAGAGCACCTATTGGTGGATGGGTTAAAAAAAAAGCAGACACTGAATATTCCTTTGAGCATGGTGAAGGTATTAATTACACTTTGGATGGTGTATCAATACACTCAGTCACTACAAAGATACAGCCGTCCTTCCTAACTCAGTTGCCGGAGAGGAAGGACACCGCTCAGGGATTTCAGGCCAGTGGAGACTTTAAAACAGTTACAGAGTTGAATGGCTCTGATAGGAGAAAACTGAGGATGGATCAACAACATTGTAGTTAATCCACAATACTAACCTAATTGACAGAGAAAAAAAGGAAGCCTGTATAGAAAAATAAATTATTCCAAAACATGCATCCTGTTTGCAATAAGGCACTAAAGTAAAACTACAAAAAATGTGGCAAAGAAAGGAACTTTATGTCCTGAATACCAAGCGAATACCAAGCGTTACACAACACATCACTGAGTACCACTTCATATTTTAAAGCATGGTGGTGGCTGAATCATGTTATGGGTATGATAAAAAGAAACGGAATAGAGCTAAGCACAGGCAAAAATCCTAGTGGAAAACCTGGTTCAGTCTGCTTTCCAACAGACACTGGGAGAAAAATTCCCCTTTCAGCAGGGCAATTACCTAAAACACAAGGCCAAATATACATTGGAGTTGCTTACCAAGACGACATTGAATGTTCCTGAGTGGCCTAGTTACAGTTTTGACTTAAATCGACTTGAAAATCTATGTCAAGACTTGAAAATGGCTGTCTAGCAATGGTCAACAATATGGGGCATACAACAATCTCAGCTCTGTAGATTTTGCTGTGAAGAGACAGAATTGCTAGGTCATTTATTCTGGTATTGCCCTTATGTAGCTTGTTTCTGGTCACGGGTTCAGGAATGGTTAAAAAATCACAACATTCACTTAAAATTAACCTTACAAATAGCAGTGTTGGGTATTTGGAAAGCCATAGTCAGTCAATCAATAATATAATAATACTCATAGGAAAGGTTTTAATCTTTAGCTCACAATTTGTGGATACTATGCGATTAGAAAGGTTCAAAATGTATGTAAAACATCACAGCACAATTGAAAAATATATGGTACATGGAAACCAAACGAGGGTGGTCTATGGTGATAGGTGGGATGGGCTGAGAGTGGCTGAGGGGTGGGATTAAAGAGCTTATGTTCGGTAATGTATTATTGTTATGTGATTGCTGTATATAAATGTACCATGTATGTAAAATATGTATGTAAAATGTATGTGTAAAATGTATATGTAAAATGTATATGTAAAATGTGTGTATATGTAGCAGAAAAGCTGTAAAAACCAAAAAATGTCCTCCGAAGAGATGGGTTAATAATAAAAAACAAGTATATAAAAAAATACAAAATATATAAAAAAGTTATAATATAAATAAAAAATGTAAACAGCCAGCTTGACAGAGCTTGAAGAATTTTGAAACGAATAATGGGCAAATATTGTACAATCCAGGTGTGCAAAGCACATAGAGAATTACCCAGAAAGACTCAAAGCCGTAATCGCCCCTAAATGTGATTCTAACAGGTCTTGACTCAGGGGTGTGAATACTTATGTAAATTAGATATTTATGTATTTAATTTGTTTTTTATTATTGCAAGAATTTCTAAAAACATGTTTTCACTTTGTCATTATGGAGTATTGTGTGTAGATGGGTGATACTTGTTTTTTATTGAATCCATTTTGAATTCAGGCTGTAACACAACAAAATGTGGAATAAGTCAAGGAGTATGAATACTTTCTGAAGGCACTGTACGTTCTATGCTTATATAACTTTAGGAAAAGCTCAATACAGATTTGTGAGGTAAAACCATTTCCATACATATAGCACTTTGTTATCATATGTCCTTCACTATTGTAAACCATGGACTTCCTTTAAAAACAAGAATGTCCTTGTCAATGGAAAACATGCCATTTTCACTAGATAACCTAATGTGCCTTTACAGGAAAAAGGAGACTTTAATAACAGTAAAAGTGGCAGAAGCGATCCTAGCTGTAGCACAAGTAGAGGTAGAACAAATAGTATTTGTGTAGCAAATATTTTGAAAAACCTAAATAGGAGGAAGAACTTACAATTGAGTGAGTCTGTTGCAAAGGCTCAATTAGATACACATAGAGTCCATCATCAAACATTCCGCTGTCAGGCAAGGAGAGAGGGAGAGAGAGGAAAAGTGAAGAGAGAAGACAGTCAATACTGAGTCAATATCAGCTGTGGAAAGCACCAATATCTATTAAGTATTCAATGCACAGACTATAATGTAAAACTGCTGATGTTCACTTACTGCAGCCCATTGCAGGTAGACAAGGCCACATTAGAGTCATCTTCCCCCCTCACCTGGCCGTGGTAGTAACAGTGCTCACCACCCTGAGGTTACACAGAAACAACATTTATACAATACATATACAACATCACATCAACCTACTGTAGAGCAGAGGGCAAATATGACATATATACTGTACACTCAGTGGCCAGTGGCCATCTAGAGCCGGGTTGGACCCCCCTTTGCCTCAAGAACAGGATTAATTGTTTGGGGCATGGAAACATTGCTCAATTGGTATCAAGGGACCTAACGTGTGCCAGGAAAACATTTGTCACGTTGTATAATGATTAGAAAACAAGCGCAGGAATACGTATTAGGGGTTTTATTACTCCACCCAACACAAACACGTATATACGAACACCACCGTTCAAAGGTTTGGTGTCACTTAGAAATGTCCTTGTTTTCGAAAGAAAAGCAATTTTTTTTATCCATTAAAATAACATCAAATTGATCAGAAATACAGTGTAGACATTGTTCATGTTGTAAATGGCTATTGTAGCTGGAAACGGCAGATTTAATGGAATATCTACAGTGGGGGAAAAAAGTATTTAGTCAGCCACCAATTGTGCAAGTTCTCCCACTTAAAAAGATGAGAGAGGCCTGTAATTTTCATCATAGGTACACGTCAACTATGACAGACAAAATGAGAAAAATAAATCCAGAAAATCACATTGTGTCACGCCCTGGCTCTGGGGACTCTAATATGTTGAGCCAGGGTGTGTAAAGTCTATGTGTTTTGTTCTAGGTTTCACTTTCTAGTATTGTTGTTCTATGTTGGCCAGTGTGGTTCTCAATCAGAGGCAACGGGATTCAGCTGTTGCTTGTTGTCTCTGATTGAGAACCATACTTTAGCAGCCTGTTTCCCCACAGAGTTTGTGGGATTTTGTTTCGAGTCTGTTGTGTTAGACCGTGAACTGTCACGTTTTCGTTTTGATCGTGTCTCTAATAAAGAGTATGTTTGCCTGCAACGCTGTGCCTTGGTCCTCATCTCTGTTCGACGATCGTGACACATTGTAGGATTTTTTATGAATTTATTTGCAAATTATGGTGGAAAATAAGTATTTGGTCAATAACAAAAGTTTCTCAATACTTTGTTGACAATGACACAGGTCAAACATTTTCTGCAAGTCTTCACAAGGTTTTCACACACTGTTGCTGGTATTTTGGCCCATTCCTCCATGCAGATCTCCTCTAGAGCAGTGATGTTTTGGGGCTGTCGCTGGGCAACACAGACTTTCAACTCCCTCCAAAGATTTTCTATTGGGTTCAGGTCTGGAGACTGGCTAGGCCACTCCAGGACCTTGAAATGCTTCTTACGAAGCCACTCCTTCGTTGCCCGGGCGGTGTGTTTGGGATCATTGTCATGCTGAAAGACCCAGCCACGTTTCATCTTCAATGCCCTTGCTGATGGAAGGAGGTTTTCACTCAAGATCTCACGATACATGGCCCCATTCATTCTTTCCTTTACACGGATCAGTCGTCCTGGTCCCTTTGCAGAAAAACAGCCCCAAAGCATGATGTTTCCACCCCCATGCTTCACAGTAGGTATGGTGTTCTTTGGATGCAACTCAGCATTATTTGTCCTCCAAACACGACGAGTTGAGTTTTTACCAAAAAGTTATATTTTGGTTTCATCTGACCATATGACATTCTCCCAATCCTCTTCTGGATCATCCAAATGCACTCTAGCAAACTTCAGACGGGCCTGGACATGTACTGGCTTAAGCAGGGGGACACGTCTGGCACTGCAGGATTTGAGTCCCTGGCGGCGTAGTGTGTTACTGATGGTAGGCTTTGTTACTTTGGTCCCAGCTCTCTGCAGGTCATTCACTAGGTCCCCCCGTGTGGTTCTGGGATTTTTGCTCACCGTTCTTGTGATCATTTTGACCCCACGGGGTGAGATCTTGCGTGGAGCCCCAGATCGAGGGAGATTATCAGTGGTCTTGTATGTCTTCCATTTCCTAATAATTGCTCCCACAGTTGATTTCTTCAAACCAAGCTGCTTACCTATTGCAGATTCAGTCTTCCCAGCCTGGTGCAGGTCTACAATTTTGTTTCTGGTGTCCTTTGACAGCTCTTTGGTCTTGGCCATATTGGAGTTTGGAGTGTGACAGTTTGAGGTTGTGGACAGGTGTCTTTTATACTGATAACAAGTTCAAACAGGTGCCATTAATACAGGTAACGAGTGGAGGACAGAGGAGCCTCTTAAAGAAGAAGTTACAGGTCTGTGAGAGCCAGAAATCTTGCTTGTTTGTAGGTGACCAAATACTTATTTTCCACCATAATTTGCAAATAAATTCATTAAAAATCCTACAATGTGATTTTCTAGATTTTTTTTCTCAATTTGTCTGTCATAGTTGACGTGTACCTATGATGAAAATTACAGGCCTCTCTCATCTTTTTAAGTGGGAGAACTTGCACAATTGGTGGCTGACTAAATACTTTTTTCCCCCACTGTATCTACATAGGCGTACAGACGCCCATTATCAGCAACCATCAGTCCTGTGTTCCAATGGCACGTTGTGTTTGCTAATCCAAATTTATCATTTTAAAAGGCTAATTGATCATTAGAAAACCCTTTTGAAATTATGTTAGCACAGCTGAAAACTGTTGTGCTGATTAAAGAAGCAAAGAAAAAGCCATATCTCAGACTGCCCATCTTTTATTTTTATTGGCCAGTCTAAGATATGTATTTTTCTTTGCAACTCTGCCTAGAAGGTCAGCATCCCGGAGTCGCCTCTTCACTGTTGACGTCAAGACTGGTGTTTTGCGGGTACTATTTAATGAAGCTGCCAGTTGAGGACCTGTGAGGCGTCTGTTTCTCAAACTAGACACTCTAATGTATTTGTCCTCTTGCTCAGTTGTGCACCAGGGCCTCCCACTCCTCTTTCTATTCTGGCTAGTGCCAGTTTGCGTTGTTCTATGAAGGGAGTAGTACACAGCGTTGTACGAGATCTTCAATTTCTTGGCAATTTCTCGCATGGAATAGCCTTCATTTCTCAGAACAAGAATAGACTGACGAGTTTCAGAAGAAAGTTATTTGTTTCTGGCCATTTTGAGCCTGTAATCTAACCCACAATTGCTGATGCTCCAGATACTCAACTAGTCTCAAGAAGGCCAGTTTTATTGCTTCTTTAATCAGCACAACAGTTTTCAGCTGTGCTAACATAATTGCAAAAGGATTTTCTAATTATCAATTAGCCTTTTAAATTGATAAACTTGGATTAGCAAACACAACGTGCCATTGGAACACAGGACTGATGGTTGCTGATAATGGGCCTCTGTACGCCTATGTAGATATTCCATTAAAAATCAGCCGTTTCCAGCTACAATAGCCATTTACAACATTAACAATGTCTACACTGTATTTCTGATCAATTTGATGTTATTTTAATGGCCAAAAAAATTGCTTTTCTTTCAAAAACAAGGACATTTCTAAGTGACCCCAAACTTTTGAACGGTAGTATATATACACATACTATTCAGGGGGAATGGGAACCAGGTGTGCGTAATGAGACAAGACAGTCCAGGGTTGGTGGTAATGATCCATGTCAGTGACGCCTAGAAAGCCGGTGACGTAGGCCTCCGGAACTGGTGAATGGAATGAGCAACAGTACCGGGGAGATCCGGGACAGTACCCCCCGGAGTGAATTCTGCGCGTACTCAGCCCAAGGTAGAAAATCCGCCCACTCCCCCGGCCGGTCCTGACAGTAACACCTCAGGAACCTGCCCACTTCCTGATTGACCCTCTCCACCTTCCCATTAGCTTGAGGACGGTATTCGGAGGTGAGACTGACGTGACACCCAGGTGTTCCATGAACGCTTTCCACACGCGTGAGGTGAACTGAGGACCACATTCTGACACAATGTCCTCCGGGATCCCGTAGTGCCGGAAGACGTGTGTAAAAAGAGCCTCCGCACTTTGCATGGCCGACGGGAGCCCAGGCAGAGGAAGGAGGCGACAAGCTTTGGAAAACCGGTCCACAACAACGAGAACGGTGGTGTTCCCCTGGGAGGGGGGAAGGTCAGTGACAAAGTCCACCGAGAGGTGAGACCAGGGTCGTTGTGGAACCGGCAGGGGAAGGAGCTTTCCATAAGGGAGGTGTCTGGGTGTCTTAGACTGGGCACAGATGGAGCAGGAAGAGACGTAAACCCGGACGTCCCTAGCCAAGGTGGGCCACCAGTACTTCTCAGTCAGGCAGGCGATGGTACGGCCTATCCCAGGATGACCCGACACAGGCGCCGTGTGTGCCCAGGAAAGGAGGCGGTCCCGCACACCTGTGGGCACGGTTCTCCGGGCACTGTGCAGGTGCGGGTTCCGTACGCAGGGCCTGCAGTACGTCAGCGTCCACATCCCACACCATTGGCGCGATGATACGGAACGGAGGGACGATGGGGGTCTCCTCTCCCTGCCTCTCCTCTGCGTCATAGAGGCGAGACAGGGCGTCCGCCTTCACGTTCCTCGGGCCTATAGGAAAGTGTGAATTGGAACCTGGCGAAGAATAGAGCCCACCTGGCCTGTCTCGGGTTTAGCCTCTTCGCTTCCCTGATGTACTCCAGGTTGCGGTGGTCCGTCCACACCAGAAAAGGGTGTTTGTACCCCTCCTCGCCTTCAGAGCCTTCTTGACCGCCAAGAGTTCCCGGTCCCCTACGTCTTAGTTCCTCTGGGTGGGGCTCAGCTGCTTGGAGTAGAAGGTGCAGGGCCGCAGTTTTGGAAGGGTTCCGGTGCGCTGGGACAGCACTGCCCCAATTCCTACTTCGGAGGCATCCACCTCGACGATGAAAGGGTGAGGGGTCGGGATGTGCCAGCATGAGAGCAGTGGTGAAGCGTGCCTTCAGCATCTCGAACGCCCTCTCCGCCTCCGTTGTCCAACAAAGCCGCTGGGGACCTCCTCTCAGCAGGGAGGTAAGAGGCGCGACCACCGTGCTGAAGCCCTGGATGAACCTCCGGAAATAGTTGGCGAACCCCAGGAATTGCTGGACTGCTTTCACGGAGTTGGGAATGGGCCATGACCTGACTGTGCTGACGCATTGCTCCTCCATCTACACTCCCTCCGTGGATATGAGGTAGCCCAAAAAGGACACGGACCACTGGAAAAACAAACATTTATCTTGTTTAACATAGAAATTATGCTCCAACAGTCTTCCCAGCACAGACCTGACTAACGAGACATGCTGGGCTCAGTCAGCAGAATAGACCAAAATCTTGTCTATATAAACCATTACACCCCATCCCAGCATGTCCCGAAACACTTTGTTAATAAAGGCCTGGAAGACTGAAGAAGCATTAGACAGGCCAATGGGCATTACGAAATACTCGTAATGCCCCGTCGTCGTGGAAAAGGCCATTTTCCATTCGTCGCCTGCACGAATGCGCACTAGATTGTAGGCGCTCCTCAAGTCTAGTTTCGTGAAGTACTGCGCCCCGTGCATTTGTTAGATGATGGTCGGGATGAGGGGTAAAGGATAGCTGAACTTAACAGTGGCTTTGTTCAGTGGCAATGCAAGGGCGCAGTCCCCCATCTTTCTTCTTAGCAAAAAATAAGCTTGAGGAGGCTGGTAACGTAGAGGGGCGGATAAAATCCTGCTGGAGGCTCTCCTGTACGTAGGTCTCCATGGCCTTGGTATCCGTGTAGGAGAGGGGATAGACGTGTCCTCTCGGGAGGACTGCGTCATACAGCAGGTCAATGGCACAGTCCCTGGGGCTATGAGGAGGCAGGCGTGTAGCCTGGGTCTTAGAGAAAACCCATTCCAGATACTGGTATTCCTCCGGTAAATCCACTTGAGTGGCGTGGTCCGGACTTTCTACTGTAGTGGTGTTAACAGACATCGCTAGACACCTCCCCTGAACACTCCTGCGACCAACCCAGATTCCTCCTACGCTCTGCCGTGGGCAAACGTGCAGAGCCCACCTCCATCGGCTCTGGCAACGGAGCAGGTGTAGCTATGGGCTCCAGATTCTGCGCAGGTCTTGGTCGAGACCACAGGAGGTTGACCAACCGGATCGCCATGCTGATAAGCTAGTCGAGTGACAGGTTGTCATTACGACAGGCTAACTCCATCTGTACCTCCTCCTGCAGTCCGCTGTGGAAAACGGTGACCAGAGCCGACTCGTTCCATCCGGTGGAGGCCGCGATGGTCCGGAACTCCAGGGCGAACTCCGAGGTGGTCCTAGATCCCTGGCGTAGTCGGAGTAGATGCTCACCCTCCTCTCGGCCCTCCACAGGATGATCAAACACTGAGCGGAAGAGGAGGGTGAAGCACTCGTAGGACTCGACCTCGGGTCCGCCCGTTTCCCAGACCGCGGCACCCCAGTCCAGGGCCCTTCCGGTCAGTGCCAAGATGACTGTGGCAACCCTGTCTCTCCCGGAGACAGCCTCGGCGTAGCGAGCGAGGTACTGTTCGCATTGCAGAAGGATCCCTTGCATCTCGCTGGCACACCGTCAAAGCGCTCCGGGAGGGACAGGGGTATTCCGCGGACCGGCTCAAATGGGATGGAGGCAGGTAGTGGTCATGTTGGGGCTGGTGCCGGAACCGGTACTGGAGACTGGAGGGACTGCACTTTCCCCTCCAACCGCAGGATGGTTGCCAGCACGCTGTCCATGGTGCTGCCAAGTCTGGAGAGACAGTCCTCGTGATGCTGGACTGTCTCTACAATGGTCGTCAGCTCGGGCCTTTCCAGCTGTCTCCATTTTTATGGGTCGATTATTCTGTCACGTTGTATAATGATTAGAAGACAGCTGCAGGAATACGTATTAGGGGTTTTATTACTCTACCCAACACAAACACATATATATATACCAAAGAGATGTAACCCAAACAAAGAGCGAGGTGTAACCTCTACACAATACAAAGGGACGAGACCCGTAAACAACAAGAGCACAATACACGTTACTCCCGAGACCAACGGACATGGGACAATAATCGACAAGGACAATGGGGAACAGAGGGCACAAATATATATACAAATATAATATACTAATCAGGGTGAATGTGAACCAGGTGTGCGTAATGAGACAAGACAGTCCGTGGTTGGTGGTAATGATCCATGTCAGTGACGCCTAGAAAGCCGGTGACGTTGACCTCCGGAACTGGTGAACGGAATGAGCAGCAGTACCGGGGAGATCCGTAACAACATTCCCCACACCATTACCCCACTGCCATCAGCCTGTACCGTTGACACTAGGAAGGATGGGGCCATGGACTCATGCTGCTTATGCCAATTCCTGACTCTTCCATCAGCATTACACAACAGGAACTGGGATTTGTTGGACCAGGCAATTTTTTTCCACTCCTCAATTGTCCAGTGTTGGATGATAAGAGTGGAACCGGTGTGATTGTCTGCTGCAATAGCCCATCCGTGCCAAGGACTGACGAGTTGTGCGTTCCGAGATGCCGTTCTGCACACCACTGTTGTACTGCGCAGTTATTTGCCGTTATTTTCACTGTCATCTGTGAAAAGCCCAGGAGGCCGGCCGTTTCTGACATGCTGGAACCGGCGCGCCTGCTACCGACAATCATACCATGCTCAAAGTCGCTTAGGTCACTCATTTTGCCCATTCTATCGTTCAATCAAACAGTAACTGAATGCCTCGATGCCTGTCTGCTCGCTTTATATAGCAAGCCACGGCCACATGACTCACTGTCTGTAGGAGCGAACCATTTTCATGAACGGGGTGGTGTACCTAATAAACTGGCCACTGAATGTACATAACAACATTACTCCATGGGTTTAGAGTGGAGCTTCCTACAAAATATTCAGCAAACAAATACATACACGGTGTACTTATCACATTCACAGCTGTAGCATATGAGTGAATATATAACAATGCAGCATAAGTCAGATGGAGCAGCCTACTTTTGTGTATTTTCTGGATTATTGCAACTTTGTCGACTTTGACTGTTTATTCAGTTGGAGAGACTGTAAATGTGTGCAATATGTCATCTGCAGTCTGGTTTACGCATTCAGCTCACATTTATAAATAATATCTTTCTGCAGTGTGGGTTGTGGTGGTGGGCCTCAAACTAATGACTGTTTTTCTTCAGACCTCGATGGTCCACATCACTTTCCCCTTCCCTCTCCCTCTCCCTCATCTGTGACTCAGTTGTCAACTAAGCCCAGGGTGAGCAGAGGACACTCTCTCTTTCACTCCCACCATCCCACGCTGCATAGCTACTGCAGAGCGCCAGCTTCTCTCCCTCCCCTGTCACGTGACCTGGGTTCCAGGCAGCCAGGCAGGCAGGCAGGAGAGACAGGAGGCTGCAGGGGAGCGGAGTGGAGCCGTGCTGAGTCAGCTAGCTCCACTGTGCCCAGCCCAGCCCCTCTGCCTCAACCTGATTCAGCAACACCAGCAGCAGCAGCAGCAGTACAGTAACTAACTGGCACACAGCAGCCAACTATCACATCTCTAACCTCTTTTCCCTCTCTCTTGCTAGCAGTCTATCACTCCCTCCTTCCCTCTCTCTCCTCTCTCTCTTTCTCTCATCTCTCTTTCTCTTACATCACTAAAACAGATACAACACTTATACAACATCAGGATGGATCAAATAAAGTACAGTTGTGCTGATGATGCAAACTGGAGCACCATTGACTTGATGAAGTTAGCTAATGGTAATCAATAACAGCAATGTTAGGATAGATCAAGACCAAGTGGATAAATAACATCAAAGTAGAAATGTAAAAGTGCCTCTGTACTATACATGGCCAATGGCCATATTATTTATTTTAATGTCTGTGAACCCCGGTGGTCCTGTCAACATAGTAGAATTAATAGTTTGGATGTCTTCAAGTGTTTTGCTGCTTATTGCTTTAACTATCCACTTGTTCTTTGATTGCCCCTAACTAGCCACAGTTAAACAAAACAATTCATCCTGTACCAGCTGTAGGCCCTGTACCTTCCACAGGGAACCAATTAGGCTCCTCTGAAGAAAAGAGAAACGTAAACAGGTACCCAAACAAAGTGTGTGTTCTGACTGGAGATGTTACCTTTGATAGTACAGGTTTACCCTCTTCATAGTGGATCTCCACATAATCAGATGACAACAAGTCACTGGAAAGTAGAAGGAGAAGGGTGTGGGTTAGTGATATGTTGTGTGTCTGTTGTGATGACCTGCTGCCCTAACCGTCTGACTGTGGTCTGGCCTAGTACTGTGACTCAGTTCTCCTTGTGGCTTACATGGTGGTTGAGAGGAGTGCATCCTGTTTAACAGCTAAACAACATTCACAATTACCACAAACCTTAGGTAATCCTCTTCAAAACCCACAGTCAAATACACCCACATTAACTTAAATACACCCCCACCATCTCACAGTTAAAACATAGCTAAAACGTTGAATACTGTGCAGCTATAAAAAGAGTAGGTAAGATGCTTCAGTTCAAACGAGGAGAGGGTGGGAGGGAAATGTGTTATTTTTGTTAGGCTGCCAGGTGGTTGAGACAGTACAAGAATATGTATAAGATACATACAGTATAATACAGTATAAATACACCAAGCTGCATACTCTGAAAGTGTTTGAAAGTCAGTCAACACACAGTCGTGACAGACTGCTTCCAAAAAGGGATACAGAATCCATCACAAAGCTGTCATTTAGTGAACGAACAAGGAGAAATGCTCTTTTGGAGTTCAAATCAATGTCAAATCTATTCAAATCTTTGAACACCATCTAGAGCAAGAGAACATCTAAAACAATTCATAATTTGAAATTGTATCATTATTTCAAAAATAAATAATTTTTCTAAAATGAGTAAGTGCATTGATTAGAAAAACATCCATGACAGGCAAAGAACATTGAAAAAACATCCATGACAGGTATGGCATTGACACAAGTAACTAAGAATATCATATCCCTTTTCAAAATGGTGTCAATGAAGCATGACATGATAAATGATTGTGTGAGGCCTTTGCTTCACCTTGAGCACCACTGTCCTCCAGGCTGTTCCCACCGTCTGACTCAGCGAGCCATGCCACACCACACTGTTACACACACTCAATCTGTTAGCTGACGACTGACTTCAAGAGACTGCCATTTCTGCCACAATGGCGCTTTTCGGGGTAACCTTGTAGATCTAACTCAAAACACCCTCCCACCCCTGGACATACGGCACCTTTTGCTGCAGAAAAGTAGAAAAAAATACAAAAGAAGTGTCTTTGGAAATGTACTGTACGTGTGTGACATTTTTGAGCGATGCTCAGCGAGTGGGCTGGAAGTGCTGTGCACAGTTGGGTGTAGAGAGAGAGAGAGAGATAGAGAGAGAGAGAGAGAGAGAGAGAGAGATAGAGAGAGAGTAGAGAGAGCTGAGATCGCGCGAGAGACTATGCATCTAGCTATCTCGAGCTTAGCTCGGCTCTGCGTCTCTTCAGATTTTTCTCCTCTCTAGTTTGGTTTCGTTCCTCTCTCGCTCTCTCTGCTCGCTATTCGCTTCTCTGCAGTTCTGCTCTCGTCTGGTCCCCTATCGTGCTTGCTCTGCCCTCCCGGCGATTTTCCCTGTGTGCTGCTTTTTATTTCTTAGTTCTTGACGGATGGCAGGGAGAGGGGAATGAGATGTGCCGACAGCACTGTGTGTTGGTATGTCTGTGTCCGTGTGCGTGAGAAAAAATTTGTGTGTGTCTATGTGTGTGCGCATGCATGTGTGCATGAGATAGAGATGGTTGGTGTGGTTTGTGTTGGTTGTGTGAGTGAGAGAGAGAGAGAGAGATCGCCTCTCTCTCTCTCTCTCTCGCTCCTCTTTCTCTCTACTCTCTCTTCTCTCTCTCTCGTCTCTCCTTCTCTGCTCGCTCTCTCTGCTCTCTCTCTCTCTCGTCTCTCTGTTCTCTAGGGGGAGAGTGCGGCCATTGCAGAGTAGGAGGGCTGGAGCAGTGGAACGTGAGTGTGCAGAAGTGTGTGTGTATGTAGAGAAGGGAGGCCGGAGAAGTACATGTCGCAATGTGTAATGTGCAGCCAGTGTGTATGAGTGTTTATGTGTGTGGGGCTAAGGAGTCCAACCCTGAGGTATTTGAGTCCACAGGAGACTGAGTTCCACAATGCAGTGGTAGAGGAGAGGGGAAAGACCAGAAACTGCAGGAGGTTCTGGGGCTTGGCGTAAGACCAGCTCCAGCCCAAATCCCCCATTGACACATTATGCTGTCATTGCTATAGCCCTGGCACATGGAAGTAATCAGCTCTGCTCCTAATTGAATAGTGATGCTCTGGGAAAGGGAGGACAAGACATACTGTACTGCAGCCCAGACCACTGCATGACTGAAGCAGCCCCAGATCAATGCTAATTAAAACACAGAGGTATTATGAGCCCAGTAAATCCTCAATCTAGACCTACATTAAACCATCTGCATATAGGTTTTCTATGAAAACTATTTCGGTTTTGACATTGGAATGACAATAAAACACAGTTCTCTGTTAAAGGGATACTTTGGTATTTTGGCAATAAGGTCCTTTATCTACTGCCTCAGAGTCAGATGAACTTATGGATACCATTATTATATGTCTCTGCGTGCAGTTTGAAGGAAGTTGCTAACTAGCGCTAGCGCAATTGCTAAATAGTGTTAGTGCAATGACTGGAAGTCTAAGGCAGATACCCATAGACTTCCAGTTATTGCACTACGCTAGCAGATACCCATGGACTTCCAATCATTACGCTAAGGGCTAGCAGATACCCATAGACTTCCAGTCACTTCGCTAACGCTAGTTAGCATTGGCTCGCGAAACTACCTCTAACTTCCTTCATACTGGACACAGAGACATAAAATGGTATCCATGAGTTCATCTGACTCTGGGGAAGTAGAAAATTCCCGAAGTATCCCTTTAAGAATAGTCAACTCTATTATGCTGAAAATATGTTCTCCAGGTGCAGAAATAAGAGGAGCAGTGAACAGTACAAGTTGCACCCATTGGCAGGTTGCAGACCTATCTATATTTAGCATTCTCGCAGCTACAACAGTGAGCAGAATTCATCCTACCCATAGACACAGACAAAAAAGACATGCACCAAAAAGTAACACTCACATAATACTCACAAACAATGAAAACAACATAGGATCTGGTCACAAAGCACAGCTTCTCTTCACTTCTGCAAGGTTACTTATTCAGATCATTGTGTAATTATTGTCTGATCAACAAAAAAAAAATCTCTTGATTAAATGCTATTTTTCGAAGCCTGAGTGTTGGGACTGAGAGCAACAGGAAAAATAGTTTGTGTTGTGAGGGCAGGAGATGGTTAAGTTCTCAGGTCAGGGACAGGGCACCGACCCCTCATGCTTCCTAGTGTAGTTTATTGTGTGTGTGTGTGTGTGTGTGTGTGTATGTGTGTGTGTGTGTGTGTGTGTGTGTGTGTGTGTGTGTGTGTGTGTGTGTGTGTGTGTGTGTGTGTGTGGGTGTGTGTGTGTGTGTGTGTGTGTGTGTGTGTGTGTGTGTGTGTGTGTGTGTGTGTGTGGGTGCGTGCGTGTGTGCGTGCGTGTGCGTGCGTGTGTGTGTGTGTATCAACCCTCCTCCTCTGACAGCATTGGTCACCATGACCACTTTCCCCATCACTACTACCATCCTACACATGGTCACCAAACCACACTACCTTCAGAGGTCAATGACTGCCAAGAGTCTCCATGCTTCGCCATTACTATATTCACTTGAAAAGACAATGCATTTGTCAGGCTCATTATATAATTTAGCTTTAGGATGTTATAATCAGCCCACGACATAATGTATGTTCACGGTCATAGGAGCTAATGTTCTTCATGTGACAGGTCTGAGAAGACTGATGGTGGACACAACATGAGGTCTACCAGTGATGAGACAAACTGCCAGTCTCTGTAAGATGACCTGTTCAATCACCATAGCACAGACTCGTGAGGCCCTGCATTAACCTGACAGATAGTACACCTCATTACTAGTGAACAAAGTCACCTACAACTCCCTGGGAATCATGGGGCCTGTCACTTTTGATTTAAAGATGATCCACCCAGCCCAATATGGTGCTCTCCGTATCAATGAGTCTAGCACGGCGACCCTGCAGAATGTGGCTACTGTTGTGACCATGACCTTGATAACAGTGTAGTGTCTGAAGGTCTATTGATTTAGCTGATGTTTGCAAATGGTGTAATAGATGAACTTTACTCTGCTTTGCTGAAGCATTTGGAAAAGCATTGCTACATAGGTTTCTTGGAATAGAGGACATTTGGAGATATGTGAAAGCCGGGGATTGGTTTATTAAAATCACGCCATACTATGTCACATAGGATATAAATACCATGTCTTAAACAAAGAAGGGGGAGACAACATATTGGATCAACAGATTGGCCGTTTCTCTCCAGATATAACTGCAGATATCTGTAAATTAATACTGTGAACTTTGATACAATAAATCTTTATAATCAAAGAACAGTGTAAGCGGACTTCTTATCATCACAGCATAATTAGCAACGTTGACTTGGACACCACAACAGAAACTGTAGTTAGATGTGTTCCACACACTGGATCTGAATCAAAATGGAAGACTGTTCAGAAAATCACTCCTTACGTTCATATAAAATGACCTCTATGCTGTAAACCATGAAAAAACAAGAGCAGGGCAACACCCAAATGCCTATATCCACCACTGTTAGCTAATACCCATGCCTATTTCATAAGCTAAAAGATCAGCCTGCTAACCAAACTGTATTGAGTAAGAGCAGCCAGGTATAAAGTAGACAAAAACGCTTACTTGTTTAACGTTAGGTCCAGTACAAATCTGGAGCCAAAGGCCTCTAACTGGAAACTGGCTTGAGCAAGGTGGACCGCCTGTGGGAGAGAGAAGGTTAACCACATCACAGGTCATTGTTTTCATCAGGCTGTTTTCTTTTCTAATTGTAGGTTTATTGGGAGAATGTTAGCCTTTGGTAATGGTAATGGTAAGAGTAGTTATAGCACTACACAAATTAAATGTATTATTATTATTAATAGTTATATAATTAGAATCATATTTCTATGGTTATTTAATTGAGAAATTGTAACTGTAATGACTGTAAGGAATGGCATGCCAACTTCACTGCCAAGCCAAGTTAAGTATAATAGGGCATCACCCTCATAACATAGGAGAGGAGGGGAGAATAGAGCTAGACAATGCTCTCATTGATGATTCCTTCTAGCCCATCATTTAAATCAAAATATACCCATTCATCCGTTTACTTTATCCAGTGTGCCAACATGGACAAGTGTACTCCCATTGGCAAGTATAACCACCAATGTACTCCAATAGGTTCCAATAGGATGACAATCCCATGTTCCGACCAGAAGTCTTGTATGTTGTCTTACCTGATCACGACCCTCTGTGGCCTGGTTCCTAACCCGGGTGTCCAGGTCATGGTAAGTGCTCTCTGAGTCCTCGTTCAGGTAGTAGATGAGCCGAGAGGGATAGGTGATCACATGCTCAGCCGCATGGTGACTTGTGTTGTCTGTGGCCGTTGCTGCAGTTGCCTCTCGCTCCAACAATAATGACACTGCGTCCCTCTCAACCACCTCATTCTCTCCTCCTTGAGAAAGTGCAGAAGAGGAGATACCCCACCACCACACGAACATGACAGTCAGTCTATACTCTGCATAGCCCCAACATAAGGAAGCCTGTCAATCATAATCTAATCATTTAAACAATTGCTGCTACTGCAGGAAGTGATTATGACTTCACCATTCCTCCAGGACACAATTGAGAGAGTTAAGTGTATATTGCTGTATAATGTTGTGTATTAGTACCATTAGAGTATGGCTGTAAATTATGACATAACATTTTCAAGGTCTACCTAAAAATAATTATACGGGGATTCCCTTAAACAATGAAATAAAATTTAAAAAATAATCTTAAATTGCATTACAAAAATCTATATTTGACTTCATCAAAAATATAAATATAAATTGAATATGACAGACTGGGTAGGCTACTTCATGTTTTGTTGAATAGTATTCTACTAATGAAAATAGAATATTTCAATTCATAATTATATTAGAACTTAATATAATAAAGGAGTGCCTTGTTAAGGTCAACGTTAAGGTAAACTGCAACAGCAGTTTATAAAGGTGTTTTGATCTTTGAGGTGCTAATAATTAGACAAAATTGTACAGTTAAAACGAGTTCATCTTAAACATTTGTCACAGGTTAATTTAGCTATATTTCATGTTCATAAACCTGAACAAAAGATGCTGAGGTGCTTTCGTCTGCCCCCTCTCTCACCGTCACTTAAAAGGACTCGGCCTATTAAATTGTCCTCCGGACACAGACAGATCCGTCCCAAAATAGAAACGGCATAGCGAGATTAACCAACATATCCATCATATATATCATATAATGACACAAAGAAGCATGCAAGTTATTAAATGTAACTGATACCGTTAGGAAGGGACAGGATTGGGCTAAGAATATGCAGTACCTACCAATTGCCGCTATGGATGGATGGAGCCAGGACGCAAGGATGCTCACGAGCAAATTTGCCAGAAATATCAAATGCATGATTCATATTTGATATTTGAAATATCTTTATATCAACATGTCAACGCAGTAATTAGCTGGCGGCCCATTATTGCAGGGAAGATGTCGTTTACGGGAAATTCTTCATGTATCCAGTCCGTGGGGGAGAGGACTCCTGCAGCAACGGGCGGGGGGGGGGACGAATGGAAGGCGGTGGCCAGCCACTCGAAATCAACGAGCAGACTCCTCCTGATGCTGCATCCGCGCAAGTGCCGAGTCTTGCCACAATTCAACACAAGTCCACCCTTTGCCCGCGCGCACATAGAACAGGCTCGTGCACGAGCCTTAAAGTAGCCTACATGCAGTTGCTTTTCACTGGGAAGAGAGCCCGGGTCATCTGCTTAAACTGCATCCCATTCTTGCTGCAATAATGTACTATGTCCTAAAGTGTATGAGATCATACCTGTTCTGATTCCCACTCTATTTTACATGGTCAAAATAAATGGTGATCAGTTTTGTGATATGGTGGCCTATGTATTTAGCCTATGTGTTTTGAAGGCTGATTATTATTTTACTGTATTCTGCACCACAGTGTTTATCTCTGTCTAAACTGAAATTGATAAGCATCAATTGGAGAGCTATTTTGATGGGAATTATTTTATAGTTTTGTCAATCATCTTGGCTTTCCCTTAAAACATTTTAGTCTATTAGAATGCAGCAAAATGAGTGGGAGTGTTGTTGACATTAATATTTTAGTCATTTAGCAGATGCTCTCCAGAGCAACTTACAGGAGCAATTAGGGTTAAGTGCCTTGTTCAAGGGCACATAGACCGATTTTTCACCTAGTCGGCTCCACAATTCAAACCAGCGACCTTTCGGTAACTGGCCCAAATCAGTGATGCCAATTTAGCAATTTTGTTGCTAGATTTAGCTACTTTTCAGACTGGCAACTTTCTTTTCAAACAGCACCTAGCAACAAATGTAGCTACTTTTACAATGTATTTCTAACTTTGAGCAACTTTTGAAAAGTGACTCAAATGCTAAAATGCACGCATTTTCCCTCTAAATGACACAAAAACGATTTTCTCTGTCACAACACACGTGCCTGTCTGCAAAAGGGCATTGTGAGTGACATCAGCAGCAGGCGCTCAGCTCGTGCACAGGCAGCAGCAGGCCAGCCAAGCAGCACAACAAACTGGAGAGCGCTGGAGAGAGATGCCCACACATCATTATTTGAGTGAAGTTGCTTGTTCAATAAGATAGCATATATACCTTGTTATTAGCTTGTACCTAAAATTGTTGATCAGTTAGGTAGCATGTTAACTAACTACCAATACACTGCTTAAAACTATAATTGTTCAGAATGGGTAGGTTTACTAGTTAATAAGAAAATAAATAAAATGTAATTGTTCAGTAATGTGTAATGTGTAATTGTTCAATAATTCAATGTGTTGTGTTTAAAAATAAGAATATCTGATCATATAAGTCGCTCTGGATAAGAGCGTCTGCTAAATGACTAAAATGTAATGTAAATATAAAATGTGTTGTGTTTATTACTTTTACAAATATGAATATGTGATATTAAACAAACAAATCTAAACCAACAAATGTCAAATCATATTTGTCGCCGAGATGGCCAGTCAATTTGAGTAACGTTATTGTGTATTCTACGTAATGACGCAGTTTTACATTATTACATAATGACATCATCACGCAATGACATCACAAAGTAATTTAGCAACTTTTAGCAACAAATCGACCTGCCTCTAGCAACTTCCCCTGAAAATTAGTTGGTAACACTGGGCCCAATGCTCTTAAGCAATAGGCTACCTGCCGCCCTGTTGACTGACCAAAGTCTATAGACCAGCACTCAGTCCTTGGGACCCCAAGGGGTGCACGCTTTGGTTTTTGCCCTAACACTACACAGCTGGTTCAAATGATCAAAGCTTGATGATTAGTTGATTATTTGAATCAGCTGTGTAGTGATAGGGCAAAAACCAAAACGTGCACCCCTTGGGGTCCCGAGGGCAGAGTTTGGGAAACCCTGCATAGACTAACCTAAATGGGGTACACTGTAAAATATTACTCTTTGTATCAACCTAAAAATTATTACATTAACTGGTTACAAGTAAATGAGTTAGGCTTTCTCAATTGAAAAAAAAAACTACATTTGTTGAAACTAGATACAGTTGAAGTCGGAAGTTTACATACACTTAGGTTGGAGTCATTAAAAATCGTTTTTCAACCACTCCACAAATTTCTTGTTAACAATCTATAGTTTTGGCAAGTTGGTTAGGACATCTACTTTGTGCATGACACAAGTAATTTTTCCAACAATTGTTTACAGACAGATTATTTCACTTATAATTCACTGTATCACAATTCCAGTGGGTCAGAGGTTTACATATACTAAGTTGACTGTGCCTTTAAACAGCTTGAAAAATTCCAGAAAATGATGTCATGGCTTTAGAAGCTTCTGATAGGCTTATTGACATCATTTGAGTCAATTGGAGGTGTACCTGTGGATGTATTTCAAGGCCTACCTTCAAACTCAGTGTCTCTTTGCTTGACATCATGGGAAAATCAAATGAAACGCCTGTAGGTACAACGTTCATCTGTACAAACAATAGTATGCAAGTATAAACACCATGGGACCAGGCAGCCGTCATACCGCTCAGGAAGGAGACGCATTCTGTCTCCTAGAGATGAATGTACTTTGGTGCGAAAAGTGCAAATCAATCCCAGAACAACAGCAAAGGACCTTGTGAAGATGCTGGAGGAAACAGGTACGAAAGTATCTATATCCACAGTAAAACAAGTCATATATCGACATAACCTGAAAGGCTGCTCAGCAAGGAAGAAGCCACTGCTCCAAAACCACCATAAAAAAGCCAGACTACGGTTTGCAACTGCACATGGGGACAAAGATCGTACTTTTTGGAGATATGTCCTCTGGTCTGTAGAAACAAAAATAGGACTGTTTGGCCATAATGACCATCGTTATGTTTGGAGGGAAAAGGGGGTGGCTTGCAAGCCGAAGAACACCATCCCAACCGTGAAGCACGGGGGTGGCAGCATCATGCTGTGGGGGTGCTTTGCTACAGGAGGGACTGGTGCACTTCACAAAATAGATGGCATCATGAGGAAGGAAAATTATGTGGATATATTGAAGCAACATCTCAAGACATCAGTCAGGAAGTTAAAGCTTGGTTGCAAATGGGTCTCCCAAATGGACAATGACCCCAAGCATACTTCCAAAAGTTGTGGCAAATTGGCTTAAGGACAACAAAGTCAAGGTATTGGAGTGGCCATCACAAAGCCCTGATCTCAATCCTATAGAAAATGTGTGGGCAGAACTGAAAAAATGTGTGCGAGCAAGGAGGCCTACAAACCTGACTCAGATACACCAGCTCTGTCAGGAGGAATGGGCCAACATTCACCCAACTTATTGTGGGAAGCTGGTGGAAGGCTACCTGAAATGTCAAGGTATTCCTGAGTGTACCTGTGGATGTAAAACAAAACACAACAGAATGCGTCTCCTTCCTGAGCGGTATGACGGCTGCCTGGTCCCATGGTGTTTATACTCGCAGTGCTAACTGTGTCACTAGAGATCCTGGTTCGAATCCAGGCTCTGTCGCAGCCGGCCGCGACCGGGAGACTCATGGGCGGCGCACAATTGGCCCAGCGTCGTCCAGGGTAGGGGAGGGAATGGCCGGCAGGGATGTAGCTCAGTTGATAGAGCATGGTGTTTGCAACGCCAGGGTTGTGGGTTCGATTCCCACGGGGGGCCAGTATAAAAAAATATGTATTCACTAACTGTAAGTCGCTCTGGATAAGAGCGTCTGCTAAATGACTAAAATGTAAATGTTTGACCCAAGTTAAACAATTTAAAGGCAATACTAATTGAGTGTATGTAAACTTCTGACCCACTGGGAATGTGATGAAAGAAATAAAAGCTGAAATAAATCATTCTCTCTACTATTATTCTGACATTTCACATTCTTAAAATAAAGTGGTGATCCTAACTGACCTAAGGCAGGGCATTTTTACCAGGGTTAAATGTCAGGAATTGTGAAAAACTGAGTTTAAATGTAATTGGCTAAGGTGTATGTAAACTTCA